GTCCCCTCCAAGGACAAACATGGGGAACCAACGGAGTGGGGAGGTGGAAACCGTCTCCCGCCCCCTCGTCTCACAACCTCGTCACCCAGTCTCCTCCAGCCCAGTGCAAATGCTGCCCACGGCCCTGGAGCAGGTCCCCTGTCGTCCGGAATGAGAGATAGGGCACGAGTCGTACAGCTCTGGGATTCTCCGAAATGTCACCAATATCCCTGAGCCTGACCCTGACCTGTCTCAAGGTTTCGATCCAGTGGGAGGGGCTGGAACACCCACCTGGCAGCTGCAGGCATTTGAGTCTACAGTTGGACCCATGCACCCGACACAGAAATTCATTAACTGAACTATGGAAATAAATAAGAAGCTTGGAGGTCAAAAACATGAATGGATCCAGAATGCATTGCGGTTTTGGTTCGGATGTTATTTTAAAGTATTTTGATGTGGGAAAGATACAAACTTAAAAATTTGGAAGCTAGAGAGCAAATGAACAATAACTGACCCAGAAAACCTGAGAAAGTTAAAATCCAAAACAGCAGTGGAGAAAACTGCAAAGCAACCCAGTTCCCCCTCCAGAATCTCGAAACGGCATGGGCACTGGCAGGCTGCAGGGTGAAGGTGGCGTTACTACTACGAGGAGGCGCCTGTAGAAGCTGCGTGGGGAGCACCTACCCCCAGGGCTGTCCCCGCTCTGCCCCACACTGTCACACACTGTCACACACCCCAGGGTGCATCCCAGGGGAAGTCTGCCCGGTAGTATCTGCAGAGGTCAACCCAGCACCCCTGACCTGGGGGCCGGAGGCCCAGTAGAGAGCACATGTACCCCACTGGAAAGGGGTTGAGTGAGAATGAAAGACTCATGACAGACGTGTTCACCTGCTCGCTGTCCGTCAACTGCACAAACGGCGCCCTCGTCTGACCCAAGCGCCTCATTTGGGAGCACGGGCGTTCCCGGGGCTTCGGTCTGTCACAGCGGGGAGGGCTCTGGATTGTCTCCACAGGACGTGAAACTTCTCGAGTCAGGGACACTGTAAATCCCCTGGCTGCCTGGTCCGAGCCATGCCCACTGCTCTGTCCCTCAAGTCCTCTTTCCAGCTTATTTTCCCCACTCTGTCACTCTCCGTCAGTGACTCACTCTCCTCTGCTTGCAGACACACTGGAAAACTCTGACCATGCTAAGAACACCTCCTGCTCAAACACCTGTGCCTTCTCGGGCTGCCCCTATCTCTCTCTGTTGATCCCTTCCGCACACCCAAGGACTTAGAGGTAGACCAACTCGACTTCCTCAGCACCCCCCATGCTTCTATCAATAAGTCTTCTTACAGTGGGTGGCAATCATCTCCATAAGAGCCAAGGCTGGTGGCTGCCCTTGGTGAGCTGTGGGGCTGATTCTCCCGCACAGACACGAGCAGGTGACAGCGACCACTAGAGGAAACTTACAGAAGGCTGGGTGCGGGGGTCAGGCCCTCGAGCAGCCGGTGGCCCACAACCCACCCAAGACTTCCTGTCACCAGCACATAGACCCCCCTCTCTGGCCAAAGCACTAGCCTTGGGACAAATGCCCCAATTTGTTACATCCCAGGAGTGGCTTGGTTATTTTTGCATATACTACAGATCTCAGCTGTGATTAATAAGAGCCTTGCCATCTCAGGATTCAAGATCTTCTGAGGCTAAAAACCCAGAAGTATTCTAGTCAGCTGATGCACGGCTAAGAATAGCCCTGCCGGCTTGTTTGGGTGCAGGGCTCACAGCCCGGTGGTGGATTCTCAGACCGCAGCTGTCCATCAGCAGGTGAGAGCGCATTCTCTGAGAGGAGCTGCTGTTTGAATATTTGGACACAGTGTGACTCAGAGATGTTTTTTCATTGGCAGCACAGCCTTTACTTCTGTGCTTTAGCGAGGCACTTCACGATCAAAGAAAAATCAAACGCTGTCGGGGCAGTGGTGGGACGACTGGCACATGTGGCCAGGCAGAGCACACCCCACGGTCCATCTGCTCTGAGGCCGAAGGGGCCGGCGGCAGTTGCTCCACACTGAGAAGGCGAAGCCGGAGACGTGTGAGGTCATATCAGGAAACAGCAGCTTTTAGCTCTAGCAGTCGCTGTATTTACCTCCGTGCTCTTGTAAAACTTAGATGAAATATTATTGTCCTATCACCGAAAACTGTAATTCATTATGGGAGGGGAACATTCAAACAAACCGATTTGGGCAAAACCAGGGTCTCAGAATCAGAAAGCCAAGCACTGCCCAGTTTACGGAGTATTTGGAAAGTTCCTAACCTTCCCACACGTCGGTTTTCCCCGGCGCAAATCTGGGGCAATAGAAGCAAGAATATTTCACTAAAAGCTCAAACACTGGGATCCTAATGACGTCAGGAAGAGAGGAAATTTACCATGCCCCAGAGAGAGTGCCTGGATTCTGAACTTTGCTTACTGATTTGAAATGGGATGATGACCCAGTCCATGTCCCCAGAGCGAGAACAGGGACAGGTGGCCCCTGCAAGCACAATGCACATTTTACCAGACCTCTCTGAACACCAGCGACCTGTCCTTTCCCTGCGTTAAACATGTACGTGCTGCCGAAGATGCTGAGTGCCCCATGGCAGGCAAAGAGCCTGGGAGGGTCTCAGAGGACCTGGGCTGTCCTGTGGTCTCACTGGGAACAATGGGGTTTTCTCTATCTTGGAATCTGAAGGAACTTTCACTACCCTACTCCCTTTGTCTAATTCTAATGTATGTTCTTGGCAAGCGAATAATCATCTTACTTGACTTGAGCAACTTAGCAATGAGGAACTTTAGGGTCAAGAAGGTAGAAGAAGGGTACACATAAGAACAACACTTCTTACAATGTCTTCAAGAACACAGCTGGTGTGGGAAATTATGTTCTTTAAAATCAGTGGTGGGTCAAGAGAACACCCATAAAAATGGACATTGACACCCACCTCGGACTCTATGAAAATCAACTCCGGATGAACAGTAAATTTAGACATGACAAGTAAAACAATACAGTGCTTATAAAAAGCATGGGGGAGCCATCTCGTGGCCTTTCGAGGACAGACGCTGGTGTCCAACCCCAAGGAGGGAAAGAAGAACACCCATGCGTAGGGAGCGCCGGAACCAGAGTGCAGCGCGGAGCAGGGTGTGGAGTGTGGCCCCGAGTGGAGTGGGGCTGGCTGCCGTGCGGTTTCAGAGTCCAGGGAGGATGTGCAGGTCTCCTACCCAGAGAGGAGGCCCCGCACAGGGTGACAGAGCTCCAGAGGGATGGGGAGTGTGTCTGGGAGAAGGGGAGGCCCAACACGGGGTCCAGAGTCTAAAGAGAGCAGGAGGGAAAGGAATGTGGAACCTAAATGGGCGGACCGGGCCTCCTCGTGGATCCGTGGTCAGAGACTGGCATTACCCATGTAAGTAAATAAAGGATAATGAGGGTCAACTTTCTCACTGTTGGCAAGGGAACCACACACAAGGGAACGGAGAAGATGGGAAAGGACACGATGATGTTAGATGGGAACTGGAGGCATCTCGAACTCGTGGTGCTCAACGTAGATAAACAGATACAGAAATAATAAGGGTGTGTGTGCGTGCCTGGGTGTGTGATGTACATACACACAGAGACATTCCCTAGCTCTCCACTAAGATGGTCTGAGAGCAGCTACACCAGGATACCAACAGGCACACCCAGCACTCACACCCTGGCTGCTAAAAGCCATTCTCCCCTAAAAGAAACACAGGCTCCTTGGAGGAAGGGCCCATGAACCCGATGGGGCTGGCAGAGGACAGGAGCCTGGGCGGCTGGGTAGGCCCGGAAATGGAAGGCGTGTTCTAGCAGCAAAGGCGAGCTGTCGAAAGCACACAGAAGCCAGCTCCAGGAGCTCCACGGCCCCAGGCAGGGGGGTTGAAGCGGCCATAGAAATCACGTCCACAACAGAAGATAATCCACTCTAACCCACCGAGTAAAATAGGAAACGCTGACTCCACGAACTGAGTAAAGAGGCCTGTCACAACAACCACACACATGCGAGATTCTGGACTGGATCCTTTTGCGTTTACAAAGGACATTATGGGGAGAATGGGAGAAGCTTGAGTGGGGTCTGAGGATTAGATGGTATCAGTGCTAATCTCCAAATTTTAATGGCGGTGTCTGTGCCCATGCTGAAGAGTGTCCTTAAAAGAGACACATTAATGTGTATCCAAGAGCAATGAGATGCTGTGTAGCAGTTTTGGTTTCTTTTTGTGTCTACATTTTTCCCTTCAAAATCTGAAATGGTTGTTATTACAAAATGAACATTTACTCACTTAAAATGTTTCCTTGAAGAGCACCATTTTCTCAGCAGCACAGAGATTGGCTGCTACCAACCAGGCCCCAGCTGAACCAGCACCAGCTTCCACCACCGACCTCCCTGTTTAGCGAGGGGTTTTGCCCAGGTGCTAGCCAATTAGCACGCTCGGACAAAGGAGGGCTATTGCCTCTGGGACAGCTGTCACGTGTATATTTTAATACATTGTGATTTTAAGTTCATTATCTGTAATGAGGGTCTGCTTTTCACCACACAAACAAAAGTCCTTCACTGCTCTGATGGATGGGTTGAAATTGGAGGACGGAAACAGTGAAACAAACAATGAAACTGTCATAAGAAAGAAAGCAAACGGTCCCCAGGTGTTTGTTTGGCTGTCTCCAAACAGTCCCTTCTCGACACAGCTTGGGTCCGACAAGTTCTGGGTCGGCAGGGAAGACGCGGGGAGGAACACGCCCTAGTGAGATTGTCGCTGGGTTTGGGAGAGCACAGCAAACTGTGGGACCTTCTCACCACGCAGCTGTCCCGAAGCAGCTCTGGCGGGTCACCGGCGACGCAGGACCCCCATCCAAGCACGTCCCTTCCTCCTCCCTCTACCCCCACCCCGGCTCGCGCCCCTGTGCACGCGCGCGCGCGCATCCAGGCCCCCCTGTTCCCAGGCAACGGGCTGCCCCGGCGCGAAGCAACTGAGCGGAATGTGTGGGGGGAGGCAGTTGGGAAGAAAAGAGAGCTTGAGCAGCAGCAATGAGCCCCGGTGAGAGTCCGGACGCGGTGCTGTCCCTTGATGGGGACCCGTGGGTGGTGGACGGGTGGCGGAGGGCGCCGCCTCCTCCGGACGGGCCTCTACATGCCCTAGTCCAGTGTGGAGCGCGATTTTCTTGACTAGCCTCATACCCGCCTCACCCCGAGAAAAGTGCCGCCTCCATCCCCACGCCCATCTTCCAGCCTCCAGCCTCCAGCGTCCGACCCGGGTCTGGCTGCCGCTGCGTGGTCCCAGCGCGCCCTCCCGTGGCCGCTTAGGGCGTCGGCGTCCCGAATCCCCACGCCTCCCCTCCCATCTCCCAAGGAAACCAAAAGCCATGTCTGGTTCTGTTACAGAAAAGCATCATCAGGACGAGGACGAAGTTGACTGCGTCCTCCTTTCCGCGTCCAAGATCCTCAGTTCCTCTGAGTGCATAAAGGAAAGCGGTGGCAGTGAAACAGGTAACACCCCCAGGACCAAAGCTCCGAGAGGAGTGAAAAACGGTTCGCCCTTTTATTACAGGAAACGGCTAAATGCCAAAATCCGCTGGCCCGATTGGGGTGCTTCCAACACATATGCACTTTGGGTTACAATTATATGGTACTAATAATAGCAGAAACGGCGCATTACTTGGTGCCTGACATTGTTCAACGCATTTAATGTATCAACTCATTTAACCTCACAACAACGCTATGAGGTAGTTACCACCATTGTCCCCATACTACAAGTGAGGAAACTGAGGCACGGAGAGGTTAATGAACTCCCCAAGGTCACACAGGCAGCCAGTGAGAGAGCCCAGTATTCAGCGGGGCAGGCCAGCGTCCAGGCATCCACCACTTCCCTAGACACTGGGTCTCTCAACACCAAGTAAGAGCTGCTGACTTTTTAGACACTACGAAGATAATATACTTTTCCCACAAGCAGTACTTTCTATAGTGAATGTTGTGGACTACAGGATATGCTGTGGGGAGGGTGTTGGAAATAACCAAAGAGCTCCAGTTTTCGAGGTACACGTGAACCACGGATGAAATGCCTGTAAATACCCAGCTGGAGGAATCTGAGAACCTCGGAGTCTCCCCTCAAAGACAGAAGATGCAGGCTGTGCCCCTCTCAGAAGCGCCTGGTGCTCGGAGCAATGTGCCAGGGAAGACACAGGATGCTGTGGGTAGAAGGCACTGCCTAGACCAACGGCCCGCTCTGCTGCCCCAGTGCACTTGACCTATGCACGGTCCCTGGTGACCCACACAGCAGAGCTAAGTGATGAACCAATGGAAATCTGACGGTCAGCACAGGGATTCTGCACCTTCCTGAATCAGGGAGCATAACAAATGCCTTGTCAAAGGCCCTGGGAGAAGGGGCTAGCTCAGCCAGGCCTCTGTAGACAAAACCCAGCCAGCTGGGTGCCCAGGGACCACGGGGTGGGCAGCATCACTGTGGAGGCCAGCAGACTGCACAGCAGGCCAATGCCTTGACTTCTCCCTCTCGGGGCCATGAGGACATACAGGCATCCCCAGCAACCAGGAGGGGTCATGGGAACCCATGAACAGGTGGAAGAGGCCTCGGAGAGAGTTTGGACACTGAGTCAGCTCAACTTTTGCCTCCAGGGAGCAGTGAAGGTCAGACGGGTCTGAGGTTCTTTTATTTGACAAGATCCGCGAGGAGGAGTGAGGGCCCCGGAGAAAAGCCAGCGTTCGTAAAAAATGCACTTTCGTGTAAAATAGCACCTACGCTTGAGAGTTCCGGTTTTTCTTGCCAGAACACGGTGGTTACAAGTCCTGGGTCCACCGAGGCACGTTCACCAACTACAGAGTTTCTAAGTCAGGCGCTGCCAAGGATGACAGTGATTTCAGACTGACAACCGAGGGCCAAATCAGCTGGGTGAGGCTTTGCCCCTCCCCATTCTGTGTTTCTGTTTATGCTTCACTGTCACCAAGAGATCCATGTGCTGAGTACTACCAAACATTGGCCTGATTCGGCCTGAATAAAGCTGGGTTACAAGAGCTCGTGTGGTATTTCTGAGGTCTCTTTGATTTTTAAGAGAACAAAAAATAAATAAAACATACATCATAAATAAATAAATAAAATTTAAAATTAATGAGATGAATGAATAAATAAATAAATAAATAAATGTAAAAGGAGTAATTAGCCAGGCCACCCCTTGATGCATTGGAATGGGGATACGAGACTTTGGAGCTTGAGCTGTCCAGTGTGCACCCCAGTTCTGAGCACCCCTGCGCCCCATCCCCTGGGGCCATCATTCATTCTTTCATCCAACATGTATTTTTGAGCAGGTGCTGTCCAAATGCTGGAGAGCCAGCAGTGAACAAAATCCACACACAGTCCCCATCCACATGAAGTGTGCCTCCTCGTGGGGGTAACAAAGGATATTACGTGTGAGGTGGAAGCAAATCCTATCAGGAAAGTAAGGCATGGAGGGGGGCAGGGCACCCAGAGGTGGGTGGGGAGTGTGCGGTCCTCTTTTAAGTAGGGCAGAGGCAGACCTCACTGAACAGGTGGCATCTGAGCCGAGATGCGAAGAGAGGAAGGAGGATTCAGTGCAGGTGTCCAGGGTGAGGTCATTCCAGGCAGAAAACAGCAAGTGCAAAGGCCCCGAGGCAGGGGCATTGCCTGGCCCATCTGGGAACAGCCAAGGGCCGGGAGCAGAGCCGTAAGGGGAGGAGAGGAGATAGGTTCAGAGAGCAAACCTGGGAGGGGGTTGGTAGTTCCACCAAAATGGGGTGCCTCTGGGAGCTGTGAGCAGCCATCCTCCTCCCCTCCATCGGGAGTGGAAATTTCAAACTTAGGGAATCATCATCGTACTGATAAAGTCCTTGCACTTGCAGTGATGGTGAAATGTTGCTTGGGCGTGGACTGTGGACCAAGTACTGGGCTGAGGGGTTTACCCGGAGACTGGCCACTGCCTAGAATTACCCCTCACGACACGTGTGATTCCAACCCGCAGCTCCCACAGCAAGACCTCGGGCAGATCTTTGCAAAACTGTTACTTCTAGGAATGAATCGGAGTTGTCATAGCAAAACTCAGTGTTTGAACCCGAGAATGACAAGGCTTTGACTACAGGGTGTCTTCAGAGCGTATAAAACTCATCTGTTAGCTACATGTGCACACTTGATAGTTCCTGTGTACCCCGAATATGACCTAATTTTCTGTAAGCTTCCAAATAAATTCCCTGTACCTTCACTTAAGTACCTCAGAAGTCACTCCACTGGTAATTAGTTTGTTTTTCACTTCTGACACTTAAGTGTGAAAGAGCTAGAGAAGTTAAGATTCATATAACTTGATTAATATTTCTTGCATCCCCAAGAGTATAAGCTTCTTTGGGGCCGGGACCTAATCTTTGACTCAGACTGTGTAGCTCCCAGCACCGTGCGAGTACCAGGGTCTTGATGAACGGCCACCTGTGGTTGTGTTCTCTCTCCTGTGATTCTTTGGTAACCTCTCTTCCCATTGGAGAGTCACAGGATTCTACGTGGTTTTTTAAGTAAGTATTGCTAAATTTTTAAATTGTCTTTCCTTTGAGCATAAGCAGCAGTCATAAGAAACTCTTGAGAAAGACAAAAGATGATTTTAGTAGCTTTTAAAAGTGGGAAAGTCTGACCTCGCTGTTTGTTCTGTGCCTTCACTGAATCATCCGAGCGTTTCCGAGGGAAGCACGCCCTTCTGAGTCACACCATGGACCACAGTGCTATTTGGAAAACTCACTTTATTTCCCAGAAAATGCTTTTGCAAACCCTCTCCAAGATACCATTTCACTCTTCTCGTGTCAACACCTCTCGTCTCTGCCTCTCAACGTGTGACCTGATCTCATACCACAAGAAAAAAAATGGAAGCCCTCGACCCAAACTCCTTCACCCTCTGCCTTCCAATCTGCCGTTCCACCTCCCCCACCCACCTGGGCGCCCACATCCAAGGTCACTGCCTCCACATCCTCTCTCTCCTGGCATTCTCAAGTCCTCGCCTTCTGCAATTCGCCTCCCTCATTCTCCAAAATTATTCTTCTCCTTTCTACCATAGGATTCCAGCAGCAAGCAGGCATCCTAGACTCTCCCAAGGTTAAAAAGTCCTTCTGCATCTTACACCTCCTCCAGCATGTACCCTATTCCATTAGGCACCATATTGCCTTCCCCAGTAAAACTGAAGGAGTTGCCTGTGCCGATGCTGAACAAGTCTTCACAGTGCACTCTCTTCTCTAGACACTTCATCCGGGCTCGGTCCCTGTCGCCACTCTGAAACTGCCCTTGCCCAGCCCAGCAGGGATGTCTCTACGGCCCAATACAGTGTTCGAACCACTCACCAGAACCAGGGACAGGAATAGCCAATGGCCTGTTCACATCCCCACTCTGATATCTCACAGAAAAATTAACTTCAATGTGTCTAAAAGTGTTTTCCCTAAACCTCATCCTCAGTCCATTCTCTCACATCGGTAAATGACATCTTCATCCATCCATGTGCTCTCACCAAAAACCGGAGGGTCCTCTTTTCTTCTTGTCCCCCGGCCCCGTCTAACCCTCCAGCAGTGCTGCTGCTTGTACCTCCAAAACACAGTATGAATCCACCTATTCTTCCCCTGGTGCCCCAGCCTGTTCTAGTCCAAGCTACCCTGTCCCTCACTTGGATTGTTGCCGAGGTCCTACAGTAGCCACCTCATCCCCCATTACCACGCCCACAGAGTCAGATCAAATCATCCTCATGACTGAGACCCCCCGATGCTTCCCTTCCACTGGAAATAAAAGTCAGACCCCTCCAGCTGGTCCTTGAGGCCCCACGTGACCTGGGCCGGCTCTCCCTGACCTCTTACCTTACCGAGCTCCCATCCGCTCGGTAAGTGGCACCCAGTCGGCTTTCCTCCTGTTCTGCAAACAGAAACCTGCTCTGCTTCAGGGCCTTGCCGTCCCCTCTGCTCCCAGTCTCTGCCTACAGATGTTCACTACAGATGTTCATGCAGCTGGTCCCTTCTTAGGACGTAGGAGTCGGATAAGCAGACAGGCCTTTCCTAAGTAGCCTCACTCACAATCCCATTAGCTCATTTTCTCTGTGTAACTTACCGCTATTTGAAAGCATCTGGTTCGCTTCTTTGTCCGCATTCTTCCCTGTCTGCTCTGTCAGAACGTAGGCACTGTGAGCGCAGGGCCCTGCTGTCTCGTGTCCTGCCTGCCTGCAAACCTACAGCAGGGCACACTGCAGAGTGGACACTCGGGGTTTGAGGGAATGACCCACCGAAACGTGAAAGCTGACTGCAGACTGAATCGTTAACTTATAAAAACTTTCCAACACTTTCATGATGAGATTTTTAGAGCCACACAAAGCCACGAAAACATGAAGCATGACTTAAGGCTAAATCATTAACTCATAAAAACTTATCTACGCTTTCACATAGAGATTTTAGAGCCATGCAAGATCCCAGGTCTCCCTCCCCTAGAGCCAAATGAAATGAACGACAACCAAAAAAAATTTTTTTAAGCTAGAAAACTGATAAAAACACCATCAGTAGCAACTGAGAAAGACGTAAACATTAGAAAGTAGAAGCCAAAGACCGAAACAGAAGATTGTGGCCAGGCAAACTACAGCCTGGCTCCTAACTCTGCCTTGACCTTCAAGAGAAATTAAACAAGTTGAAATATTCACGAATGCCCCCCCCCCGCCCCCGCCAACGTGAATACAAAAAGAAAAGGAAACAGGGTCTTTCTGTGGGTGGGGTTTGGGTGGTGCAGGGGGCTGCGGCTCCAACAGATGGACAAGCCAGAGGCTCACCAACAGGTGCTCACTTGGCGTGAAGGGAAGAAAGCACTCTGGACAGGCCCCCACCAGCCCGAGGGGTGGCCTCTGTGCAGTTTGGAAAAAGGCGCACCCTCCCCCAGCTGGAAGTAAACTCACACAGAGTGCGGTTAACGGGTGGGAGCCGAGCATGGGATGACCTCACACGCCCCTGTGCTGTGAACGACCTGCCCAATCACAGGGGGCAACCCCAGCCCGGACTCCATACCGTATGGATCCCCATCGAGAGAGCGCAGCCCTGCGGAAACAGGATACACCGCCCACTAGATTTCTAACAAGAGTCTCAGGGGTGATCCCAGGGCAGAGAAGGTCAAAGCCTTCGCAGCCTCCAGAGCATCTCCCCTCCCCCAGGTCCCCTCACCGATGGGTGAGGCCACAGAAAAGTGCAAAGGAAAGCACACAGAGGGACTCGGGGAGGATGACGAGATGACGGACACTCTGAGCACAGGCGCTCAGGCAGCCGCCAGCCCTGTGACCGCAGCAGCCCAGTAACTGTGTAAACGCTCCGTGGTGGTGGAGAAAGAAGGGACAGGAAATCTAAGCCAGGGTAAAAACTCCATGCTCTTTCCCTACAATCTTTTCTCTACTATAGTCTTTGACCACGTCTCCAGATTTCTTTCAGCCCAGTATTTCTTATTTGGTTTCCGCAGAAGAAATCCTGTTTTGAGCCTTGAACCTGCACGTCCTCCTAAAGAGACAGGAAGTCCATGCAGAGACCGGGAGGCTGGGGCTGCAGGTGCAGGGCGGAGTCGGGATTCCAGGAGGCACATCCATTCGGAACAGAGCGAGGCCGAAACCCTTCACGGAGACAACGGCCCATTTGTGTCAGCATAGATTTGTCGGAGTTATGCTTTCAGAACAAAATTAAACATCATAAAACCTCACGGCGTGAAGACAAAATAACTAGCAAAAACCACGACAGCTAGGGCAGCTCTGTGGGAGGAAGTGTAACGCTAATCTCTCATAATTTACTCCTGTTCTTGGCAGGGAGTAAAACCACACTGACTACAATAGAAATATCCGTTATTAAAAACCGTTAAAATTCCAATCTCATAATCCTTTTCATGGTATATTTTCATTACTTTAGAGTGATCTGGTAGGAGATAATCTCTCACGTAGTGGGAAAAAGTCTGAATACAGCATTAATTTGCAGCATTTATTCTATTAAGTAAATATAATTTGTTTAAAAGTGCCATGAATAATACGACCCCACTGTTCTAAAATCACTCTGTTTTCCCCACATATACACATGGGGAGGGTGCGGACTCAAAATTAACGATAGTTCGTTCTGGGCCATGGGGTCCCAGGTGACCCGCTCTTTTTGATGTGCATTTTGAGCCGTTTGAGTTCATCAGCAGAGGTCGGTTGGAGTCTGAGGAGTTTGGGGAAGCTTGGCCACACTGGCCCAGAGCTCACTGGGGTTCCCTTTGCTCCCTCTGACATTGACGCTTCAGACTCCCGTTTTTCCCGGGGGAGGGGCAAGGCTGAGCACTACCGGCGTGCCCTGGCTGCATCTCCCTGCCCTCCGATGGAGGCAGGATTCTGCAACTGCCTCCGTGGCCCCAGGCTCCGAACTAGAGTTGGCCTCTGGGTGGTGAGAGCTGAATGGCAGGGAGGGGAGGTGGGCAGGGGCCGGGGGCAGGGGTGGGGTTATACTTTGCCTCCCTCATCTGTAAGATCTGGCAGACTGCTGGTCAGAAGAAGACGTGCTGATGGATTTCAAAACCTCTCAGCGCAGAAATAGTCAGCCCAGGGGCACATTCTATCCTACTTTCATTTCATTCCGGACACTGTGTATTATTTTTTTTAATTCCTGAATAAAAATTCACAAAGCAAGTAGCCAAACGTCTGAACAGAGAGTGCTGCGAGTCCACAAATTGCCATCATCTCTCCCGATGGAGGTCTGCAATCTGTTGCCTAGGCAGGAGCACACACATGGATGTGTGTACGACTTCAAGAGCGTGACGGAAATTGTGCTCTGTCGATCCGACTTGTTTTCAAGGTAAAGAGAAAAATCACTACATGGTCCTTTCATAGACACTGGGACCGGTTCATTAGTTGCCCAGTCTCCACAGCACAAGGATTATCAGTAGTTTTACATACATACATACATATATACATACATACATACATGTAGTCTGTGTCCCAGAAACAAACAGAGATACTTGAATTTTTGAAAGTTTCAGGTTTGGTGTTACAAGTTAACGGTTCTAAAGATAAAACCACTATTACAACCCCAACTAGATATTTTAAGTGAAAACAATTATTTCTTAAACTTATTATGTGAGTAGCATTAGGTTCTTCCTAATATGAGCCTCAGATTCTCATCATCTCTTCTTCCCGCCAGCCCCAAAAGTTAGAAGGCTGCTTCCCACTGCGGTTGTTTAAAAACAAAACTTCAGAATTAAGTCACATGCTTGTTCAAATGTTCTCTTTAGAATATGGCTGCATATCAGAAACAGAAAATCAGGTCCAACCACAATCAGCATTAAAAGTGAGTATATTTCATTTTATTTTCTCCAAATATTTGTGTCAAGGCTGATGTTTTTCTGAATAAATACTTCCTAAATGCATTTTGATTATCCACACACACAAAAAAAACTTCATGAACATGCATTGGAGAGTCAGCAAGAATGACCAAGAATGACAGTCACCTGACCCTCACGTGACTAAATGGCAAGTGTGGGGATATAAAAAAGTATGTAACAGTTCAAGCACACGCTCACCAGCCTAACCGTACCCAATCCCATGCCTCGACTTGTTACAGGCCCTTCAGCATCAACTGGAATCGTTTCAGGCTCTCCGAATACAGACTCTGCAGAACGTCAGCATGGTACGTTTAATTTCATCAACGCGCAGGAACTAGCCAAACCTAAGATACCATCCGCCTTTCTCACCAACCCACTGATGAGTTGACAGAGGCCACAACATTTTCTAGGCTCAAAGTCTGGAGAAAGCAATATTCTGTTATATTTGGATTTAAGATAAAAAGGGCCACGCTCACTGATTTTTTAGAACATATCTTTGAAAGTGCTACCAATAGGGACTCTCGTTAAAAGTGATCTAAAAATCTAACCCCAAACCAAGGGAAAACGTGCATTAGCTCCGGTAAAAAAAAATCCTAGGGATTTTCACGTGGGGGTGGCTGTATCCCTGTGACCCGACTCCCGTCGTCAAGGAAACAGCCACACCCCTATCTGCTTTGCCTCCAGATTCCGGGCAGACAGAGAAGGGCCCATGCTCTTCTCTCTTACCAGTTAATACTGAGGCTCTTGGCCTGCTTCTGGTTGCCCCAGACCGGGTCCTATGTGGTACTTGGACCAGTCACTGTGCGAAGGGAGCCACCGCTGTGCCCAGTTGGCACTGAGCCACCCACCACACTGAAGCTAGAAGTGGGATCAGTGCCACCAAAGGCACATGGACTTTCTCCAGAAGAAATACAGGGTGCTGTTAAGAGAAGGTTAGGGCGTAAATACTGAGGGTGCAGAACCTAGCACGTATTCACTGAAGACCCCATGTAAACTTCACCCCAATACTCTTGCATTGAAAGCAATTGCAGGGGAATGGGGGAGAAGATACATTCCCAAGGGTGACAGAGTGGGTTCCATTCTGATGTTAGAGGTCAAAGGTCTCCAATTGTTCAACAATGTAAAAGTCAAGCATAGAGAATTATCCAAATTGCTTAAGATTTTATTGTTTTCCTAAGTTGAGTCTTTCTAATTTTATAATCACATCATGAAGGTACAATTTCATATCTTTAATTATAGAGGTTATAATAAATTAAATTTATTTTGTATTTTATGGGATGGAAAAGAATTTTTATGCGCAGGAAATTATCTTTTAATTATAAAACTAAAAATATTTTAATTATAATATCTATCACTCCTGCACCTTCATAAGTTTATAAACCTGAAATGAAATCCTAACATTCTCAATTTATCTTTTAAAGGTACAGTCTGAAATCAGTGAAATTTTGAACAAAAGTATTATTGAAGTAGAAAACCCACAGTTTAGCTCAGAAAGAAATCTGGTATTCAACACACACACTGAAAAGGTATGTTTTTCTGTACAAAATCATTCTGTATTTAGGAATTTCAAAAATGTTACTACCACCGGTTCATCTTCAACTTTCCATTTTCCCCTTCCTCCCAGGGTGGTTGGACTGTCAGACATGAACATAGGCCAACTCCTGTCCTTGAAAACCCTGAAAGTCATGCACTTACCCTCATACTTCTGTGGCATCCCATTGCCTTCAGGAGAGTGTAGAAGGGGTATTTAACTCAGTCCTGTCACCAAAAGATTCCCATGTAACTGAAACACAAGGCAGTTTTATGGCCTGTCTGTCCAATTTTGATTGAGTTTTTCTGCGGTAGGAGCAACGCAGACCTGGGGTGATTCCTTGGCGAAGGTCCAGACCGCCATCCCTGTGTCTATATGATTAGAACCCACATTCTCCAGGACAGTCCCAGCCCTCAAATCGTCTGAAACTCGGACCACAAGCTAAGGTGCACAGATAGCCCAGCGGTGGAAATATTTGTTCTCCTTAAATTTCCATTTATCCCATTGCTTCTATCTTCCCAATCTATCAAGGATGGTCTCCTGAGAGATGCTAAATGTCTATTTCTGAAATTGAGGGGCTGATCCATGTATCTCACCCCCTAAGGAAATAAGTACGATTTCTAAGCATATCATTAAGACCAGAGTTATAGATCTCAACTGTTGTTAGATTTCCTGGAGAAAATCAGTCATACTTGTTAGGCTTCATTGTTGTAGAAATGATTAAATGTTTGTTTGTTTGCAAAAATAAATCCTCCACAAAACATTATCTTAATGTGCTTGGTCATGTGGCAAATGACAATACATTTATAGTGTGTTTTTTATTGTTACTAGCCTATAGAGAATCAAGAAGAAATCCTTTCCATGGGGAAAATTCTTCAGTTTGAGGATTCGAGGACTCTTCATTCAGTGGAAGAAAAACCCAGCAGCAATAGCGTAGACGGTCTCTCTCAGGGCATTCATGTTTCACCCCCGGCACATTCCCGGGACATCTCAACGCTGAGAACCTCGGCAGATGATTCTGCTTCCAACATAATTATGAACCCTTCAGAAAATTCTGACACGTTCAAGAATTATAATAACCTCTATAGTTTTCTACCTCATGCACCAAATGTTGTGTCTCACGCTGACCCAGTAATTCTGGAAAATTCCAAAATTACCACGCCTTTCCTCAAGCACGGATTTGGTGAAAATTTAGATGATATTTGCCATTCTATCAAACAAATGAAGGAAGAGCTTCAGCGGTCACAGGACAAGGAGCTGGCACTTACAAATGAACTTCAAACTTTAAAAATGGATACACATTTTCAAGGTCATATGACATATGACCTGTCCCCCATTCACAAGGAAAATACTAACTTCATTAAGGAAGAACATACAGAAAGTAACTTAAATGAAGATATAAAGTCAAAGAGAATTTTAGAATTAGAGGCATTAGTAAACAAATTACTCCCACTCAGGGGAACAGTGTCAAAATTGCATTTGACTTTTTGTAGGAAATGTAAAAAATTATCTAAGAGTGAGATACACAGGGGAAAGAAGAATGAGAAAAACAGCAAAGAAATTCCTATCGCTGGCAAGAACGCCACAGACTTAAAATTCCATTCCAGACTTCCAAAACACACACTGTCATTCTTTGACCCAACAAAGTATGAAATGAAAGACAAAGAGAGGCAAACATTTGCAGTAAAACAAGGCTCAATAATATTCGAAAATGAGAAAACATCCAAAGTCCATTCTGAGCAGTGTGTGGCAAAAATTCAGTACTTACAGAATTACCTAAAAGAATCTATGCAGATACAGAAAAAAGTAACAGAAGTAGAGAATGAAAATCTAACCCTTAAGACCAAAATAAAATCTCTTGTCTTCACCACACAGTCTCTGATACAGAAAATTGAAATATATGAAAAGCAACTTAAGAATTTGTTTCATGAAAAGAACACTATTCAGTCCAAATTAATTAAAACAGAAGAAGATGGCAAAGAATGTCTTAAAGAACTGAAAAAAATAATCAGTAAATATAATGTTCTTCAAGAACAAAATAAAACTCTAGAGGAAAAAAATGGCCAACTTTCTCTGGAGAAGCAACAAATGATAGACACATTAGATCAGCTGAAAAGTAAAGAACACAAAACTCAGAATGATATGGCCATTGTCAATAATGAAAAGAATCGAATGAGTATAGAAATGGAAGCAATGAAAACAAATATTCTATTGATACAAGATGAAAAGGAAGTGTTAGAGAAGAAAACACACCAGCTTGTAAAGGAAAAAAGCTCGCTTGAAAATGAACTAAAAGAAAGTCAGCTTGAGAGAATGCAGCTAAAGGAGAGAGAAAGATTGGCAAAAACTGAACAAGAGACGCTTCTTCAAATAATAGAAACAGTTAAAAATGATAAACTTAATCTTGAAACTACATTGCAAGAATCTACTGCTGCTAGACAAATGATGGAAAGAGAAATCGAGAACATTCAAACCTATCAATCGACGGCAGAAGAGAATTTTTTGAATGAAATAAAAAATGCCAAATCCGAAGCAAGTATCTATAAGAATAGTTTATCAGATATGAGCAATGAATGTGAAATGTTATCAAAAATGGTCGTGGAAATTAAAGCAGACAATCAGATTCTAAAAGAAGAACTAAAAAAACACAGTCAAGAAAACATAAACTTTGAAAACAGCATCAGCAGGCTTGCGGAAGACAAAATACTTTTAGAGAACTATGTGAGAAGTATAGAGAATGAAAGGGACACCTTGGAATTTGAGATGCGGAATCTTCAAAGAGAATACTTGAATCTAAGTGAAAAAATCTGTGGTCAGCGTGGTGACCTCTCCAAAGTGGGTCACATCCCAAGAAGAGAGAAATTCCATTTTAACAGCTATGACGCTTATGAAGACACCTCTAGTCCCAGGTATAGGCCTTTAGCCCCTGATGTGAAAGGTATGTACACTCTGGTGGATTAATAGCAAGTTTTTAAACTCTCTTTAGCCTACTGGGCACTAGTCAGAGAACAGTAATAAGATGGAAACTTTTAAGATGAATATAATAGATTTTGTAAGATTTGTATCCAATTTTATAGTAGACTTAGAGATTTTACCCTTTTAATAGAGTTCATGTAATTTTATTTATAATTACTTCTGTACATTGAATATGCACAAAGCAACTTTGGGAGGGAGCAGCGGGAGGGGTGTTAATTACTATTTTTCTGAAGTATACTTAGCACTCTGACCTTAAAACAAATTCTTTGTTTTTCCCCAGGAATCCCAAGTAAACTGTATCAATTGCTTCCATCCAAGATGTGTAAATAAATTTCTAAAATCAACGTTTCAAAATCTTTTGTCCAAGAACCTTTTTTCCTACAAAATGATTCTAAGTTTGTCTTTACATATGATTACAATTACTCTGTTATAGAGTAGATTAGTTTTTTATTAGAAATTAGAAATTAGAATTAGGTATGTATACTTAATTCCAATTTCTAACTAAAAAATATGTGTATTATATTATATATAATACACGTTATATATAATTATACATAGAGATTATATATATAGTCAAGCACTATAATTAAAAAACTAATGTATATCATCAAGAACTGTCAGCAGTATGAGGTCTCACCACACTCGTAAGGTACTTCGTTAGCCAAACAGTTGTATGAGTTCCAGTGGAAGGCAGGAGACATCAGGGTCAGAGGTGAAGGACGGTCTGTTACAGCCACAGCAGTGACCAGAATACTACCTTTTTGGCATTGGTTCTCCAAGCCCCCATTCCTACAGACAACACGCAAAGGGGCACAGTCAGTTGTATCACAGGAGAGAGCTCTGAGGCCGGGGAACCCAAATCTTACTTCCAAGTGCAGTGAGCATGCTGCCGGGGCTCTAGGTAGAAACATTATCTTCGGCACATAGGACGTTCGCACGTCTGCCCTTGCCCCAGAGGAGATGCGAGCTCTGGCTCCCAAGGGCTGCTTACTGTATAAACTTGTTCAATTGTGTCAAATGCTTTCTCTGCATTTACTGAGATGTGTTTTCCCCTTTAATCTGTTAATTTGGTAATTACATTGGTTAATTTTGAAACATTATACCAACTTTGCATTGCTGGAATAAATTCCAAAAGGTCATGTATTACCCTTTCAATATACGCTCCTAGGTTCAATTTGATAATGTTTGGTTAAGGATTTCTTCTATGTTCAGAAAGATATTGGTCTTAACATTATTTTCTTTCAAAGTCTTTATCTGGCTTTGGCACCAGGAAAATCTGGCCTCATAAACAGTATTGGGAATCGCTCCCTCATCCTCTGTTTTCTGAAAGGGTTCACGAAAGGATTGGTATTGTCATTAGCTCCTCCTTAAATACATAACAGAATTCACCAATGGCCTGGAGTCCTCCAAATGGGAAGGTTTTACAGTGCAAAATCAATTTCATGAATACATATGGTCAACTGAGATTTTCTATCTATTCTTGAGTCCATTTTGATCATTTTCATGTTCTGAGAAATGTGTACACTTTAAGTTCTCAAATGCATTTCCATGAAGTTATCCATAATGCTCCTTGCTATCTTTGTGATATCAAGAGGACCAGTGACGATATCCCACCTTTCATTTCGGACATCGGTCATTTGGGGTTTCTCTTTTTTTATCAGTCTTGGTAGAGTTTAATCACTTGTATTGCTTTGTTCAAAAATCAGCCCCTAAAGTAGCAAGGAAAGACTTCTAACACATAGGCTATGAAGCTGCAGAATGTCCTCTCCAGTCCCGTGGGAGCTTCTTGTTGGTCCAAATCTCTCTTGAAGTTCAACCTTTCCTCCATGACAGGTCAGCACCCCCCCTGTCTTTGTTTCCGAGTCAGGCCTTACAGAGGCACAGCTGGAGGGCTCCCAGCAGACACTAATGACTGCTGGGCAAGCTATCTTCTTCCATTCTTCGCTCGTGGCAGATGCGGGAAACCACTCAAGTCATCCAGGCACCAACAGGGGACCAGAGATACCTAGATGCCGGAGTTGTCACAAGACGGGAGGCCAGTGACCACTAACCCTTAACTCCTCATGCCTGAGTTCAGGGGGGAAAGTTGTTACACAGGAAACCACCTAATGTTGTGTTGTATTTGCAAACTTAAAGAGTCCGTGATGATATAAAAAATCAATGGTCATCATAAATACGGCACCCCTCAAATAAAAGTGTGTGTGCGTGTTCCTCTATCATTTTAAAGGATCGTTCCTTTTCCCCGTTTCCATTTCCCGTAACGACCATGGATGCAAACTGAGGATAAGCTCCGCCCTCCCTCGCCCTCCAGTCCGGCATCAGACGCACATCCCCACCCACCTACGAATGTCACATGAAGTATGCATTGCTAGGAGAGCACACTCATAAAACTACAGCTGACAAAAGGCAGTGGGAAAAACAAGCATTTAGATCTTAATGAAATCTGAAATTCTAGGCCTCTTATCCCAAAGGAATGTGTACTAGAGGCTGTTTGATAACATCAATGTATGACTATATGAATTTTATAAAGTTATGTGTACCTGGTAAAACCACTCCCGAAGACAAATGTGTTCCCCTTTGAGTTACATTATATCCTTGATAAAGTCTTTAAAGATGTTTATTCCACACTATCCTGTGCATGGAAAATAAGAATTTTAAATACTTTTAGAAGAAGGTAAATAGTTATGAGGCATAAAATAAAAATATATATTTGACAATAGTAAAAATTCACTGTACCAACTGCAATCTCTTTAAAAGCCAGATGTGTATCTGGATTGACATAGCTCCCCGCCCCACTGGGAAAAAATGGGTCCGAAAGAGGACCCAGCCCCCGTGCATTCGGATTTCCAGCTCACAGAAGCCTGGGACGGCAGAAGGGCAAGTCCCAAGGCAGCACTGTGGATCAGAAAGAACTTCCCCAAGACATTATATTAATAAATACTGTAAATGTCTCTTTTTAATACAAACACCACCACCATCCACAAATGAATGAGGACTATTGATATAGACCTCCTTACAAATTATAGTAATACATTTAAATTGTATCTTTCAATAGCCCATAGCTTAAAAAGTGGGAGGACCAGTGAAGAAAAGAGAACTTGGGCACCAGAGAGGGAGGCCTAGGGCATGCTCCGCAAGAGGCAGCGGTGGACAGCTACAGAGGGCCAGGGGGGACACCAAAGACAAATTCATCCGCCTTGTAACTCTGTGATTTTCCGTGAGATAATGAAGTACAAACGCATCCCCCGTTCTCCATTCCCCCAACTTGTCCTGGGGCTGCAGTGGCTGACTTGCTGCTTTATAGAGGCCGTAAATGAAGGTGCCGGACCTCAGAAATTGAGACACTTGACTTACTGTACAGGCTATGACCCTGGGGTGGCAGGCAATACAATTTTCAGCTCCAAGAAGAAACAGCAAGTTCAGGGTTTACTCTGTACGCTCCGCCCCTCCAGCCCCCACATCCACCGCTGTTCTACAACCCTGGAGCTTTTCACCATTAGGAGTCCACACTCTCAATCAAGGCACCGCAAGTCAAGATTTTATAAAACTTCTAAACATCATATTCTCAGAAACACAGCTCTTAACACAGATCAGCAATCACATATTAATTTGCTAATATGCAAATTAATTTATTCAATAGTACTAAAAGAAGAGTATTACAGGAGGAGGATTCAATTCGTCATAAATGCTTCGGCTCTCTGTTCCACAACATCTTATATTTTTTCCAAATAATTGGCACTTGATAAAGAATTACTGGTAGTCAGGATCTACAAAGCTCTTTGTCTTCCAGACGCTAATAGGACTGAACTGAAACAGTCTTGTAGTTCTTCATATTTAGTGCCCTACAATTAGAAAAATAAAAGCTCATTTAATTTTATAGGTATGGCTAATATATCTGTAGGTTCTTGTAAAAATGTTTTGCAGTAAAAAAATTAACAATCCCAAACCAAATTTCCTCATCACACTAAAAAGCTTCACTTTATATAAATCAGATATATTTTAAAGATGTAATTTAAGAATGAAAAATTGGTTTACGGTACCAGTGCTAAATAATCAGTTACTCTTTTCTGTCCAAACACACACACTAGGGCACCACAGAGCTTTCTGTTCTCTGGATAGAAAAAAACTCACAGAAAACTTCACCCAGAATATTATTCCTATAGACAACAGTTAAATTACATAACTATTGAAGGGCAGCCTTACTTTTGTGATATCATAATAATGTTGGTATTATAATCACTGTCTACAAGTGATAAGCTGCACTAGTGTTTTAATAAAAGAAAGTGTGAACTTGGTGCCCTTTTCGTAATCCACTGTAGGATCACACTGAAGTTAGAAATAGGTTCATCAGTTTAATCGACATTAAAATTTTTTCAATGACTAGACAGAAATGAATTCTTTCACTGATTCCTGATCTTGCACACACAGACACAAAATGATGGATTGTCCTTTTCTAATTTATGTTCTGAACTCCTGAGACCGTCTCAATTTTAAGAGTACTCAAATGCTAGGTGAAATTGAAGTTTTAAGATACTCAAATACATACTTCCCCTCGAAGTATTATAAAGTGATGCTAACAGCATTTTAATGAACAAGAATATTTCCTGTTTACATACAAGGCCATTCCAAAGCTAAGAGCAGAAGCCTCAAGTGTCTTGTCAGCCTGCCCAGCTAACTGAACTGGAATGTTTAGTGAGGACTGTCCGATTTGTCTCCAATGACACCACAGATCTGCTTTAAAAATTACAGACAGAAGAGTTCGGTGCGGCTCAATTGGGCTTTTTCCAACTGCAAGTTTCAGAAGATGGGAAAGAACTTCAATGAGGGAGAGCAGGTGTGTGGAAGGATTTCTCAGCTCCCCCAAATTTGTTGTTTACACAAGTATGCACAAATAAAAAACACCATCTTGAAGAAATCTAAATGTCAAAAACAATTTCACTCAGTATAGGAACTACATGGAACATCTTACTTACTTTTTGACATTCAAGGTCATGATGCTTTGAATCGGCCTGCTCTTCGGCCCACCTGGTGGGTGGAAAACCTTAGCGCCTGGGCCCACAGTCTGCTTTGCCAACTTAGTCGCATAAGGGTCAGCAGAATGTGATGGGTAAGGGTCAAACGTGCCTGCCTTCATTCCACCAGCCTACAAAGAAAAAAATTAGACAATAGTATGGGCTTTATAAAATGTTCCCCAAAAAATAATTTTGAAGAAGTTCATACGCATTTGTGTATTGTATGTGGAGCTGGTTTTACATTTAAAGAAAGGTATCTATTCTGTCTAATTCGAGTACTAGTGAAGAGTCTCCCCACCATCAATTTTATGGGGTTAAGATACTATGATTCTAAAAGTCTCTATTAAAATATGTATGTTCACAGGAAAATAATAGTCTAAATTATTGCCGAGCATTAAAATTTTAGTGAGAGTTTATGATATCAGGCTCTCAACCAGTTACGGGGCGAGCCCACCACTGAGGGAATGAGACCGAGGTCACATATATTTTGACAGAGAAAGAAGTTAGGACTTAGAACCGAAGGCTGGGAGAAGAGGCCAAGGGTAAGTTCACCCAACAGGAGGCCTGGCAGAGCATGAGTTTAGTAAACATCAGTCAATGATGAGAAAGATCACTTTCTTTTAAAAAAAAAATAGTACATTGAAATAGAAGGTGAGAAGAAAACGTAATCTATTTTATATTTATTTATAATTAAGGAAAGCCCATTAAAATATTTTCCACTTACACACAAAACAGATAAATATTTGCTTCAGCTTTTTAAACTGATTCACCATGGCTTTAATCTTTATATTATATATAGTTACTAAGAAAATGCTATAGAATCATAATAACCCATTTATTTAGGCATCTTTTCTCTTATAGTATCTAGGCCAAATATATGTGAAAATTTAATTCATTTGAAAGATATGGTTGTAATTTTCAAATTTTATAGATTAAAAACAGATTACTATGAAGAGCAAACAATAACAAGAAAGCTTAAGAAATGTAAAATAGAATAAAAAAGTATTAAAGTAAGTGGATGAATTAAAAATAATAAAATATAGATTGTATATGATAAATATATCAACCTACCAAATGGTGCATTTGAAAGTAAATTAAATAGATAAATCCATATTGAAATTAAGAATATGAAAGGAGTGGAAGAAGCCCATACATATAGAGAATACTAAAATACTGTTTTGGTTAACCTCTATGTTAATAAACTTGAAAACCTGAATGAAAAGAAAAGATTTTCAGAGAAAATGTAAATGTCAAAATTGACTTAAATAGAGATAGAAAACAGATGGGCACCATGCAAGAAATTGAGCCCAGAACATCTCCTACAATAATTCCTTCAAGCATTCAAGCACAGATACTTCCGGTGCCACTTAAATTGGTGTAGAACATAAAGAAGAAAATTTCCAAATCTCCCTGATTATTCTAAGATGCATCTACTTATACCAAAATAGACCAAGGCGTACAAAAAAAAGTACAGTCACACTTAAATTCATTGGCACAAAGATACTTAGTAAAATATTAACAAATGGCCCTGGCTGGCGTAGCTCAGTGGACTGAGCATGGACCTGTGAACCAAAGGATCGAGTCTGATTACCAGTGAGGGCACATGCCTGGGTTGCAGGCCAGTTCCTGGCAGGGGACGCAGGAGAGGCAACCATACATTGATGTTTCTCTCCCTCTCTCCTTATTCCCTTCCAGAAATCTATTGTCGCTCATCTAACAACAAGTCAGAAGGAGAAAAAGAGGCGGTGCAAATAGATTAGACCAAAACAGTCACATAATTCTACATACATTCCTGATTTACCCCGATTGTTGGCATCTGTAAAAATGAAACACCAGGAGTATCCTCATTAAACTCAAGATTAGGGCAAGGACGGCCACTGTTGTGGTCTAAGCAACTGGAGGTGAGCATGACATGAGAGATGTAGGTACTGGGAAGCAGGGAGCAAAGTTATTATGCAGATAATATAATCATATAACCGAAACTCCAAAAAGAGTCAACACAATACCCATTAGAATATAAGACAGTGTAATGAAGCAGCCAGTCATTTTTTTTAATCAAATGTTTTATAAGGACAAATAACATGAGGAGAAATATGATGGGAAGAAAAAACTATTGAGCCCAGCCTTGAAATACGTGAGAATAAATCTAAGATATGTAAGCCTATGCAAAGTAAAATATAATATTCTACCAGGGAAATGAAGGTTCTTATTTTGTTTATTTCTAGGTCAGAAGATTCAAATTATGAATATCCAAATAAATCTTAAAATCTAAAGATTTAACTTTATAGCAAAATACCAAAGGTCTTTTTCCCCACAGAACTTTACAAAATAATTCCAGAGTTGTAGAGAATATGTAGAGGAGAAGGGCCAATACAGTTTTTTTAAAGAAAAACAAGGAGAGAACAGACTACCCAATACTGAAATGTAATAGTAATCATTAAAAGCAGGTTGGAACTGGTAGACAGAAACAAATATCAAACAGAATGGAAATTTAGAAAAAAGAAGTCCTCAAAAAAATGGGAATGTTGATTTGATGAGTGGTATTCCAAAGCAGTGGCATTACAAATTATCCTCCCATTAATACTGGGAACAATTGGCTTTTAGAAAATAGCAGTTTTACTGAAATCTGATTCACACACAACATACTGCACCCACTCGAAGCCCGCAACTCTCTGAGCCATGCAGACACACGCCCTTCAGACCACACGTGCAACCAAGGCGCAGAACATGCCCTGCCCTAAAAACTGGATTTTGAAAAAGGTGAAAGCTGGGTCCTTACCCCGCTCTTCACGTTAGTTCCTGGAGTAAGCAAAAGTAGGTGTGTAGCTGTGAGCACGCGAAACACAGTTGACTCTTTTGCATTATTATTGATTGTTCATTGTATGATTTTCCATATGAACAACTGTCAACCAACTGTTGCCCACCCTGTACATTTCAGATGAAGATTTCCATGCAAAAGAAGAAGACTAATAGAAGAAATCAAGAATGTATATTATTCTAATATTGATGGTGAGGTTACAATATCATAAAACTCAGTGCAAAGGATAAATGTGACTACATCAAATTACTAAATTTCTGAAGGACACAAAATTCCATCATTAAGTCAGAATTAACAGACTAAAAAAATCATTTTCCACACAGATGACAAAAGAACAATATCCTTAATATATGAAAAGATCTTATAAATGAATATGAAGAAATACACATATCCTAACAGAAAATCTGCAGGGAAAATAAACAGGCAATTACAGAAGAAAAATATGTACCAACCAAGGTTTGTAAACCATGAGAAGCATTTTCATTTTTATTCAAACTTGTTAACTTCAGCAAAGTGAGACAGTTCATTTTAATCATTTCAAAAACAAAAAGATCATCTGGCTCCTTATGGTTTGGAGAAAAACTATGCCTAAGATCTAGAGAGGCACTCAGAAAAATCTGTTGTACATTCAAAAATATTTCAACTGATTAATAATTACTGCATAAGAGTGTCCTCATTCCCATATGCTAGCCATACTTTGGGACTTTTCATAATTTTATGAAAACTGGTTTCACGATTCTTGACGTGAGTATGAGCAAAAGTTTATTGACATGGGTAACAAAACAATTTGACAGCAAGAGGCACCATTTCTGTAAAATGCTTAATATTTTTTCATTCTAAAATTTTTAACTTACCTTTTTACCAGGAGAAGGGGGCTTAAAAGGACCTGCAGGTGCTAGTTTCTTCTCTTCTTTCTTAATCGGTGGAAGAGGCTTCTCCGAAAAATAAGGATTGGTATCAAAATAATCTCTTGGGTAAAGATTTAACTTGAAAGGCGCCCCTTTAAGTAGACGATGATGCTCTTCATTCTTTTTCTGTGGAGTTTGAAATTATATAGCGTACGTTACTCAAATTCGTAATAGTACAGAATCGAAACTTCTTTTCCATTTATTTATTTACTTACTTACTTTTAAATCCTCACCTGAAGATACATTCATTTATTTTAGAGAAAGAGGAAGTGTGGCGAGGCGGGGTAGGGGGGAGAAAATGAGAGAGAGAGAAACACTTATCAGTTGCCTTCTGTACATACTCCTCCGTTCTGTTTCTCCTCTCTCACTTTTCTCCATCCCTCCTCCACGCCGTTCACTCACTATAATGGCTTGATCTGCCCCCAAGTACTCCCACTACTTGGCTGGGCACAAGATATTAGGGTGTTGGGGGGACATGACCAAGTGTTAGGATATGACTCTTCTCAAAATAGAGCGTAGGTGCTCAGGTCGAGATAACAGAAGTCTCACAGGCAGTTTAGACAAATGAAAGCTAGATCTAGTAAACTACAGCACCAGAGAGAAGCTCATCCTGGGAAGAGCTTGAGAGGATCTATAGCAAGATGTGTAGCTCTAACAGCAAAAATAAAATAAAATTGTCACGATTCATAAACCTTGGGCTGCCACTCACCTAGTAATACAAATACGTAAAGCAAAACAAAGCATCACCTGATTAAACCAAAATATGATCACAAGTGAATTCTCTAACTCAATGAGAAAAGCTGAAAAAACTTAAAACATTCTTTTACCTTAAAATCTAGTTTTGATGCATCATAGAAATCAGCAGAGTGTGAAAACTGTTTCCCTATTGTGACATTTGCATAGCTAAGGAAAGAAAACAAGTGATGGTGACTTTGGGGTTTGGAAATTTTTTATTTCATTGTTTTCAGTTCAAAATAAATGATACAAAAGTAGTAAATACATCCTACCCATATCCAGTTCCTTTCTTCCCTGGGTTTGTGTATAAATTCTTCCCAGGTGCCTCGTATTTCTCTCTGGGTTTGGACTGCGCACTGAAGAATGGGACTGGGCCACCTATTGTCCCATAGTAGCTTCCCACTCCACATCTTGCCATCAAAAAAAATTAAAAAGCAGGTTAAAATGGCCAATTTTGTGTTACCACAATTTTGTGTATATTTTACCATAATTTATTTTAAAGTGCTGAAAAAAGACCAAAATATTATTGACTTGCCTAATTTTGGTAAGAAAAATATCACTTTTGTTACTTTTTAATTCAATTTTTCCCACGTTTCAAAGACAAATTTTGAAATAAATTTTTAATTTTTTATGCATATTTTAAATGTTTGTATAAATAAAACTTTGTAATCTCTAGAAAATTAAAATCGTTTCCATTAATTCAGTTAACTATAACAATAAATAGACCCTTTTGTGTTTTTTTTAATTTCCAGATACTTTACGGAATTAGCTAATAAATGGTTAATTATTTCTGACCATCCACTCATTAGAAACTACATTTTCAAAACATATAAATATTTTTTCTACTGCTGATGGCAAAATGAATCTCATGGAATTTTGCTGATTTTCTCCTTTGTGGTTTATACTTATTACTATAGAAAAAAATTAACCAAATATTTTTTTACTTTTAATGTTAAATTTTCGGGGCCCACGGTATACATATTAAATCATTAAACCATTTACCACCTAGTACTCTATTTTAACAAATTTTATCTTTAAATTTCATAATAAAAAGGGTAGCTAATGTTAGTAACAGTCATAATCTCTAATTTCCAAGTTATCAGTGAAGTAAATTTTAATAATCAGAAAAGGGTATCCAAGACAAATGAAACCTTATTATCATCAAAGATTGACACTGTTTATACATTTGAATTAAAATTTTAAAAAACTAGACAGACATTAACATCGATTATTTATTACCTCTGGTCTACAAATAGGTATGTTACCCTTTTATAACTTTAAATAAGGTTCCATTAGGGGAAGATATTTATTTTCATTCATTGCTGTTTATGAATATAAACAATAAAATAAAATATAATAAGGAGATAAAGCAATGACATCACAGATAGCCCTGGCTGGTGTAGCTGGGTGGGCTGAGCACAGGCCTGTGAAGCAGACGGTCGCTGGTTTAATTCCCAGTCAGGGCACATGCCTGGGTTGCAAGCCAGGTCCCCAGTAGGGGACACATGAGAGGCAACCACACATTGGTGCTTCTCTCCCACTCTTTCTCCTTCCCTTCCCCTCTCTCTAAAAATAAATTTAAAAAATATTTTTTTAAAAGATGAGTCTTGCCCCCAAGTGGGGGTGGGGAGGGGAGGAGCCAGAAACACAAACATTGCAATGAAGTACGAAGCTTGATTTCTGCTGGAAAAAATGAACCTTCACCATGACAAGTGTGACAACTAACATGCTGTTAAACCCGACGCGTGACGTTCACAATGATTTTTACATAACATATCTTTGGCAAATTATCTCCTTTATCAAAAAAAGGAGGCTTTCCCTAATTTCATGTTTTTATTAATGCCACATGCAAGATTTTTTAAAGCAGACAAAATAGTCCAGGGCACAGATATGATAACCCAAGGAGATTTTTCCCATCCTGACCACTGCCAGGTTAGTGACTGAATTTATATACATTATTTAGTTGGCCTTTCTTATATAAACTCAGAGAACAGTGGCATAGATAATCCAAAATGGAATGCAATAAGGAGAATCAATTTAATCAAAATTACCTGTCAACCTAAATCTTTCAATATAATCATCCCCAACTAAGACAAAATAACCAAAGGACCATACTTCAAAAAAATGTATCATATATAAGCAAGTCCTGCGGAAGAACAAACACTCAATTCAGGCTAGAGGAGAGAAAGCTGCGGGTGTAAGACTTTTCCCCAGTCACTTACGGTTTCTTATCTCCGTTACTAGGGAGGAAGGCTTTGCCTAGATTTTTTTTGGCTTCTTCCATCATATTCCGTCTCCTCACTTGATTCAGACTGACATAGCCTTCACCTTCAAAAACCCTCACAAAATGCGGATCGAAATAGCCGGCCTGGAGACTGGACATTTCTTTTGACCCCCCAGGCAGCATCTGTCTTTTTCTGCTGGCAGCTTCATTAAAGGGTCCTTTAAAGGTAAGTTGGGAATATCATAATTTTGAGCTCACCAGGAATTAAAGAACATGAAAAATAACTCAGAAAAGTTTCAAAATATGACATGGGCCACTAAGTTTTGAGATGTAAAACCGGTTTCAAAATGTTCACTGAAAGCTCTGCATGAAAGGCTAAGTTGACAATAAAACCTAAGAGGGTTGCATTCAAATAGATGAATAATTCGATTAAGGTCCTGGTTATAGACTGTGAATTTCAGAGCTGGAAGAGACTTTAGAGGTCACCTAATCCAAGGCTTCCCCATCTGCATACTGGAAAACACTTTTCGTGTGAGAGGCTTGTGTGTGTGTGTGTGTATGTGTGTGTGTGTGTGTGTGTGTGTGTACAGGCTGAAGGGGAGGGTGTTCCACACTCAGACGGAAACAATTTCCCTCTTGGGTATATACACGCGATTGCCATTGTCCACTAAAAGACCTGAACAAGAAAGGTCATAGCAAAGTCATTCCTTATCACCAAAAATAGTTCAAATGCCCATCATCAGGAGAACAGATAAATAAAGTGTGGTATGTTTATATAATGAAATACTGGATTGGCCATGGCCAAGAAGTTCATTTACTTTTTTCCGTACAATGGCTCTAGTAGAGCTCAGTTGTCTTCTACTTCGTTCAAAACAACGTTATTGGATTGGATTGTGACAGCTGTCAGACCAGCGTGCATTTGAAAAAATTAAAACAGGTGAATTTTTGTGCAGCCATTTTAATGATGAAGATAGAAGAAAACATTCAATATTTTTGGTGTATTATGCCTTATTATTTTAAGAAAGGTGAAAATGCAACTGAAATGCAAGAAGAAAGTTATGTGCAGTGTACAGAGAAGATGCTGTAACTGATCAAACATGTCAAAAGTGGTTTGTGAAGTTCCTTGGTACTAGTGACATTCTGGCCAAATAATTCTCTGCTGTGGGCCGTCTTCTGCATTGGAAGATGTTCAGCAGCACCCCTGGCCTCTACCCACTAGAAACCAATATCAGGAGAGAGCCAACATACTCAAAACATCCAAATCAATAAAGATATTGGTGAAAATGAAAAGCGTGTCCTTTATTTAATGGGGAAAAAACTAAATGGGCTTTTTGGCCAACCTAATAAATAATAGTAGCCCTAAAATTTTTAAAGTCTGTTTTTATGAATATTTACAACTTCTTTTATAATTGGGATCAATTTGGGAGGTCCTCAGTAATGTAAATAATCTTTTGAAGTGCAAACAATCTTTAAATCAACTGGCTATTTAAATGAGAAATTGTATAATTGATTTTTTTAACTTAAAATTTTTTTAAAGTAATACATTCACACAGTTCAGAATGCAACAGCATAAACATTTTTACAACAAATCCTCCTCACACACTTGGCCGTTCAGTTCCTCTAACATAGGCGATCATGGTATTAGACTTGTTTCCCAAAGAATGTGGAGGCATGTTCCAATAAATATTTTCATATTCTTCTCTATTTTTAATGCTCAGCAAACTATATATATATACCATTCTGCAACCTAATTTTTTAGTAACATATCTTGGAGGTCTTTTGTATTGGTATATTCTTTCTTACTGATAAATAGAAGTCATCAAATACCAAAAATTTAACTAAGATTTTGAAAAGCTTTATTTACTTTAGCTTTTATTATTTATGACTCTTCTAAAAATCCCTCAGCTATTCATTTAGCATTTCATTTTTCCGAGAAGGGATGGTGAATGGCCTTTTCAGGTGCAAATGTAAATGCTATTTGCATACTAAAGTGTGCCATTTAAGGGAAAAAAGCTAAAAAAATATTCTGGGAGAAAACTGCCATGAAACCTTGGAAAGCAGTAAAGTCCCCCATAAGCAGAATTATAAAGGTAGGGTATCCCAACGAAATGAGCTTCCTGCTCTTATGAAATGACAGTCTCAGAATGCTATGGAAATCACACAGGTTTATTCAACAACAGTACTAATACTTTAAAATATGGACATTGAAAAAACTAACTTAAACATGAAACCCAAACTTTCATACAGGAAATGGCTACTGCTAGGCTGTAAAGAAAACTACACTCACGATTAAACGGAGACACATATTTATCGCCCACAGTGACATAGCCCATCTCACTGAAGAGGCCGATCCTCTCCATGTCGGTCTTCCCTCCTTCTGCAGGCATGGCTGCTTCTCCGCCAGGCTATGTCGGTACCTTCAAAGGGTTCCTTAGGTCTACTCCTATTACAGCCCCAATCTACCTCACAAGGAAAAATACAGGAGGGAACATTTAAAAAAATGGTGATTAATAAATTTCGGTCTAAATTACTTTTAGTCTCTAACATTCTCTAAAAAACAATAGACCCCAACTATGTGGGGAAAGAATTTACTTTGGGGGCTGAGAGGGGAATAATGAGAGTCAACATTATCACCAGTGAGCTCTCCTCTTCGCTTTCCAGGTAAAATATCCAGAAATGACTAAGTGTGTGTGACAGCATTGTCCCACTGCCATCCAACTCTGTCATTGATAACATTATTACTGTTTACTGAGGCACAGAGACTGTGCAAACAACCCCCTTTGAGTTCAAGTTAGAACTAAAAGTCATAATTAAGGCAGGCATTTTCCGTTTAGATCATACTGCATTTTCCCTCATACTGAAAATTATAACTTAGCTTTTCAGAATGCACAACACACACAGGTAAAACCCTACAGTTCTCGAGTTTTTTCAGGCTCAAGGGGGGAGGGGACAATCGTCTACACAAGATAAAAACGAAGAAAAATACCAACAAAAATCCAAAATGAATTCAAAGTATCTGTAAAAGGGCAGGCTGTAACTGTGATTACCTTTTGAAATATCACATTAAACATGCAATGACTTACTTAGCTATTAATTTCTTACTTAGACTTATTCTAAAAAAGGAGAACCAAAGAGCTAAGAACACTTGACTCCTTTTCCTCATAGTGTTTTTGAAGCACCAAAGTGATCTAGGCACTGGGCATCCATTAGTGAAAAAATCAAACACTGACTTATGCCTTGAATATAGTGGGAGCTGTCAGTGACACTAAACTTTTATATTTGGAACTGAGGCTCATCTGAGGATGAATCACTGCAAATGTGCAATATCAAAAGAGCAGGTGAAGAGTCCAGTTAAACTAAAAGGAAGAAAATATAAGCCCTTCCCCTCCTCCTACCTCTTCCTCTGATCGAGTACGTTTTTTAAGAGCTAGTGGTCAGCCGGCTGGAGTGTACTCCTTAGATTTGCGTGGTATTTCAAAGCTCCACGCCCACTGCCCACCCGCCAGGCTTCCTGCGCTTTTACAGGGGCTCCCAAGGCCGCTCGCACCCTCACGTGTGGCCCTGAGGACCCTGCTCCCTGAGCTGCACTTGCCTTCCTTCTGCTCTCAGGTTGCGCCCTTCCCCGTCACAGGACCCTGACACACACTCTGTCACTTTAGGCAGGACTTCACTGTGCCACACCCTTTCGTACCCTCAATTAACCCTGAGCCTTCGTATGATTTAATTCATCTTGGCTTTAATTCCATCACAGCCGCACGTGCTTCTCTTTCTGTGTCCTCATCATTATGCGTTATCATCTTACATCCACGTTAACAGCTCTGCCTCATTCCGCCCCCCTGCCACCCACACACACACTGGATTGTTGGTCCACAAAGGCAGGAACGAGGTACGAGTTTGGTTCTTAGTACAATACTCCCCGCGTCTGCGCAGCGCCTGGAGCAGCAGCAAGAGCATGGGAAGAGTTTTTCCACTCTTTAACTCTCCTTGAGCAACATTTACAAAATCATCATTCATGTATTTAGCAGAATCTTTGCAAACCCCTCTGGGTAAGGCTCTTCTCGGTAAGACTCGCTGAGAAAACTGGTATTTTAAGAAGCATGGATGATGCCCTCAGAGAGCTTACACTCTAGAAGTTCATAATTAAGTATAACACTCCTGAAACGTGGATAAAATGCCGGGGGTTGGGAGGAGGGTACCCGAAGGGCAGAAAACTCCTGGCTAACCTGATGAGGAAAGGGAGTTCCCACTAGGGAAACAGAGGCTCGGAGTAGGTATGTATATATAAAGGGCAACACCCGGCGGCCGCCAGGGCTAAGTCACCTCCCAGAAGGGTATTCAATCCGACCACCGATATCAGGTCGACTCAGCTCCGGGCCAGGTTAACTCAGCTGCAGTAGCCACGAGGGCTGCGAGGAGGCCTTGCGCAAGCGCTTCCTGCGCGGGACTCGCCTTGAAAAGCCACCGCAGGCTCCACGCTCAGATTGTGTTTGTTGCGACACGTCGCCCCGGGGACGGGAGACACCATTCCAAGGACGCTACGGGGGGGCCGTGGGGGCATCTAGAGGAACACAGAAAGACTTATGAGTCGGGTGGAATACGAATGACTCAACCAATAACATTTACTTGTAAATTTTAATAAAATTTACTTCTATGTTAATTACAACAAGACTTCTTCCTGCCCCTTTCTTCACCCGCGAAGAGCTGTGGCGTGGTACGCCCGTGACGTCACTGCTGGGCATGCTGGGAGTTGCAGTCCGCCTTCCCCGGCCCCGCCCCCAGAGTGACGACACTTCCAGACCAGCCTCCCGAGCTGGTGGGCTGACGTCAGCGTCACTGTCACCGCCACTGTCACCGCCGAGGCGCTGGCATGGTGAGTACCTCTGCTCGCGACCGACCCCTGCGTTTCCCCGCGGACTTCGGTAGCCGCCCTGACTACGGCTCCAGCGCCCTTGAAAGGAGCTGGTCCTGCCGGGGCCCGCGATGGCAGCCGCGAACCCCACGGCCTGGGCCGCCCTGTGCTCGACCTCCCAGCTGGGGCCGGAGGGACACTGCCCCGCACTGCGTGGATCCCCAGCTCCTCCGTATTTGGCCACGCGCCTCCTGCGCCGCCTCCACGTGAATGCATTTTGAGGACGAGGGAACATTCGGTGTTTTTGAAGGTTTGAAGAAGTTTTTGACCTGGGAAAGGCGAATAACTTCCTTCAAATATTCTGTTCCCTCCATTCCACTGATGTCACACTTCCGGTTTCCCTCCCTTGTAATTGCTCAGCAGGTCCTCCAATCCCTACCCTACACGCCGTGGTGTTCTTCAGGAACACTTCTTTACACCCTGTGCCTTCTCCCAAATTCGTGTCTCCAGCTTAGACCTTTGTTTTCAACCCCAGATACGCATACCCACTGGCTGTACCTCTACTGGGATCGCTCACGTATATTTCACGCTCAGCAAGGTCAAAACCGACTCATCATTTCCACCTCTCATCCCACCCCTGCTCTTCCTCCAGTGATCCCACCTTACTTAACCGTGCCCCGCATCCACCCTCTTGTGCATCCAAAACCCCGGGTATCATCCTTGATATCTCCCTCTTCTCAGCTCCTGAGTATCTTACCAGTGAGCAAGTCCTGCAGCGTCCACTTCTAAATGGCTGTATATTCTCCCTCTCTGCACTCTTACCACCCTTGTGCTCACCACCAGCATCCAGCCAGCTGCCTAGTCTCTTTCTGGTCCTTTCAGCAGGCCTGGAATGCGCTCGCACAGACCCAGCCCCACCTTTCCTTTGGAATTGTCATACTTGTGCCTGCTCTCCCCTCGGATCTCAGCTTAAATATTACTGCTTCTAGGCAAGTCTAGGGAGAGCCTGGTGCTTTTACACGAGATCTTTTATGGAATCTGCACAACCATCCTATGAAGTTGTGCATTTTTCCGATTTTACTGAAGAGTACAGAAGACTTGAGTAATTAGTTAAATTGTGCAAAAGCATACAGTAAGTCACCAAGGTAAATTTGTTCTTGACTGTCTTTTTAACTTTTATCTTCTTTGGGATCTTTCATTGCCATTAAATGTTTTCCACTCAAATGGGTGCCTAGTATATTGTATTGTAGTATTGTTCTTTATTTTACCAACCTCTTAGTGATAGCTATTTAACTTTTTGGGAGGCAGGGGAGGGGTTGCTATGATGAACAAGAGTACGGTAAGTGGACAATGTTGAAGCTAAATTTGTCTTGAACTTTCTTCATTATTTTCTTAGAATTCCCAGAAATAGAATGGGGCAAACAGGTTATAATTTATGAAATAAATTAAAGCAGTCACCATTTAAAAATGTGACGAGATTTGTAAACGAGAAAAACAGTAATGATACCTACTCAGTAATGTTCTGACGATCAGAATTAATGTATGTCCAGTCACTAGCACCATGCCTTTTACATTTTAAGAGCTCAGTCAATGTTTGTACTTAGTCATTTATTTCAAAATAAGGCTCTTACTATGTAGTGTAGGTCTTCAGCCTGTCTGGGAAATATTTTCAGACTCTGATGAACTCTTTGAAACCCCTTCCCAAAGCTTCTCTCCCTCCTCCACTCCCCGTACCAAAATGGTAGGTATCATTTGTCACATGCCATCAAATACCTGAAACTCAGCACATGTACCCAAGTTAAAAATTGCAGATAGATTCCATTTTACAAATTCTCTTTTCCCTTTGTAAGTTGCAAGCATTTTCCTATGGTGTGAAAAACTCTTCTAAAGCATGGTTTTTCATGGCTATATAATACTCAGAACCATTTAACCCATCTGTTCTTCTTGACATTTAGGTTAACATCCTCATTCCTGAATCTGTGGGTGTTTTGCAGATTTCCTTAAATTTCTAAATTCACACTTACTACTCCAAGAATGAATTTAAGGCTTTTGGTTCTGATTGGTGCATTGCCTTAGGGAGTGTTCTACAGTTCATCATCCATTGGCGATGTATCCATTTTCTCTCTCATCCTCTTGACCACCAAGTAGTATTGTATTAGGCTCAATGTTTTTGTCCCACTCTTAGACGAGTTCTTTACCACTGATGTTTTGGGGTCAGTATTAAGCCCATTGTTAACACTATAATTTAGGAATACCATCTCAGAGTGGTGGTATTCCTCAATTTTTCCACATTAGAATCACTTGGGTGGGAGGGGATGGGCTTTTAAATGACCTTATGCCCTAGACAGACCACAATTAATTAAATCTCTAAGAGTGTAGCCCAGGTCCTCGGATGGTTTCAGTGTGCAACAAAAGTGGAGAACCCCAATCTAGAATTTGGGGTGTTTTGGTTTGTTTTTCTGCATAAAATAATTCACTCAAGAAACAATTTGAAAAGTCAAAGTCAGTTAATGCCTTGGCCGAAACTCAGATAGATTGTAATGTATGTGAGGATGAGTTTGTCTGGTTTCACAGTGGAAGTTTTGTTTCATGTGTCTTAGGTGACTTCAGGGACTATGGACATACTCTTCCGAGTAAGGGGAGGACTTGATCTGGCTTTTCAGCTCGCTACTGCTAATGGTAGGTCTGCCAGAAAACTCTGTCTATTATAAAATTGATAATGAACTATACTGCCATTCTCACCAATCTGCAAATGAAACCGAGGGGGAGATATGTCCCAATTAGGCAAATCTATAAAAAGACAGAGAGTAGATTAGTAACTGCTGTCAGTAAGTGTCCAGGGAATAGGGAATGACCTCTGATAGGGACAGTTTCTTTGCGGCGATGGAACCATTCTGGACTTAGAGAGTAATGATTGTGCAGCCTCATGAATATACTAAAATCAACTGAGTCGTACTTGTTAAAAAGAATGAATATTATGGTCTCTGAAATTTATCTCAATGTTTAAACAAGAAAGGCAAAAATTTTAAATAATTATTGAATTTGGGGAACAGATATTTAGGGGTCAATTTTACTTCTACTTTTGGGTATTTGAAAGCATTCATATTGAAAAGTTTACATTGTCCCTAACTGACTTCTATTTATATTCTTTCAATTTAGAAATTTTTGTCAAGAAAGCACTAAATCATGTGTTGAGCGACCTGTCAACCAGGCTTTCTTCAGACGCACTGGTGCTCAGCATTCGCCATAGTCCCGTGTACGTGTGGCCGAACAGCGACCAGAACACCTTACCGGGAGAACTGACGGACGGTTCCGCTTGCAAGACCATCATGCGCTTTATCCAGTGAGTGCGTTTGCAGATCCCCATCAATGTTTTCAAAATGGAATTGCATAGGATAAACATCTTTGTGTATTAAACATTTAGATTTGAACAGGAAGAAGATACAAAACGGAAATTCATGAGAAAGAAAGACAAAAGGTTACCAGACGTGGTAAGCAAATCACCTGTCTTCTTCGTGGTAAAAATTTTAAATCCTTGAATTTGGACTTGAGATCTTAGAAATTATTTAATCCTCTCTTAGTTTTTACAGATCAGATCATTGAGGTCCAGAAAGATAAATGATTTTCCAGAAGTTATACTTTTTTTTCCATATCTAAACTCCCATCCCATTATAACACTTAGCTTAAAAATTTCTGAATGCTTTCTTTATTCCCACAAAAAACAGCTTGAGTGCATTTCCAAATTACTTAAAATTTAATAAAAAGGAATCGTTCTGAAACATGCAGCAACACACTATTCTGTGTGACATAGTAAACAGTAAATGATTTACTTTTCTTCACACTGTTCTTGCTGTTGACTTTTGACCCCGTGCTGTTGAGTGCCCACCTGTCATGTGCTGCAGGCTCCCCCAGATACTGGGGGTAAGAACTGGAGCTACTTCTTCAAGGCAGGAAGTCACGCAAAACGAATTTGATGGTAGTGGATTTCCAGGCTGGTAGGGGACAACTGGGGGACATGAGGTTGGAGAGGTCGGTAGGGGACACTTCAGGAGAAGCTGACTAGTAGCTGTGATAATAGGAGGGAAAGGAGACAAGGTATTAAGGGGACACAATGCATGACACCTGGAAGCCAGTGGGATACGCAGTGACCAGGTTCCTGCTGGAGTTAAAATGGAAGTTGGAGGAGGCATGAGGGTCCGTTTGGCTTGTGTTGTGTTTGAAATACCAGTGAGGTGTCCCCATGAGCTGTTTCCCCAATCTGGGGTACACACGAAAATTACGAGCTATATAAATCATTGTTTGAGAATTGTCAATAATTGGAGCTTGACATTTTGAAGAGTACAGGCCAATCATTTTGTAGAATGTGCCTCAGTGTGGGTTTGTGTTGTTCATGAATAAACTCAGGTCGTGCATTGTTGGTGGGAATACCACAGAGGTCAAGTTTGTTTTCCTAAGCACATTACGTTAAAGACGTGCATGTTTCCAGTTTGCTCCTAGTGTTGGTGACGTTGCCTTTGATCACTTAGCGTACCTGCCACTGCTCTCCACTGTGAGGGTACTGTTTTTTCCCCTTGGTTAGGAAGAGTCTCATGGAAATATACTTCGAGACTATGTGTATATTCTGTTCCTCATCAAATTTTTACCTACCACTTCTAGCATCAATTGATAATTCTTGCCAGAATCCAGTATTAATCTGACGGTTGCAAAGTGGTGATTTTTCTATCATTTCCTTCCTTATTCATTAGATATCATTAAAAGCTCTTCCTTATCCTTATTTATGTAGTTTCTGCACAGATACATGGATTCTTGTTTTGTTCAATGAGTTGTAATCTGTTACTATTCTAAGTTATTCTGAGGCTCGCATTCATTGTCCAAGATTTGGCCAATAGAAGCTTCTCCAGGCTAGCTCCAGCATTTTGTCGACACTGTATTTCCAGTACTCCCCTACTCCTTCCGCAGGCTGTTCCAGACACTTCCTGTACTGTCTCCGTTCCAACGTAGGAGTGAGCCATTTCCCTAAGGAGCATGCACGTGGATGAGTGAATCCACACACACACACACCACTCACACTTATCTCTGCAGTCATTCTATACCTCCATTCCATTTCAGCCTCACACACTTCCTACCCTTTTCCTGGGGGGAAACCCTGCTTCCAGCATCCTCTGATCTCGCTACATTTGTTCAATACATAAAAAGTATTTTCAGAATTCTTGTTTCACACCACTATCAAAATCAACCCTACTAATCAAATTCAATATTTGTTTATAGTTCTTTATGTCTTTAAAGCTGTGGTATTGAAAGATAGTTTAAAAGTTCCTTTCGTGGGTGGTTATTGGATCTTGTTCATTTAATTTTTTAAAAAATTTTAAGTTTATAAAAAGTCAAGAGAACAGGATAAGGAATCCCAGTGACCAGCCCTAATGTTTATCAATACGTAGTCTGATTGCATCTTTATCAATACACAGTCTGATTGCATCTTCATGCCCCCGCACTGTCCACCTCTCCTCGGACTGTTCTGAAGCACAGAGAGATTTTTGTTAAGATGAGATCTGGGCTTTTAAACAATTCACAGTAATATAGCTTTGGCCCTTAAAAAGTCCTTTAACTAACCCTTTTATATTCAGTGTGCTATGAGTTGACTGTTTCTCTTTGTAGAATCAAATAGTAAATATAGATCTTATGCTGGAAATGTCAACCTCTCTGGCAGCTGTGACCCCTGTCATTGAGAGAGAGAGCGCAGGACACCACTACGTGACCATGACGTTACCGGTTGATGTGGTTGTATCGGCCGCCCCCGAGGAAGCATGGGGAAAGTACGTACTTTACGCTCTGCCACCACGTTTCAGCGAGCGCCCTGTCCCACAGTCGCCAGAGTCCACTTTCAAGAATCCTTAAGGCACATCCAGGGCGGTGGGTGGGGTTTTTAGTGTGATTTACTCCATGTTTTTCCTTGTCAACTAGTAATTAAATGTTTATTTGAGGAAGGAGGGCAGTTTGCAAAGCCTAGATACAGAGTTTTCCCTTTATCTACACAGAGGAAACAGCGTTTATTTCACTCTTCATAATTTAGACTTCCTTTAGTAAACCTGGTCCAGTCAAGTTTCTTTGAATACTACATTAGGGATACATTGACTGCACACATTTTCATTTATCATGTATCATAGCCACTGTCACTTTTGTTAATGCACTTGTATATGTCTCCCCCCAGAGTTCGAAAGCTTCTAGTTGATGCAATTCATAATCAGCTCACTGATATGGAAAAGTGCCTCCTGAAATACATGAAAGGAACCTCCATCGTGGTCCCGGAACCACTGCACTTTTTACTACCAGGGCAGAAAAATCTTGTGACAATCTCATACCCATCAGGGATTCCGGACGGGCAGCTGCAGGCCTACAGAAAGGTGAGGCCAGTTCATTTCTTCTCCGAAAAAATACGACCATCATTCATTTTATATTGAATTGCATATTTCCAATAAGTGGAAATTACTTTTACAGGTGGAAACAGGCTATTTGTTTTACGTATTATTTAATTTCTCTATGAGTGAAAAAACATGTAAATCCGTATGTAACATTTGAATTTTATTTGCTCAATATGGCTCATGTATTCTGTGAAATTTACTATTTTTCCGTAAGAAAAAAAAAGAATTGAAAAGGTGCTTACAGTGAGCTAGAGAAGCTGATCAGTGTTAATACAATTTCTTTTCCCTTTGACTACTTTTCAGATTTATAAAAAAAAAAAAAAAGATTACAGTCAAGGACTGGAAATTGGAATTTATGCTAATTCTAGTTAGGATTTATAGTAACACTCCATCCCTCCCCCACTTCCCAGGGTTTTATTAGAGGCATTTAAAGAAAGCACATTAAGCACTCAAAGAAAGGAGACTTACTGGCACGGTGACTGGTTTCAGAGCGCGCACCTTGGATGTGTGGCCTTGGCCAGCGCCCGTCGAGGTGCCCGCAGGGGCATCTCCTCAGTCTCTGAACCGGAGGAGGGCTCCAGCAGTGTGACCCCCTGCACAACGCTGTGCCAGGCCGGTTGATACGCACGGGCATCAGCTACAGGAGCTCATGGCCCCCTCAAACTGCCAGAGTATGCAGGGGATTCAAAGAAGAAAATTTCAAACTTTTCAGAGTAACTCTTACATATTTTTGTACAATTGGGAATACTCGTGCATTTTCAACATGTGCAAGTATTTTCAGCATTATTTCAATGCTGTATTGGTTGGTTTCATAATACCAATGTCTTGTTTCCCCCAAAGATGGCTTACTTTTATTGGGAGCAGACATGCTAACTGGCCATAGCTTTAGTGGTCAATTATGTAAATTCACAAGTAGCCAAAAAACAGAGCTTTGTGTTTGCAAAGCTCCAATTGCTAAGAGAAAACAAGGGCTCAGAAACTCTCAGACTCTCTTAAATATACAACCACATGTACAGCTTCATCTCGTAGCTTTTTTTGTTATTCCCAATTTTTCCCCCTTTGCCCTCCTCTGCCCACCCCACCCCCCACTCCCACAGTCAGTTCCCACCCTGTTGCCCAGGTCCGTGGGTAATTCATACGTGTTCTGTGTCTAGTCCCTTTCCCTTCTTTCCACTTCTGTCCCCCTCTCTGCTCCCCTCTGGTCACTGTCAATCTGTCCCACGTGTCCATGCCTGTGGTTCTGTTTTTTCATTAGTTTATTTTGTTCATTAGATTCCTCTTAGAGGGGAGATCACATGGTGCTCCTACTCTCTGCAACATCACGGACAGAACTGGACAATATTATACTAAGTGAAATAAGCCAGTCAGTGAAAAAGAAACAGCGTATAACACCAGTTTCTACTCTGAAATTTAACCACTACCCCTTATACTCGTTAAGTACTCAGAGCATGATTGTTTTTAATTTACTGATTTTAGAAAGAGAGAAACATTGGTTTATTGTTCCACGTATTCATGCATTCATCGGCTGATCCTTGTACGTGCCTGACTGGGGATCAAACCTACAAGCTTGGCGCATAGAGAATGATGCTCTAAACAACTGAGCTACCCGGCCAAGGAGAGCATGATTTTTAAAAATACTTTAAAATAATTATATGATTGTTAGTCATAATTTACTCATTTACAGGGCTGTTTCAAAACCATATACAGTCTTTACCCTGGGCATATTGTAACAGACTGTGTTATAATAGATAATTAAGTTCTCTCACACTTAACAAATTATTTTCATTTTTCCATGTTCCCTTCCAGTTTCTGCCCATACACATAGATAATATTTGTATTTATTACCTAATAAAAGCAAAAATAAATCTGTTTGCTTGTAGTTTATGTTCACCCTCTTTGACTTGAGTGAATTAAATCATAAGTGTGTTAAATCAATATACAGTTAATTTTCTGTTTTATATCTCTACTTTGAGTTCATCAACTAACTAGAAATGTAAATCATTTAGTATTTTTCCTGTTCTATCCTGCTGATTCTGATTTCATGTAGGAATTACACGACCTCTTCAACCTGCCACACGACAGACCTTATTTCCGAAGGCCTAACGCCCACCACTTTGCAGACGAGCCGTACAAAGATGGTTACCTTAGAAATCCACACATTTATCTCAACCCACCTAACATAGAGACTGGTATGGTGAGTTTAATCATTATTTCTGGGTGTCGATTAATCATTAATGTCCTTAAGTTTCTTGTTTGTACCAGTGGGATTTGTTAAGAGTTGATTCATAATGTCTGTCATCCCTGAAACATAATTCACCACCCATTGCTTTTAATGATCAGTTTCGTAAGATAGCAGTAATTTACAGTGGTCTAAAAAGGTCCCTATAGATATTATTACCATATTTCTCTTACTAAAATTCCACCCCGTTTTCTTTAAAGGCTTGTTCCATTTTATTTTCATTCTGTAGCTGAGAAATCATGCTAATTAAGGGCATATTCTGCCCAACCACACTGTAGCAGGAGTCTAATAAGCTACTACAAAGTGTTTTCTGTGCCCAATGTACCTGGTTGCAAAGGGTAATCTTCACTCAAGCTGCTGAAATAAGGGGCACAGGGGAAGGGCTCCCTGGTGGATGTGTGTAGGCCAGTTGGAAAAGATCCTGTGGCATCCAAGAATCGGAGTGTTTGCACAGCTGGCCTCTCAGAACAAAGCAGCTGCCGCAGGCTCCAGTCTGCGTTGGCTCCTGGGTGGCCTTTCTGCTGCTCTGTCTGCTTTTGATCCTGACTGGCCCGTTCCTTCCCTTTACTCTGTCTTTTCTCAGCCTCATCCCTTCCGTCCCCTCCCTATTTCTGCCCCCCCTCCTCTCCTCGCCAGCCAGCTCGTGGTGCGCTTTGTTTCTGCTTCATGCCCTGCCCCTTTCTGCCCACTCGCTGGGCACCTTCAAACTCCCAAGACCGCAAACTCGATTGGCCATCGTGTCACGGCAGCTGCTCAGTACCTGCTGAGTCTCCGGGTGCTTTGTAAGGAAATCTCAAGTAAACACGAATATACGATGCAGAGTCTAGCCCAGGGGAGTTGGAGGCTCACTGCTACCCTGGCTGTCAGAGTGCACTGGGGACAGCAGGTCCGTCTGGGCAGGGCGGCTTCCCACAGAAAGACCTGGCCGGACACTCGCGTTGATTGCTTGCACACAAGTGCGTCTTTAGTCAGCGTTTCAGTGATGCCATGTGATTCCATTCATTTTGCTTGAGAGACCTATTCCTAGTTGAAAATCTTGCTCTGTCGGTCACAGAATCACAGAGTAGGAAATACAAAGCTTAGAGTCTCAAACACTATAATTCTTCATGGTTTTCCAGTAGATCATTATACAAATGTTTTCTCTCTTAGGCTATATTTGGAATCCCTCTAGGGTAGATATGGTTATCATATATTGATATAATTCTTAATAGTTGTTTATAAAGTGCCACTCAGAAGATACTGGATAAATGCTGATTCATTTACAATGAAATGGGTTTACTCTTTCTGTTAGAGAGATACAAGAAGCATTTCTGTAGTTTTAAATACTTGCTGTAGAGCATTGGATGTGTGCCTGTAACATACATGTAAGTTGTAAAGCACAGTGAGGACATGAACACTAGGAGCCCCCCACCCGATTTGAGAACCAGCTCGTGACCGGTCTGTGTGCTCCTGCCCTGCGCACGCCTTCACCTCCCTCCCCCGTGGAGGAACTGTTGTGCTGAGTTATGTGTTCCTCGTTCCCTTCTTCTAATAGTTCTGCCGTATGTGTGTCTGTTTCCTCAACAATGTAGCTCTTCGTTTCACTTCACAGTGCGGTCTTATTAAAAGTGCCACTGTGTCTGTAGTTCTTCCACAATCTGCTTTTCCACTCCGCGCTAGGTGTCTCCGACTTGCCCGTGGCCTTGTGTCTGTTTCAGTAATCCTTAGCGCTGCACAATGTACCTCTGAGTGATGCTCCCCAGGCTTTTGGCCACTTAGACAGCCCTGCCACAGCCAGTCCTGTTCCTGTTTCTTGTTACATACGTTCGATAATTGTCAGCATCTACTTCATCTACTTCATTTCTCTTTTTTTCTCCCCTTGAGTCATTTCAAAGAATATTGCAGACAGCCTGCCATTTACCCTACAAACCATAGCACAAACCTTCAAACAGTAATAGATCGGCATCCCTGGGATAAACCTAGTTTCTTTATGATTATTATTTTTTATTTTCTGCCGGATTTAGTTTGCTAACAGTTTGTTGAGATGTTTGCATCTAACTTCATGCATGATACTGGCTTATACGAGGGGAGATCCGAAAACAACAGACTTTATTTATAAAAAGTTATGTATTTATTCTTACATGTTTAAACTTAAGTCATTTTATTTCACTTCTCAAAACAAGTTTTTGAACTCGTCAATTTTTATGCCCTTTAGTGCTTCTGCTGTTTTTTGTTTTACCTCTTCCACAACAGCAAAATGTTTCCCTTTGAGAACTTTTTGGGGAAACAAAGAAAAAGTTGCTTGGGGCAAGGTTAGGGGAATAGGTAGGTCCCAGGGGTCATGTCATTTTTGGTCAAAAACTGCTGAGCACTCAGCACAGTGCTCATTAACCACCCATCATGAAATGGGCAAAGACGTTGAAAGAGTCTTCACAGTCCCTGAAGCCAAACGCAGCCTCTCACAACAACGCCAGCTGGTGCACTGATCCACATGGGTTCCTGGAACGCTCACCTAGCTGGCCCACCCTCCAAAAAATAATTCCATTTTTTTGTGTGGGGTTTCCCCTTGTTAATTTTTTTCTCATACTGTTCTTAATATTTGTTTTATATCAATATACCAGCAAATTGAGAGAGTTGGATAGTGTTCCTTCTTTTTTTAATTTTCTAGAGGTCTTTATATAAAATTGGCATGATCTTCTCTTGATCATTTAGTAAAACTCACCTATAAAACAATCTGGGCTTAGCATTTTCTATGGGAAGATTTTTTAATAGCATTTAATTTTGCAAATGGTTATAGAACTTTTTAATTTTTTTTAACTTTTTCATTTTTGTAAGTTATATTTACCTAAGTTTTAGTCTTTCATGTAGTTGTGATGTTTTCTTTTTCATTCATTTCATTTTTATGCCCTTTTTAAAAAATGTTTGGCTCTTTTTACCCCTTTTATTGTAATTTTTATATTCTTGTTCATTAATTTTCACTCTGTATTTTTTACTTCCTTTGATTTATGTTGTTTTTCTTCTTCTAAATTCTTGAGTCTGCCACTTAGCTTATTGTTAGTCTTGCTTATCTTCTAATTTAAGGTTTTAAATTTCTATCTAAACACTGCTTTCACAGGTTTTAATTTGGCATATTTTAGTTTTATTCATTTTCAAGTATCTTTATAGATTTTTAAACCCATGTGCTATATAGAAGTGTTTTTTTAACATCCAAATATATCAGAATTCACTTATTTAGTTAGTTACATAGTTATTTTTACTGATACCTGACACCTGCCTACTGGTTAGAAACAATTTCTATGCAATACAGACTCTAAAATTTATTGATACTTACATTTATTTCCTACAGATGCTACAACAACCACAGATTTGATGGCTTAAAACTATAAAATGTGTTCTTTCTCAGTTCAGGAAGCCAGATGTCAGAAATCAGGGTCACTGGGCTGAAGTCAGGGTGACAGCAGAGACTCGCTCCCTCCCAGGGTTCTCGGGGAGAATCCCCTGGGCTCTTCCAGAGGCTGGCAGCCGCGTCACTCTGATATCCGCCTCAGCGGTCTCAGTGCCCCTCGCTCTGTCAGATTTCCTTCTCTCTCCTGCATGGATTCTTATGGTTGCCTTTAGGGCCCACCTGGAAGATCTCCCCGTCTTAAGAGCCTTAAATTTAATCACATCTCCAAAGACTCAGGTAGCTTCTGTAGGTTCCAGGGATTAGGATGTAGGTATCTTTTAGGGACCATTTTTCAGCCTACACAACAGTCTAGTCATAAATCTTCTACATGTGCTTGAATGTGTATCTCCTAATTATCGAGTGAGGATTCTATATTTGTCTGTCACTCTTCTTATCTAACTTTTTTAAATGCCAGTTTATCAAAAATATGTGTATTTTTAACATGACATGACAAGAATTTATAAGATATTGGCCCTTATTTAAGGATCTTTAATAGCACACCTGGGCTGTAATCATCGGCAGGCTTACAAAATTTCAGCAACACTCCTCATAGGTCCTATTATATGGACCCTTCATCATTCCTTCCTTCCTTCATTCATCATTTATTCAACAAGCACTTGTTAACTGTTTGCCAAGTTCATTGTAGAATCTTGGGCTTATAAAGACATAGGACACACTGCATGCCCCTGTTTGAACTCAAATAGTAGTGCGGGCAGGCAGCTTTTTAAAAAATAGTAAGTCATGTGTCAAGTAGTGCTGTCTTAACAAATGAATCAAGCAGGATAGAGAGTGACGGCCGGAGCAGGGGCAGGTTGTAAGGGAGCGAACCTGCCATTTTTAGGTTGGATAACCAGGGAGGGATGCCTCTGACTTCTGAACAGAGACCCGAGAGAAGTAAAGGTGCAAGCTCTAAAATTACCTGGGAAGAGAGCATTCCAGGCAGGGAGAATCATGAGGCTCTGATGTCAGACTGCCCCTGGCCTATCTGAACTTAAAGCAGAGCGAGCAACAGTGGAAAGTGGTAGGAGGTCAAGTTCAGGGAGAAGCCAGCAAGCAGGACTTGCCAAACCTTACAGCTTTCGATGAGGACTTCAGACATTTCATAACAAGCCAAGCGAGTCTAACACTCCACTGTAGTTCTATGCAGGCACTTTCAGAAGGAACCAAAGTAACAGTCTAGCTCAGAGCACAGTACACTTGACGTGGGAGTATGTACAGAACACAAGCCTCTATCTCAAGTCAGTATTTGACTGTACTCCTTCCCTTTGCAGGTTTACCTGGTCCAGGGCATGTACGCCTACCATCACTACATGCAGGACCGCACCGACGACAGCGGCTGGGGCTGCGCCTACCGCTCTCTGCAGACCATCTGCTCCTGGTTCAGACACCAGGGCTACACAGAAAAGCCCGTCCCCACGCACAGAGAGATCCAGCAGGTCAGGGCGGGCCGTTTCAAACTGCGGTCTCATGTGCATTGCACCAGCCTTTAATGTACCAAGTGTGGTCATTAATAATTAGTATTGCCTCATAGTACAGACTGACTTGTTTAGAAGGAAAAAAATATTCTAGTAATCAGGGAAAATGTCCTATGTGTCATTTTTAATAGCTGTCTTCTGCATGGATTTTGTTTTTGTTTTTGTATTTTAAATACAAAAAGGCTCTGGTGGACGCTGGGGACAAACCAGCCCCCTTTGTGGGATCACGGCAGTGGATCGGCTCCATCGAGGTCCAGCTGGCCCTGAACCACCTCATGGGTGTGACCTCAAAGATACTGTTCATCAGGTGAGGACACTGTGGGGGAGGAGGAGTCATTTCACAGTGAGTCTCCTGTTTGATTAAAATGATAGAAAAACCCTGTCCTTCCCCCACACTTGTTTTCACCGCTCTCTCTTCTTCCCTCATTGCCTCCTTGCTTCATAAGTCTCATTTTTTAACCCTAGTTTGTTTTTAGTTAATTTTTAGAAGACTTTGGAGTTTATGAGTAAATTCTGTAATACATATTTATATGGTTGAGGCCTCATTTTAGCCAAGAGAAAAACTTGGAAATATGTCAACTTTGGGTATAAAGAAAAATCGAGTGTTTTTTATGCTCAAGTCTTCAGAAAGTCTTCAGAAAATCAAATGTTGGCCTTTGGCCGACCTTTTTGTTTACCGCCTGCACTGTTTCTTCTTAAGATGTTAATAAACTAATCACATGTCCAAATAACATATTCATTTCATTTTTCCCAATATAGCTTAGCCATAATGCCAGCATTACAATACAAACAAATCTAAATTAAATAAGGTTGATTTCTGGTACCATAACTAGCTTTCCCCTTTTATGAGCTTATGTTTTGAATTCTTCTATTATGACAACCTCAACAAACACAGTAACATCATCCTTATTTGGCCATGTACTTTAATACATCGGGTTTCACTGTTGCAGTCTGGACTGGCTGCAGGAATCGGTGCTAACAAACAAAGGAGAGACCCAGCAGTGAAGCGTATGGTGATTAAAGAGAGAGTTTTAGCACAGTAAAACACTGTGCATCCTGACAGTGCCCGAGCTGGGGTTTAACACCACCTGGCACCTCCGTTCTAAACAAGTACCTCCATCTGTCCATCTGCCTTTGTCTTCTCAACAGCTGAATTTGCACAGCACAGTGAAACGTTCCCTAAAGATAATGTTGCAGTTGGAAGCAGTCTGTACTTTTCACATGGGCTTCACAGACATCACCGTGTTGGTGCTGGGCTCCCCTGTCATGCAGACAGGCAGGGGCCACCGGGCCCGATTTAGGGTGAGGAAGTACAGACTCAGAGTCTGACAGCAGGAAGACAAGGACCCAGGACCGAAAACTGACTCTTCTGCAATTCAATCCATCCCTAAGAGCTCCCTGGGTAGCAAGGTGACTGCTTTCAACTTCAGGTTAAAAATCCAAGACCTGCCCTGGCTGATGTAGCTCAGTGGATTGAGTGCGGGCCTGCGAACCACACGTTTGCAGTTTGATTCCCAGTCAGGGCACATGCCTGGGTTCCAGGCCAGTTTCCAACAGGAGACTCACGAGAGGCAACCACACATTGATATTTCTCTCCTTCCCTTCCTCTCTAAAGATAAATAAATAAAATCTTTAAAAAAAATCCAAGACCTTCTTTATGTCTTAAAGATCTTAATCCAAGACCTTTAAGGCAGTCCCAATGGCCTTAAATATTTAGAAAGTTTCTATTGCTTTAACTTGCTCAGTCAGTTCCCTACCACTTAATTGTATTTAAATTCATACTGCTTTTTTTTTCACCCCCTCCCCCCACCCCGCAACCCCAGCCACCCCCACTTCCCACCCTTGATCCTACCCCCCTTTGGTTTTGTCCATGTGTCCTTTCATTTGGTTTTATTTTTTAACCACACAGAAAAGGAATATACAAAACATTGGTTCCTAAGCTCGATTATGTGACCTTAGTGTTTGAAGTAATTCATCTAATGGAAAACGGTCTCTTTCTAGCCAAGGTTCTGAAATGGCCGCCCAGGGACGGGAACTGGCTCGGCACTTCCAGAGCGAAGGGACTCCGGTGATGATCGGTATGGGTTTGGGCGTTTGGGCTCCTTCGGGAGGGTGGAGAGTGTGTGCAACTTACCACTCATGTAAATAGTTAATGCCACATACAATCAGTCACTTTAAAATTACCTTTCATACCATACACACTGACCTCTGGGTATTCGTTTTCCAATGTGCAAGGCAGAAGGAGAGTTACAAAGATTATAAAACCAGAAGAAAAGGCTGAGAAGTGATAACTGTGTTCATATATTTAAAGAGTTGGATGCAGTATAGGAAGGAGGCAATGGTCACTCGCCCGAGCATCAGCCGTTGGGGCTCTTATCACTAACTAGGCTGGCTGTGTTACATCACTGCCAATCGCTTACTCTCTCCCGGCTTTACTTGTAAAATAATTGGATTAGCTGACCTGAAGATTCAGGATTCTATGAGCAAGATGTAGTGTGATGTAGCCACAGGGAAAGCTAAACGGGGTGTATAAGAGAACAGAGGGAGGCAGATTTCAGCAGAACATCAGAAAGAAGGGACCAAGGTAGGGCTGCCTCTCGGAGGTGCTGAGGGCAGAGAGCAGGCCCGTCTGCTGAGAGCCACACGGCAGTGACTGTGCTCTGGTGGGAGGGGTCAGGCCCTCTGTGGCCCCTTCTAACTCCAGGTTAGGTAATTCCACGGATGTGGCCACGGAACATAAGCCTCATGTGATTAGAGACAGGACTGTATCTTTTCTGTCTTAAAGATGTAATTTTATCTTTTTAGGGTATATTTGACACTGTGGCCTTTTACAGTGTGGGTTAGCCCGTTTTAAACTGAAACTGAATGGGGGTTGAGGTTCGCGCATGCCCTCTGACGTTCCCTGTTTTGTCTTCTCCAGGGGGCGGCGTCCTGGCTCACACAATCCTGGGAGTTGCGTGGAATGAGAATACAGGGCAGATAAAATTTCTGATTTTAGACCCACATTACACGGGCGCTGAAGAGCTGCAGGTTATTTTGGAAAAGGTAAGACGAGTTTCGATAATGGAGGACAGGAAACTGGCTGCTAACAGACCAGGCTGTAGACGGAGAGCAACAGTGGAGGCTGTGATGAGGCCAGTCCCTCTCCAGACAGAGAGGGTAAGAGGGAAGTACAGTAAACTGCCAAAGACAAAAGTTAGATTTATAAAGATTTTCTCAGTTATTAAACTTAATAATGGAGCACAAAGCTCATAAATATATTTCTCTGGAGATTTTACAGCTCTGCATAAACAAACATACTGAGGTTTATCAACGCCTCAAAGTAGGAGAGTGTAGTATATAGCCTTTATAACTTTAGAATTAACCAAAAATAACTAAGCAGTATGCTGGACATTATGGAGGCTTGACTACTTTTAAGTTACTTACATTCACTTAATCTCATTCTACAAAGGATCTGAATACAGTAACAGTTGCTCTATTAGTGCATATAAGACCCCATGAAACCAAGGCCTGGCCATCAGTAGGAACTTTAACTCTTACTTGACTCTGGAACCTAGGCGCTGTTTTAGTCTGTTTGGGCTGCTTTAACAATGCCATAGACGGGGCGATTGATAAACAGGACATTCATTTCTCACGGTTCTGGGGGTGGGGAGTCCAGGATCAGGGCACCAGCAGATCCGCTACCTGGTGAGGCCCACCTCCTGGTTCATGGGCAGCCGTCTTTCCCCGTGTGTTCACATGGTAGGAGGGATGGGGGACCTTGCTGGGGCCTCTGTAATGAGGCCACTGCTCCCATTCATGAGGGCCCCACCCAAATAGTCTAGTCACCTCCCAAAGACCCCCACCTCCAGGTATCCTCACACTGGGGAATAGGTTTCAACCTCTGACCTTCAAAGGGACCGAACACCCAGTCCCCAGCAGGGGTCCTAGGGAAGGCCCGCCTCTGCCTCTCACCCTCTTGTGGAGCTTTCCCACCGGGCATCCCAGGCCGGCTGCCTCAAAGGAAGGCAGCGTGGCTCCCCTGTCTACTACCACCAACTTCTGGTTTGGGCGCCCTCTCTACCCACATCCTTAAAAATAAACCTGAGTCTGGTTAGCTGGAGAAGGCCTACAGGTATAAAAGGATCACAGGAAGATTAAACAGAGATAGTGCAAGCCTTGAGTGTACAAACGCAAACCAAATTTACCTTAACAGCTGGGAGCAGGGGCAGTAAAACAGTAAGGGAGATTTCCTCACATTTTTACTTTTATCTTATTTGAATTTCTACAGTGTGTATCTTATTTCTGCAATGAGAAAAAGAAAAATCTAAAGAGCACCTCTATGCAACCCTCCAGCCCCCACAACCAAAACTAGAGCTAACAGGCCGTCTGGTAGGAACTCTGGACCCTGCCTCCGGGGCCCTAGCAACGCCCCGCGGCCTGCGAGTTGGTCGGGCTGTGCAGCACCACCTCCCCTCCCCCTCACCGCCAGGCTCGGCAAACAGGGCACTTCACTGCAGAGTCGTGCAACACAGGCCAGCTGTCAGCCGGGTCCTCCAGAAAAATAAGTCAGTGGCCCTAGGGGACATCTGATCAACTTCTACATTCACAGTGAGATTTTGTTCGGAAGTGACCTTCTCTGCTGGGGAAGAGGATGAAGACTGGCGTGAAGAGTTGGGGGGTGACCGCAGCCTGGGGGGGCGGAGGGCATGGAGGCCACTCGGGGGACAAGCTCAGCTTTCTCACAACCATGTTTCCACATAGCAAACATGCCTCTTCATGGAACAGGTTTTGGTCTTTTATGTTTTACCAAGAAAAACAGAGAGCCAGTTAAACTGTCCCAAGCCACTAGAGTCTTATTCCAAGATCCTGCCGTCAGAGCAGGATAGAAATGTTATGATTCTGATCCTGTTGTCCTGTGACTTTGTAAAATGTTTTCCTTTCCCTTCTCCCAAATCTAGGGCTGGTGTGGATGGAAGGGCCCGGACTTCTGGAACAAGGATGCCTACTATAATTTATGTCTTCCTCAGCGACCAAATGTCATTTAAAATGTCTCGGACTCAAAGACTGCAGTCAAGTTTATTACAAATGTGTTATTAAAAAAATAAGTTTAATTTCTAATTAAATCCTAGATGTAGTCTGATGGTTTAACCTTGATTTTTTTCAAGGTGTAAATACTACACACAAAAAAAGAATTTATTCTTTAAACATTCCTTTAATAACGTAAAAGACAAAGCATGTGCAACCCAAATATTACAGGCATATAACTGCACGAATTCATAAATGTTATCTTCTCTTAGAAGAAAGCTTCCTCCTTCTCAGAAGGAGTTGAGACACACCTGTTGAGCCAGAAGCCATGGATAGTAGCTGAGCAACAGGTTTGCACGAAGGGAAGGCCTCTTCACACCTCTTCTTAACCAGCAAGACATCTGTTGTTAAAAAACATTAAAAGTTTTTAAAAACTTATTTTAAAATGGTTATTTCCCCAACCTTCCACCATGCAGGGCAAATTTTTGGTTTCTAGAATCTACTAACAGTTACTAGAACCAGTCTTAAAATGCTGTTAATGAGAATCAAAAAGGTATATTAGAAATAAGACTGCCAAGACTTAAATAAAACAACAAATTCTGTGCTACATACGAGATGCTTGAGGAAGAAGGAAGAAACTCTGAGTTACTCACCAACACTTCCTCTTCCCACTGGTATTTTGTGCACTTCCAGAGCTCCGCTTCTGTCTGAGCATGGGAACATTGTGACCCCTGCTGGATGGTTCACTTGGTTTTTTTGTCCGCATACATTTAATTGCTGTAAGAAACTTGGCACATTCTGGAAATCCGTATGACCAAGCAAGATCTTCAGCTGTTTGCCCATTCTTATTACATAAACTGCATTTGAAATAAAACTCAAGTTAATAAAAATCGGTGATCATTTAGCTTTTATATACCTTCCTAACAAAAGAGCTTAGGGTTCACACGGGTTGGCTGCAGACCAGAAGTGGGGAAGGAAGCGCAGAGAGCTCCGTGTTTGCTCACCTTGGTACCCTCACTGACTAGCAAAGTCCAGCCAGAGTGGGTGTTTCAGTTCTGCATAAACCTATTCAATACAATAAATACGTACCCAAGAAAGTCAATGAGAACTACTATAGCATGGATTTTCCTAAACGGAAGCTAAGGCATAACACTGCCATAATAGATGAACGGTTGCACCTCACTGCTTGGGATCCATTTTTAAAAAGTTTACTCCACTTGAATAATGTCAGATACAACAGCCTATCATTGAAATGATATCACTAAATTATCAATAAGGCAAGCATTCTTTTTAATGAACTACAGAAATGATTTCTGAAAGTATAGTCTTAGGCAAGCATTCTTTTTAAAAGCACATGTAATTACCATATTCTGCTGTATATAACGTGCACTTTTTTGCCCAAATTTTTGAGGGGGAAAAAAAGGATGCACATTATGCATAGGTACTACTAATTCCCTATTTATATAAATGTTTTTAATTCGTTTATGCTTATGCACTAAAAGTGTAACTCTAGAAAGCAATAGTGATATCCGTATGTGAAATAATACCCTGAAATACAATAATCGGTTTTGTTTCTAAATATAAATAAGTAATTGAATTAAAAAATTAAAATGAAATCTTTTTTTTTCCTGAAAATTTGGTCCAAAAACCTGGGCATGCACTATGCATGGGAGAGCAAAAAAAAAAAAAAAAAAACAGTAAATTGTAGGAGTCTGATTAATACAATCTAAGTTAAAGGCCCTGAGTTTAAAACTTACTCAATCTGGGCATCGCTGGCCACAAGCAGGCTAAGGCATTCCAGGCTTCCAACTTTTGCTGCCTTGTGGACTGGAGCTTCTCCAAACACATCCTTAAATATAAGATGCACATTTCAGTCTCTCTCCAAAACACTGTTGTTCTTGTGGCCCTTGGTGCGTGAAGTCTATTGTCTGAGGAAGCTAGTTAGACCTGCATTGTGCTGGGCAGAAAAAGAATTTTTTTAATCCTCACCCAGGGACGTGCTTATTGACTTCAGAGTGAGGGGAAGGAAGTGAGAGAAACATTGACGTGAGAGAAACATCGATCAGCTGCCTCCCAGGACCTTAACCCACGACCCAGGCTGTGCTCCGACTGGAAATTGAACCCATGACCTTCCAGTTTGCAGGTGATGCTTCGACCAACTGAACTACACCAGCCAAGGCAGGGCTAACTTTTTTCATTCAAGATTGTTTTTTTTTTTTCCCTTATAAGAGTCACTTGGAATGTTATTAAGTATGAAGCTTTCATTAATAAAAATGTGCAGTCACAACCACATACATTATAATATAAGTGAATAAAAGCAAAATAGAGTTTTATAAAAGTAAAAGAAATCACAATTTAAAATTCCCCATACTTTAATATCCAATGGAAGATGTAGACTTCCATTAAAAAAGTTCTATAGGAAACAATAATGGTTGTGAGCATGCCTCACAAATATTTTAATTGCTTGCTGTACTGAGACTTTTAACTTGATAATGTGGTAATTGTTCCTTTTGAAACTGCAGACCTGTATCTGTGGTCCAGTGTAGTAGCCAGCAGGCATATATATGGCTAACCAGCACTTAACATGTGGCAACACCGAACTGAAATGTGCTGTAAGTACAAAATACACACCAGACTGAGAAAACATACAAAAAGGAAATGTAAAATATCTATCAGTAATGTTTTATACTGAGTACATACTGAAATGATAATTTTGGGGCAAATCGGCTTAAATTATTAAACATTTCATGTTTCATTTTAACTTCACTGATGTGGCTACAAAAAATTTACTTACATGCATGTCTCATATATTTCTATTGGACATCGCTGCTATCACGTTTCTAACAACTGAACTGAATATTCTGGCGTCTAAAAAATGTTTGTGTGGATTTGGGGTGGAGAGGAGTGTTGTACACAGAAACAGTTACCTAGTTACCTGCTGGTTAAGGTCCGCGCCGGTCTGCAGCTGCCAGAGAAGCAAGCTGGCACCGCCGCCACCTGCGGCCAAGTGGACAGGCGACTGCTCGCAAGGATCTGGAGGTGCGTTGACCGAGGCCCCGGCCTCCAGCAGATGCTTCAGACTATCCACCTGCGGGAAGAGAAAAGCTCCAGCATCCTTCTTGCCCTCAGTCCCAGCACTTCCCGTGTAGTCTCAGCCCACCTGGGCTGAAAACCTCCCAACGCTGAAGCTGCCTGACTTGCCAGCGCCCAGTGGTTAGTCCACTGTCACCTTTGCTGGCGCTTCCGACTGGACAAACATCTGGAAGCTTAAGCTTGCGGGACAAAAGGGGCCCGAGTCTCACCTCTAGGTTGCCATCAAGAAACAGCATTTCCCGCCTAAAGCAGAGGACAGGAGTCCTTGGAGGTGCAGAGCGTTGGGGTACTCGCTGCAGACTAGCAGGTAAGAGTGCACAAGCCGCCCAAGTGCTGGAGAATTTAAAGACCGCCGGGACTACCGGGACCGCCCGTAACCGCAGCGCCCCAGCTCTGGCCGCACCCCAGCAGCCTAACCCTCGGTTGCACCACCCTTCCCAGCCCTGCGGCAGCAGCACGTACGCAAACACTAACACGTGCACCCAGAACCCGGCGCAGCTGTCAGGAAAGAGGGAGGAGGAAGTGATTGGGGACGGGTCAGTGGATTGGGCAGCTGGAGGCGCCAAGCCCGCCCACCTTGGGGCGGGGCCCAAGGCCACACTATCAGAGCTCCAGTGCGCAGGCGCTGGGAGGTAGGCTAGCGTCTTTACTGTCTGGTTTTTTCGGTGTCCCTAAAGCACGCTGAGGTTGGCACGTCTCACTTTCCTTCCCAGCCCTTTAATCCCTGCGGGGATCGGGGAGTCACGGTGATGGTTTTGGATTCTGCGAGCACGCACGTAACCAGGAAACGAAGGAGCTTTAAGCAGCTCTGCTGCACCACTTTTGGAAGCCGCCACACTTGGTGCTGGCGCCGTGTCCCCCGCCCCCCATCTCCGGAGGAAGGAGAGTGTCTTCTGCCTTCAAGTTCAAAATCGCCCCAGGGTTGCTTCTGTTCCCCTACATCCAAGGCTGGAAGAAAAAGGGGGCGGGGTGTAATGTAAGCTAAGAGGGTAGGCTTACCACAGGACTACCCCACCCCCAAAATTAAATGATTTATTTAAAAACCTGACCCTTTTGCCTACACTGGGAATTCCTGTAAAATAAATCCACCCTTGTAATGTGTCCCCTCTTGGAGACAGGTTAAGGCGCGCCACTGCACTTGTCCCTGGGAAAATGTTGACAGTCCAAGCTAGTAAACTTGAGCTTGCTGAGACGGGCAGGGTTGAGGCGATGGGGAGACAGAAAGGAGGAGGAAACGTATTTGTCCTGACACTCGGGGACAGTCACGGATAAACGAAGGGACCAGGCCCTGGATGTTTTATGACAATGGGCTCTTCAGCACGGGCAGCAATGAGGCTCCCGGAGCCGCTCAGGGGAAATGGCCCTCCTGCAGCTCTTTACACTGTTGGGCTGTAGCGCTCCTTTTCATAAAACTCAGAAACTGACTTCCTGACCTCCGATTGTAGCCATTGAACACATGTGTAATCTCTTGACTATCCTTTCCTAAACTCTTTTTTTTTTTTTTCACATTAACCTAGCTAGCTAAACACTAAAGCTCCAGCCATACATTTCTTTTCCCTAAAAAAGCCTTGGATGTGTCCCTTCTACCTACTACTACCCTCCAGAGCAGGGCTGAAAAATAAAAACGTTCATTACGATGCTTCTACAGGACGAGTTCATTGTCCTCGAAAGGTAAGTGACCTTTGAGTTATAATTCTGGTTACAGTATATTATTTTGTAATAAGAGCTGTAAATTTTTGCAATAATTTACATTACTAGAGTGAGGTACTGACCCGTGGGTAGTTTTAGACATTTTTATTTATATGCATACTTGAACATATATGTGTATATTTACTTATGTTCAAACACCTGTATAGAACCATGCTTTTGTTTTTGTATTTCTTATATTTAAGTGACTCATAATACTTTATGATATTTAAAGAATGGCACTGCAAAAATGTTGCTGTCAGGTGAGAACCCGCATCCACACTGCCAATTTGCCTTCTCCCACGCTGATCTATTAGGTTAGCCCCGTTTTTTAAAAGGGTTGCACAGATGTTCATTTTCAGGAACTCCTAACTGATGCAAGGTATTCTCAGAAGTTCTTAACAATTCTAAACATATGCACTGTAGTTAACGTATATAATGGGATATTTGTATGATGAATGTGCTTCCATATGGCATCCTTTTCCTTTAAAACAAGATTCTATTCAGTAAACGTTAAGTCTGGTAAATATTGTTAACTTCCTGTTACATATGGAAGTTTCACAAGGAAAGGGCATTTTTGAGTGGTTTTTAAAGCCTTCCCCCCGCCCTTTAATCACTCTGTACTTGTCTGTTTCGCACACTGTTTGAGGAGAAATCTCTTTCTTAGCTGGGTTGCCCTTAGTAATGGGCCTAAAAGCTTTCTAAACATTGCACAAAGCTGGCGGAGCACAAAAACACACAGAATCAATACATCTGGAGGAGAATATCCTGTTGGCAAGTAACTGGAGTTTTCAGTAAACATGTAGCCAGAGGGATCTGTTTTCTAAAGAGGAAGATGGTGTCAGATTCATACTCAACAGACACTCTTCTAAACAGCAATCGTTTCACTTAAGTTTAACTTGCTGGTAAATATTTTCCCAGAGGAAGGATGCCATTTACAGTGAGAGTTTAAAAATATATTGAGTGGCCCTGCTTGGTGTGGCTCAGGGGATTGAGCACCAGCCTGTAAAGCAAAATGTCACCACTTCAATTCCCAGTCAGGGCACATGCCTGGGTTGCAGGCCAAGACCCCAGAAGGGGGCATGTGAGAGGCAACCACAGACTGATGTTTCTCTCCCTCTCTTTCTCCCCCCCTTCCCCTCTGTCTAAAAATAAATAAGTAAAATCATATATATATGATTATATATATATGATATATAGGAATATCATATATATATGATTATATATATATAGGAAGATCAAAGAGACACAGGCATCACTTTGAAAGAGCTCCCTAGGGCTGAAGCAACTTGAACAACACAGCGATGGACCGTTGGGTTATAATTCAATAAAGTAGACATCCACCGGAACAGACTGATAGGAATGATTGGAGAAATGAGAGAGAAAAGACAGTTATCCCTTACAAAAGAATCCCAAACACTTCCCGTCCAGGGGTGTCCAACCTGCGGCCCACGGGCCTCGTGCTGCCCAGGATGGACGTGAGTGCAACACAAAATCGTAGGTTTGCTTAAAACATTGTGAGATTTGTGTGTGTGTGTGTGTGTGATTACATGTCGCAGTGTATTTAATGTGTGGCCTAAGACAACTTTTCTTCTTCCAGTGTGGCCCAGAGAGGCCAAAAGGCTGGATACCCTGGTACACACTCCCTGCTCTAGGAAGTGGAGATGAATCCTCCCCAACCCTGTTCTCTTGAGTGTGGGTTACACATAGAGACCGGCTTCCAAACAGTAGAGCATGGGAAGGGCTGGGTCCCAGGGAGTAATTTTATAGTGGAGAAACCTGTTGAACACCACCTTGGCAGATCATCATTAACATCACCCATGATAAGTCACGTCGATAGCGTGTACCCCTGATGTGATGCGGTGAGAAGATCACTTCACCTCTTGCTACTCTTTCCTAAAGCCCATAACCAGGTGTCTCCATGAGTAAAATAGCAAATAAACCCAGACGGGGGGACATGCCACAGGATGTCTGGCCAGTACTCCTCAAAACGGTCAATGTTGTAAAAACCAGGGGAATCTGGGAGATGGTCACAGAGCAGAGCAGGCTGGGAGGTCTGATGACCAAGTGAGTACAGAAATTTGGATGGGATCCTGGAACAAAAAGAGGACATTGGTGGAACACTAGCAAACCCCAAATGAAGTGTAGGGTTTAGTTCACGGCAATGCACCCACTTTGTTTTCTCAGCTGTGATTAATGTGTCGTAATAACATGACATTAACACAAGGGGAAACTGCTATATTTGCAGCTTTTCTGTCATTCTCTGGTTATCCTAAAACATAATGTTTATTCTAAAAAAGACTTGAGGTAACTTTAAATTATGATGTATTACGTTTCTTTCTGTAGGCCATTGCAACTAAAGAAGTTTCTGTTTGTTCAGATGTTTAGTTTCACTTTTAGGTAAGCTCTCTTTCCAAAATAATGATGACAGAAGCTAAAACTAACTTCCAGTGTGAAGCTAGTTTTACTCAGACAAGGAACAAAATCTTGCAAAGGTCTCACAACCAATCTCTACTTAATTTGGGGGTCTGATTAACCACCAGACTTTAGTCCCTCTGGCAAACACGCTGCCCATTGCACCGATCACTAAGAAGGGCTTCTCAGCCCCTTCTTGCGAATGCTCACTGACTTGGGCTTACATCAGTTTAAAATTTTCCCACATCTGTAAGGGTTATTATAATACGTAATATAATTAAACATTATGTAGCTGGTGAAATATGAGTGACAAGTGACAGCTGTAATTTTTAAGAAAACTAAATTGAATGCTTTCAAAATCATCAAGTCACTCAGAAAAATGCTTTCGAGATAGACGAGGGTAAATTAACTGTAAAAGATGAGGGCAAATTCGTTCTACACTACGGTTATGCTGGAACAGACAAGGGGGTTCCATTTTGCGTGTCCAAATAGCACCCATCTTTAGGCAAGAGAAGGGCCTCTCCCGGACAGCTGTGTGCTCCCAGCAGTAGGGCTTCACTTTCAATTTCACCAAGATGTGGAAGCAACCTAGGTGCTCCTCAATGGATCCATAAAGAAACTGTGGTATTTGCACAAATGGCCTATTGCTCAGGCTGTAAAAGGAGGGCAGTCCTGCCATTTGAGTAAGTCCTAGAGATCTACTGCACAGTATATAGTACCAGTAGTTAGCAATATTGCAGTGTATACTTAAAGATTTGCTAGGAGGGTAGGTCACATGTTTAGTGTTCTTATAGGTAAGAGGGAGGAAACCTCTGGAGGTGGTGAGCACATGAAGGCACTGAATGTGATGATGGTTTTGTGAGTGTGTATTTATCTTCACCTTAACCCCTCATATACCTTAAGTATGTACAGCTTTTCTATACGTCAGTCACACCATAATAAAGTGGATTTTTTAATTATAATAAAACATTCGAGAATTTTTTTAAATGGACTTCATCAAAGTAAAAAAAAAAATGAGTGGTCAAAAGAAACTGTCAAGAAAGTGAAAAGACTCCATAGAATAGGAGATACATTGCAAATTATATATCTAATAAGAATCTAGTATCTAGAATAGACGGAGAACTCTTATAACTCAACAACCAAAAGGCTAATAACCCAACTACAAATGGGCAGAGGATTGGAATAGACATTTCTCCAGAGAAAACTTAAAAATGGACAATAAGCACATGAAAAGATGCTCAACATGATTTTTCATTAAAGAAATGCACGTCAAACCCCCAGATACGACTTCACATCCACAAGGGTGGCTATTCTCAAAAACCTGGACAACAGTGCAGGTGTTAGTGAGAATGTGGCCCCCAGTACATCTCTGGTGGGGATGTAAAACACGCAGCCACTTTGAAAAACAATTTGGCAATCTCTCAAAATCGGAAACAATTACCACCTAACCCAGCAGTTCTACTCCCAAGTACAGACCCAAGAGAACGAATCCACACGTCCACACAAACAGGAGCACCCAAAAACTACCAACATTACTCATAATGGCCAAAAGCTGGAGATAACCCGCATATTCACTAAATGATCAACAGATTTTTTAATGCGATGTATCCATATGATGAAATACTTTTGGGCCACAAAAGGCAATGAAGTACCGAAACACAGCACAACAGGCGTGAACCTTGTCAACAGTATGCTACGTGAAAGGAGCCAGACCAAAAGACCACATATTGTGTGATTCTATTTACATGAACCACCTAGAACAGGCAAACCTACAGAGACACAAGGCAGATCAGTGATTGCTGGGGACTGAACGGAGGGAGAGACTGGGGAGCGACTGGGAATGTCCACAGGGCTTTTTTTAGTGATGAAAAGTTCGGAATTAGAGAGTGGTGGTGATTGGGCACAGTGGAATTTCCCAGTCACAGCGGACGGGGCCCTAGGGGGACAGAGGATGTGGGGCGGGCCCGTCAGTGTCCACTCCACCTGCCCTTTCCTTTCAAATTGCAGATTTCTTACTGGTTTTATATCATTCATGTCTACCATGTATATGTATAATTTTATAAACTTACTGCATATAATGCAAACAATTGTCAAGTTTTAAAATGATAATTTTATACCTAATGCCAAGATTTGGCAGAAATAAACACACTCTTTTTAGAAAATCTCTTAGACCAAAGGGTCGCAGGTTTGATTCCCAGTCAGGGCACATGCCTGGGTCACAGGCCAGGTCCCCAGTGGAGGCCATGTGAAAGGCAACCACACACTGATGTTTCTCTCTCTCTCTCTCTCTCTCTCTCTCTCTTTCTCCCTCCATTCCCCTCTCTAGAAATAAAAAAATAAAAAATCTCTTAGTTCTCCTTTTCTGAAATTAAAAAGCACTAACTTTTGGCACGCCCACTTTCAGAGTTCTGCCATTCTAAAAACTCACAGAAGCTTTGCCCTTCAGAGAACAGGAGAGAAAGACAACACCGTGCACAGGAGCCAGGACACGGCAGCTGTCCCAGTTCTATGACCCGAGGCAAGTTGCTTAGCTCTTTCACTGAGCCTTCTTCCCCTCGCAGGTTAAACGGGCCTCCTGCTAGCCCCTATTTCATGAAGTTTTGTACGAGTTAGTGCCTATAAAGTGCTCAGAACAGAGAACGACACCTGGCATTTGGGAAGAGCTCAATAAATCTCTGTATATGGGTTCTAGACCCCCTCCGACTGTCCTTGTAAACCCCCGCAACCAAAACCAAGGGCAGCACTGTTTCCGCAGGAGACAGCCTGGGTTCAAAGGAGGTACACTGTCAGCATCTGATTCATTTCATTTCCCATGACCTCCCTGCACTTGCCAAGTGTTTAATTTTGGTGTGCAGTAGCACACCGAGTGACCTCACTGATACAGTGTAAAAACTTCCATCACCGGTTTTTCGACTGTTTTCCTTCTAACCAATTTACCTGATATTGCTTTACCCCAGAGAGCACCGGAAACTTTTATATTCACTGATGCAACCACAATATTTGTGAAATTATATACTCAAAGAATCTTACATATCTAGGAACAGACATTTTGAAATTCTCTAGTTCCAAATACATACAATCCAAACTACAGACGGAGAAATTGACTCTTAAAAATATTGACTCTTCCAAAATCATAGACACTTCACTGATTTTTTCCCCTATCATACTGAATTCTCTCTTTTAGGCACTTCATTCTCTTTAATGAAGCAATTTATTATCTGAAATAGTGTCATATAATTGTGTAAATGGAGCTTTCCAATCCCACTAAAGAGCTGCTCTCTTCCCCACCAATCAGGAACCTTTACTACAGGCTTGTTCCTGATTGGTGAGAGCTGGCTGCAACCATAGAATGCAGAGGAGTAAACAGAAAAGCATAGCAACAGCTGAGTTTGCTGTCTCACGACCCACGACCTAGGCCAACCTGGACTCCTTCATCCCCAATGAGGTGGCCTCTCCATTTTGCATGAAGGCTCTGATTTTTCATTCCGCCGTGATCCATCTTACAACATGGCAATCCGGTACAGACAGGAAGATGAAACTGAACAACACTAAAATAAAGTGCATCCCCAGGTAAAAGAGGCAAATGCTTTGATGTGAGATGGATGACTAATCGGGTGAGATTCAGAGAGAGGCCGTGGGAAGGTACCAGTGCACAAGAGCTGTCTGTGGGCACTGTCCCACATCCTACTAGTGGCAGCAGCGGTTATGAAGTGACGAGACCCACTGCAGCGTGAGAATCCATCGAGAGGACGTGCAAAGAGCTCTCGTCACCCAGCCCGGGCTGTGGGGATGGACAGGAAGAGGGCTGTACTACGTCTGGTGGCTATAAACAGCCCTGGTTTCCAAAGAAGGAACGAACATTCACAATCCAGGGCCGGCACTTTGGCAACAGACAACACAGGCCCAAGTCCCAGACAACACAGGGCAGTTGCTTCTCATAGAGAGCCACGGGGGGCACGGAGTCTGGTTTCCCAGGAAGACGGGTCTGTCTCACTCTTGGTGTTTGCTTACAGAACACACGTGGAAACAGGATGAAGCTGACCAGCGCAGAGCTGCCCAAGGACCCCCTTTACACCTCTCTGTCCCAGTACGCCGCCAAGAGCCAGTCGTTCTCCCGGTGGAGGAAGGACAAGTCTGGTACAGGTTCCAATACTTTCACTAAAAGTTAATCTGCACACCAGAGAAAAAGAGTCTTACTGCTGTTGAGGAAGTGGCTAACTTTACAGTCTAGCGCTCCTGCTTTCCAGCCCTTTCTAGCTTTCCTGTAATAATGTAGGACGGTGCGATTTAACTCATGTGGTAGCGAATCATCAGTGGAGAAGTTCTGTGGAGCTTTACTTGATGTTACACTCGGGGTGGGGGTGGGGTTAGGACACCCTTCTAGAAAAGGGAAGCCATGTGTCTCTTCTCTTAAGGAGAACAATGCCGTACTTGACTTGAAAATTGGCCGTTAAAGCTTTAAAGCTTCTCTAGTCTTAAAAAATTTAAATTGGGGGTGGTTAGCTCATTTGGTTAGAATATTTCTAATGAAGACTCAAATAAAAAATTTCAGCCCTGGCCAGGTGGCTCGGTTGGTTGGTGCTTGCTCCCAATGATATGCCACAGTTGCAGGTTCAATTTCTGGTCAGCGCACACACGAGAATCAACCAGTAAATACGTGAACAAGTGGAACAACAAATCGATGTCTCTGTCCCTCTCAAATCAATTATATGTATGTAAAATCTTACTCACCCCTAGGATGGCTTTGCCTAAAGAATTGCACACGGACCGAACTGCTAGAGCTCCCGCCTAGCAGCAAACCAGGTTACTTTGAAAACCACCCACAGATGTTTCTGGAATAGACAAGGCATGGTGTTAGGTCCCCTGATAATGCTTTCCCCCTCCTTCAGCTGAGGAGGCCGGGAGGGAGAACCAGGAAGGAAACTAGCCTACACGGTTCTGCACGTTGAATAACTGGTGGCTGGAGGAGAGAAGGTCCAAGCTGGGCGGTTAAAGGCAGAATTCTTTATCTTCCTTAGACCAGTACAGCCGTGCTAATGTTGTGGATAAAGCATTGCAGCTCCTGAAGGAAAGAATAAGAAGAGGCGATGCTATGGCCTATTTCCTACGGGGCCAACTCTATTTTGAAGAGGTATCGCTCTCTATTCATTTTCACTTCACGTAAGGCCATCCCAGCAAAGTTTCTCCTACGGTTCCTTCCATTGTAATGTCAGGAGAATTCTGTCAGTGCCATAGGTTATGGTTGTAGCTTCAAGCGCGATACACGTTGGTATCATCTTAAGGAGACATCTGACCTGTCTCTGTAGAAGTCATTCTAATGAAAGCCATTTATAGGAGACATTTGGGTATAAAACACACTCTTAGACTAAGAATTAAAAATCTAATTGTCATTTTTTTGCCCCAAATATTTAATATCATGTATGTTTTCATGGTGATAGTCATTGAGACCCTGATTCGTATCTCGTACGGAAAGGTAGCTCCTGTGTTCCTCTGTGGAGGAAGGGAGCGGACCAGCCTCCACACACATCAGGCTGAAGTGCCCTGCGGGAGGGTCGAGGAGGGACTGCGCCCGCGCTCACTGCAGCCTCAGTAACATAACTCCGGTTCTCACTGAGCCCAAGGGAAGATGTGAAAAGGGACCAGCTGTCCCTGCCCCTCACCATCCATTAAGTAATTGGGCAGCTGTTCACCCGTACCCCTCTACCTCTTTCATCCGAGGATGGCTCCTTCTTTAATTCTGGCACTGATGTCTGCGGAGGGCCCGTCCTGCTCGTCCCTGTGAGGACAGCACAGCTTAATGGTCACAAGAAGGGCCGCTCGGCTTTGGGTATAGGGGCAAATATGGTTCTGTTGCTTTTAACTTCACCCTTGGGCACCAATACTGCACCTCTCAGGGCCTCAGTTTTCTCATCTGTAAAAGGGGAGGGGTCGTGTGTGTCTCATGGAGCTAGTGTGAGCATGCATTCATTGTGAAACAGGGCCTAGCACCTACCTAACCAGTGCTTTGTAAGTGTTTGCTGTTGTTGTGCTAGGCACTAACCAGAGAGTGAAGAGCGTCCCCCATTTCATAAAGTTTACAGTCAAGTAAGGGCAGAAAATAGACTCAAATATGTATAATGAAAAAGAAAAAAGTTCTATGAAGGGAATTCACTGCACACTATGATGGAGAATAACTTAGGGTTAGGGTGGAAAAATGTGTTGCTGAAACTAAAATTTGCAGAAAAGGAAGCAGGCAATGCAGGTAGCCAAGGGGGAGCGCATTCCAGGTAGAGGGGAGAACAGAGGGATGAGAAAGAGCGTGGTGAGCGCTAGGACTTAAAAAAAGACCCATCTGGTAATGCGCAGCGCAGGGGGTGGCTCTCGATGAGCTTTGAAATGTGTAGTAAGAGGCCGTTGAAGTTTGAGTCTGGGATGAATGGATTAGAAGGGAAGCACAGAACCCAGACCACTTTGAGGTGAGATTCAGGCAAGAGAGGATGGTGGCCTGGCCCAGCGTTGGAGCCGTGGAGCTGGGTATTTTGGAGACACAGATCCTTGGGCACCTGGACTGGAAGCCAGAGAAGTGGGGAAGAGTGAGTTCTGCGGTGATGAGCTAGGGTTCCATTTGGGGGCATGTTATGCCTGAAATGCCCATGAGTCATCCAAGTAGACAGGTTTCAAAGTAAAAATTTACATGTTCTCCAAGGAGATGTTTGGGCTGAAGGGGTTGAGATCTCCCAGCAGGTATATGGTATTTAAAATCATGAAAACTAAAAGAGCTTTTTTATTATTCCTCTGTATTTTCTAACTTTTCCAGCCAAACACCTAAGCCAGACATTAGCCAGAAAGGAAAATGACCCTTAACAACTCAGTTATTTATTCATTGTAATGTGTCCTTTAAAATAAATATTTGTTAGGATGTTACTGTAGTTTTTGTTAATTTTTATCAACTTGTTAATTCTTATTTTATGAAAAGAGGATTTGTCATTTTTGTGTTTTCTGAAAGCTGTTTTTCTCTGGCCTGCTTTTCCTAATAATGACCTTCCAGTTCAGTAGAAGGGTCTCTCTTCACCATTAGAAATGATTCCTTCTTTGGTGTGAGGCTTTGCATGGTGGACTAGAATGTAATACCCCATATCACCCCTCGCACCTCAGCATATTCGTTACCAGATTGTCCAGCTGCTGAGGAGGCTTAAATCGATGACATGGGCCTCAGTGATAGGATTTAACAACAGCAAATATCCTCCTGTTCCCATTTTTCTCCAAGGCTTTGGTCCCAACTCCGGAATCTCTGCAACTTCATGAGTGGTGGGTAGTGTGCTGGGCTACCTGGAGCAGACGGCTAGGCTCTCATTTCGAGAGAGGATGGGCAATTGGAGCCAAGAGTTTAGGTCCATTTAATTGACTTGTTGTGTGTCGATTGTTGTCAATGACTAACCTGCAAATTCCATGAACTTGCCGCTGTCCTTTACTGTCTCATTTAGTGCTACTCACTAGATTTAGGTGGGAATTAAACAATTGGGATTGCTTTAAGATAATAAAAATAATTCAGTATTTCCTGGGAGCGTGTAGGGATGGTATGAAGATGCATTGGAGCAGTTTGAAGAAATCAAGGAGAATGACCATCAAGCAATGTACCAACTAGGAGTGATGTACTATGACGGGCTGGGCACGGCTGTAGACGCTGTGAGTCACTCTCTCCTTGATGATTAAGATTTCACTGTTAATGGGTTATCTGATACATCCAAGTTACTTGTATTTTAATTTCTCTCCTTAAAGTTTAACAGTCTCTAATGTCTTCGCATTCAAAGGGTAGCTGTAGTCATTTGGACATTTGTGTGAGCAACAAAATTTCTCTTTGCCCCTTCTCCTTACTACCATTAGATGTAATTTTTTTAATATGCTTTTCTGTGTTTTTCAAAGTTGTTCCAAAGCTGCACAAACATGGAGAAAAGCTGGGAAATAAGCAAAAAATAGGCTTGTTCCAAATTCTATCAAATACGAACGTTGTCATTATTTTAAAGTATATTCTTCCATGTACTGCCTCATGCAAACACAACTTATATAAATACAGCTTCGCTGAAGTGGCAACGTGACGTCTGGGCGGAAGAGCCGCCTCCCCGGGACTCAGATCCTTGTCTGTGACCTGGGCTGGGATCTCCAAACCTTCAGATGACTGGAAACAGTGAAAAGCAGCTCAGGCGAATACAGCAAAACAGAATTTACGTGGTCGTTATGCAAAGGTTCATTGTACAGTCTCTCTACCTTCCTGCACACTTGAAAAATTTTATTAGAAGAGAAAAAACACAGAGAATAATTAAAGTAGCCACTGGACAAATGTGATTTGTCTAAATTCCCCTGTTAAACGAGAGTAAATATGTACTTAATAAATGAAATAAAAATGTTAATGGATCCACAAATATGTTCAAAGAAGCATAGGGACACAGGGAAACTTCATGAAGAAACTGTAATTCCACAGTAAAAAAACTTCGTTTAATATGAAGAACATAATGCAGAGCCTGTATGTGCCAACATCACAGCATCAAACTACATAAAGGAAATGTGCAAAAAAATAAATAGATAAAATGTTCAATTTAATTTTAATGTCTGGCTATGATAGGTAATACTCAGTATATAGTAGATAAGTTTAAATAAACTGCGCAGCGTCCACAGAGTAATATTCCTGACACAAAATTTTAAGTGTCCCTGGCTGAGATACCACAATTGAGCATATACTAGACATGTAAGTGTGAGCACAGAAAATTATAATAAACACTTTCCCCACCAAAGTGAGTTGTATGACAACGCCACTCATTCCTTAAGGTTTAAACAGTCAAAGAGTTTCCCCCGGCTGCTGTGGCTCAGTGGATTGAGTGCCAGCCTGCAAATTAAAGGGTTGCTGGTTCGATTCCCAGTCAGGGCACAGGCCTGGGTTGTGGGCCAGGTCCCCAGTAGGGAGTGTGTGAGAGGCAACCACACATTGATGTTTCTCTCCCTTTCTTCCTCCCTTCCTCTCTCTCTAAAAATAAATAAGTAAAATCTTTTAAAAAATAAATAGTGAGAGCTTTAAAATATCCAGGTGGTTTATGTTCTCCCAATCACCTCTGCTTTTCTTCTTGTTGCCACATTTTTCTCTGTCCTCTTCATTTTGTGGCTGTACCTCTCTCTCTCTGCCCTGGCACAGGGCACGGCCTATTGTGCTTCACGATCTCACAAAGCAGGGATTTCGCTGGCAGCGAGGCTTCTGCTAAAATGGAGGGGTCTCAGAGAGGAACAACCAGATCCCACCTGGTGAGCAACTTGAACTTGCTCATCTGCCATTTCAGGTGCCCTCTGATGAGGACTTCTCACCGGCTGCACTGCCACCCCTGATTCGTCACCAATGTGCCCAGGCCTCTTCCTGCCCCACCCCTTCCCCTTTCTGGGTCTTTCTGCTTTATCTGCTCCTTCACTGAGAAAAACAAATTTATCCCATGTCCCCACACAGCGTGGTTCAGTCGCCTCTTCATCTGCCCTCCTTTCTGTAGGTCCCGGTTCACCTTCCCTCTGGAAGCTGTTCTGTGACCACGTTATCCAAACGGCCCCTTTATTTCCTTCACAGATGTAGTGATTGTCTCAGTTATTTGTTGCCACTCCCTAATTGGAATGTACACTCCATAAAATTAGCAGGTTTTGTCCCGCTTCTTCACGGCCCAATCCCCCAGGAATCTAGAACAGTATCTGACCCACGGTGGACCTGCATCGGTGGCCGACAATGCTGTCACCAGGGCGTCACCTCCAGGGGCTTGTCCAACACCTCTCCTAGAGAAAGATCACACCCTTCTAAGAGAAACTATGGCAGCAGCTGGTAGGATAATAAAATATCTGGCCTCGTTACAAATAAAATCAATAACCCATTAAAAGAATAAAATATGATAACCAAGTAAGATTTAGCCCAGAAATTTAATAATTCAACATCAGGAAATCTATGAATAAAATATACCACTTTAATAGCCTGAACAAAAGAAATGAGATGGTAGTGTCAGTATGTGCTGAAAGTTTTATAAAACTCAATATTTATAATGAAAACCTTAAAAATTAGAGAACAGTACTAAGAAGCGTTTCCTTAAAACCGAGGCGTAGCCAGTTCAAGTTTCTCCTTTCACAAGCAGAAACCAAGTGTTTTTCCCACGGCTCGCACCAACCTACTTGTGCCGTCTCCCGAATTTCACCCAAGTCCGTCTCCAGCCCTCTCTTCCCTTTCCCTCTGCTCCCTTCACTCAGGCTCGCAGCACCCTGAGCTGGGCTATAACAGAAGCAATCCTCTAACTTTGCTCTTCCCTCTCATTCACTCAGCCGGCCACCAAAGCCATCCTTTCCAAACTCTCATCAAACCGTGGCCTGTCCATCCTTAAAAACTTGTACAAAGACTTCCGTGGTGAAGACCAAAAGAAAGGGGTGTCACTGGGACTGCTCCCACGGACAGCCAGCCAGTTGGCCATTTACGCGGTCAAGTCTTTAGTTTCCAAACCAGTAACTGCCGTTCCGGAGCCTCCGGGCCCGAGCTGGCCGTCTGCCTGGTTGCTGCTGTCAACGGGGCTTCCCTAGGCGTCCTGAGGCCAAGCCGCTGTGACTCTGTCTGAACTTGACCCCAGAATTCCACGTTGAGCCCTGACTTCACTTGTACCTGCCATGCTTCACAGCGCCGTACTGGCCACCACACAAGATGTGCACCTCTCCGGCCATCGGTCTTCTCACAGTGTCTGCACCCCACGTGGCTTTGTGGCTCCCCTCCCTCTGCCTCAGCTGCCGTCCAGCTGGCAGAGTCCCCCACATCCTCAGCCTCTTCCCAGATCACTGCCCTTATCTCCCTGCCTATGGAGACTTGGCTGTCCCACAAGCAGCCCTCGCTGGAGGTGGGGGGAGCTCCCCCGCAACGCCCCAATGTGCCACAGTGCTCAGAGGTAGAGCCAGCATCACTTCCTTCCCCGGCATCACTTCCCACCCTAGGCGCCAAGTCCCTACTGTCAAGTTCATGTCAATGCATTGCTTTTCTAGTTCTATCCATCCCCTGGTCACTGGCCCTTCCCCTGTCACGAGTCTGAAGCCTGGCTCTGGGATCCCATCCTTTTGTCTGACACTTGAACTAACGACTGAGCAGCAAGGAGCAGCCATGTCCGGCTGGCTACCTGCGGGAGGGCTCACACACCCTTCACACGACCACCGCTAAGTTCTGACCGCCGGCTGGGGGAAAACTGGTAGACACCTACCACGTAACATTCACAAAAATAAATCCACAGAACCTGGGGCTCACGAAAAGTTAAACGCATTTGTTTTCTCGTCTGCGAATGTGGGAAGGAGCCAATGATACTCCGAGAGAGCAGCGAGCGAGGATTGCGGCACATAAGCCTGCATTGACTGTCAAGCATTACTTTCCTTGGAGCGTTCCAAGAGCTGTGCCTGCTGGGTTTCCGGAGGGCGTGGTTAGCATGTCATGTCTTCTGGGCACTCTGTGACCATGAAGATGTCACGTGAAGATGAGCACACTGTGTACATATTGCTGAGTACATTTAGTGGGAAGCAGGCTTGAAGAGAGAACGTCATTTGTTTGGGGCTCACAGATGTACGGTGAGAACTAGGAATGTAAAAGAAGTCACAGTTATTTTGGCACCTTGATCAATTCCAAGAACTGTGCTGATTCAGAAGAGGGCCCAGGAGCTGGGAGGGAGGAAGGGGAAAGGAAACTCTACTGAGATGTTACAGTGCAGCTCGGGAAGCTGGCCAGTGCGGGGCAAGCCTCATACCCCGGTGCTCTCAGGAACGTCTCCCCAGGACAACAGACCACTTGGGCACAGAGCAGGAATTGCATCCTGCCAGAGGGGGGATGCTTTATGACATTATGGGGAGAAAGAAAGCAGTTTGGGTAAAACTAACAACTAGGGTTTTGTTTGTTCTTTTCCTTGTGGAAGGAGAAAGGACTGGAATATATGAAGAAAATAGTCGATTCTCCATGTCCCAAAGCAAGACACTTACAGTTTGCAGCTGCTTACAACCTCGGAAGGGCTTACTACGAAGGCAAAGGTGTTACACGGTCCAACGAGGAAGCCGAAAGGTAACCTGACCTGAGAATGGGTTCTCCTTTGAATCAAACGCTGACCCAAGTAACAACTTGCCGTGTCTTTCTCTTTCAGGCTGTGGCTCTTTGCTGCGGACAATGGGAATCCAAAAGCTAGTGTGAAGGCTCAAAGTATCCTAGGATTGTACTACTCAACGAAAGAGCCCAAAGAGTTAGAAAAGGTATCACTGATCTATTTTTTTTATGTTAGCATTTAGATTATTTGTCACTGTTCTTTTTTTTTTAAAGGGTGACAAGGAATAAGTGGTTTTGAATCTCTTTATTTCTTTAAGATGTAAAGAAAGTTTAAATTTTAAGATCTCACAGCCCATTTCCTCCTTTAATCATCCGTGAATACTACCTTCCCTGCATCTACCAAAGGAGACCACAACCGTGAGAGCTTTTTGTATGAAAAAAGTCACACATACAAAATATATTCCATAACTGCTCTAAGAGGGAGAGTCCTGAAATGAAGCCCAAATCCTGTGAGTGTGAATACAGTATTACATTTGATGAAATCACCATGACACTAATAAGTAAGACATACCAAGAATTGAAAACTAAACCCATTTAAGAGTTTTACAGAACTATAATCTCTCTCATCATCAGTGACTGAAATATTTTCCAGGAAATCTTAGAGGGGAAAGGCCTTGTAGGGCTGAGTTCTACTTGTAAGAGGCGTTCAGGGCAAACTTGTCAAAGCCACCTAACAATTTCAGACCCTCCGTGGACAACGGCGCCGCACTCGGAGATAACTTTCCCAGCTCACTCCCATCCAGGAAGCTGAGTATTAGGCGAACGAACACACCTGAGCCTCCATGTGGCTTTTATCCTTGCTCATCTTTGATCTTGAAAGCGCCCTCTCTGACACCCACCTGGAGCTCCGCCTTCCCTGAGTCCCCCCCCCCACCCCCTGCTGTGTTTCGTAGCAGGTGCAGCTCACAGCCACGCAGAGCTCTGTCCCTGTCTCCCACCTTGTGGATCCCCGGTGTGGAAAGTCTGAAAATCCTGAAAGCTGAGAGAGCGGAACTCTAGGCAGTGACTCACCTGCCCTGCAGGGTAGACGACAGGGGTCTCACCTTACACTCTCTCTCTAAGGCATGGGAAATTGATGCAAGCCTGAAATACTTGTAAGGTTATTTCCTAGAGCCGGATTAACGACACTATCTTATCCTCAGAGACTTTTCTCTTGCTGGTACTCCCTTGTCATTTCACCTGGTAACAAGATGAAACTCTGCTTTATTTAAGGCGTTTTATTGGCATTCGGAAGCCTGCGGCAATGGGAATCTGGAGTCCCAGGGTGCACTGGGGCTCATGTACTTGTACGGACAGGGCATCCGCCAGGACACCGAAGCTGCCCTGCATTGCTTACGGGAAGCGGCCAAGCGTGGGAACGTCTGTGCGCAGGGGCACCTGGTGGAGTATTACTATAACATGAAGTTCTTCACCAAGTGTGTGGCGTTTTCCAAACGGTAAGTGAGCTGAAGGCAAGTACTTACAGAAACTCTTGCTGGACGTGCCGCGCCAGGTGTGTTCAGAGAAGTTACAACAATATTGTGTATGAGGGCTGGTGAGCGCTGGTGCCCCTGAGGACGGAACTTTTACGTTTGGACTTTAATGAATGTAAGCAGCCACATGTGGCTGGCTAGCGGCTGCCATACCAGATCATGCAATTCTGTGATGTTAGTCTTCAGAGTTTCAGTGCTGTTAGTTCTGTCTGCCAGCTGAGTGAGCTTAAGCAACTTTTTTAACTTTTGGAGACATGAACTGCTTTATTTATAAGAATGTACTTTTACTGCAGGGTTATAAAAATAGCACATATAAAGTACTTAACATAGCTGGGCACATCAGAGGTGTGTATTAAATATTAAAGTCATTGCTTCCGGCATCCTTAGCCACAGGTTCTTTAAGTGCATAATTTCATTGTGGCTTGATGAGAACTGTAAAATGAGAATAATGGTTAAAAGACTCCAACACTAACTTCTTATAAGATACTTGGAAATTTTCATAAAACAGGGGCATTTCTTTTCCCTGAGCCTATGTACTTTCCCACATCTATTTACCCCCACTGTACAAAAGCAACATGCCGGGAAGAGCCGCCCTGGCCGTCCGGAGCAGCCGCAAGCCTGGGCTGACAGAGCAGCTCCCTCTGCCCTCTCCTCCCCAGAGTCACGGCCTCCAGACAACGGGCCATGAAAAGGTTCAACCTCCAGTGTCCCAAATCTCCAAACGCCCATTTGCCTGAAACTAAGACTTTACAAAGATAGACGTGCAAGTTTTTAAATGTGTGTTCCGGTCTTGTGTGGCTAACACTCAAACTTAAGGTTGACGTGTAAGTAAACGGTCCAGGGAAACAGAAAATACATTTTTCCCCATTGCTGAAATCTGCAGTGATATTAAGTTTAAAATACTCATACTACAAGAAAACCACCTTTCCTTCACCTTCTAGTGGTTATGAAGCCTGACGGGGATAATCACAGGGGAGCCACGAAGCAGCCCCTCTTCCCCTGGTATTAGGTTCTGCCCCCCCTTGCCCTTGACCTCACGACTTGGTCAGCACTCCACCAGGTAGAAATGAGGAAGCCCTAGGGGCACAAGGACAGTTTCTGGACACGTTACCTGTGCAAATGTCAGCCATACTGGCGCCCTTTTCACTCCGCAATTCCCCACCATACCAGGATCGCCGACTACGATGAGGCTCACGACATCCCCATGATAGCCAAGGTCACGGACTGTCTCCCGGAGTTCATCTGCAGGGGCATGGCCATGGCGTCCTTCTACCACGCACGCTGCCTCCAGCTGGGCTTGGGGATCACGAAGGATGAAGCGGCTGCTAAGCACTATTATTCTAAAGTAAGTGGGCTGAGAACAAACATCGACCGACTCAGAGATCTCTGGGCTCTTAGTTGATTGACACTTGACTGTCTCTACGGATTCATGCCTTTTCCTCCCTAATTACTGTCAGATGACCGCTGTCTATGAAGAAGTGGTCAGACATGCAGGTTGTTTGCACACAGTTCGTCTGCTTCTCATTAGCACGACTACCAGTCCTGTATTCTTCTCTCACTCTGCTGCTCCCTGCGGGCCCAGCCCCCAGACCTTAAAGTGGGAATGTTCACGCCTTCTTTCACCCACAGAAAGTGTGGACCTGTGTCCTCACTGTAGTTCCTTAACGAAAATGTAGCTTTTAAAAAGTTTCGTATGCATGACATCTACCGTGCAGAGGAGGAATATTTGTGAGTTTGAGTAACCAGTTAAAATGAGCCTTTTCATGTTTGAACCCACATGGTTAACTTATTAAAATCCCAAACGAATTCCACATCTAAAAAGCAAACAACTGTCAGCCCTGGCTGGTGGCTCAGTTGGTAAGAACATCGTCCAGCTGCACCGAGGTTGCAGGCTTGACCCCCAGTCAGGGCATGTAGAAGAATCGACCACTGGTTGCATAGATAAGTGCAAATCGATGTTCCTCCCCCTCTCTCTGAAATTAATAAACACTAATATAATAAAACCCATTGTTAAAAGTGTGGAGGGGTGGGAGAGGGGGATCATTAGGAAGAGGACCTGCAAGTGAGCACTTTTTTAGAAAGGGGAAAAACAAAAAATACTGTGCACACCTTAGTTCCATGACCTCCAGGAAGTCCCAATTAGAATGACTTCCTCATGAAATTTATGAAGCAGTTCATGGCCTACACAAATTGTTCAGCTCGAGCAGGGGAACAAGTCAGGGGAAAACTTCTGAAACCCCTCACCGGACTCTGCCGTGCCCTCGGTGGTCCCCGGCGTCGTCTGTGTGTTAACATCACCGGGGATCTTTCAAAACATCCGGAGCCCAGGCCTCGTTCAGAACAGTTCGGGCTTGGTTGGCTCAGGGCCTGAGACACGAGCACACTGCCTGAATTCCCGGGATCCCCGTGTTTTGGGAGTCTCAGCTGGCAAGTCTGGGAACCCCAAATTCCATAGAGATGTAGTGCACTAATACAGCTAGTTATCACTATACCTTTCTATTAGTATCACTAATAGTTTGCCTTTTTTTTAAACCTAAATTCTCTATGTATTATGCCAGTTTCCAAACCAAGTCCAGTTCGGATTGTATCCTATCCTTAGAATCTTTTCTAAATAAACAAAAGCAGGGAAAACTCTGGGTCAGAAATATCCTGGATTGCGGTATATGTCTATCCTAAGTAAAACAACAAAACAAACAATCTGCAGTCTTAGAACAATTTTCCATATGGTTGGAGATAATGGCACCCTTACTCAGTTTTGGCCACTGTATTTTATGGGGGATACTTTCAAAGTGGAGAAAATTCGTATGTCATGAGCCAGTGAAGGGTCTGGAATCCTGTCACATGAGGCGCGGTAAGAAAAACTGAGCGCGAGGGGGTTCAGACAGTGGTCCTCACTGGACTGAATAGCTGCGCTATAGAAAAGGGACTGTGGGGACAGGGGGGCAGAATTAGGGCCACCAGCAGTGCATTATGGGAAAAGGGAAGGAGGTGGATGGTGCAGACAGTGGCCCGGAGTCCGGAGACCACGCCTCTGGGGCTGGTGTCCGCTCTGCCTCCGTCAGGCTGGGTGGCTGTCTCAGGGTTTCTAGGAAACCAGCATTAGATGTCCTCTTAGGACCCTTTAATGATTCTAAAGTACATAGAGGGAGTTTCTAGCTTAATATAAAGAAGAATCTGCTAATACAACTGTTCAGGAAGTATTCAGTAAGAAAAGCTTTTCCTGTAATGTGGTGACATCTTGCCACTAGGAGCAACTGAGCAAGTGTCTAGTGACCAGCTGTCATGGGTACTGAAGGGACAGTTTCTGCATGGAGAGAGGTCTGGGTGGGGGTCTTGACATTCTATGACATTATGAACTGTTCTGTGTCATTACTTAGTCATAGTAAAATAATATCCTTCAAAGTAAGATTATTATGAGATGCTGCTATTCACATAATGAGATATTAAGTTTGAGGCCCAAAGTTGCCACTTTCCCTATTACTTATTTTAATAATTCATGTCCTGGGCACGCTATCATTGGTGCCTATATTTCCTTTATTTGTGACACTGATAACACTTTCTCTCTTTCAATTGATAACAGGATGGATATTTTTACTGTGGTCTTTTTTGCATAGGCAAATTTGAACTTCTCTTAATTAAAAAATCAGAATAGATGTACATCTTAATTAAGAAAATACCCTTGAAATTCATTGTATTTACTATTCTTAAACACAAACCAAAAATTATTAAAAAGTAAGAAGACCCGTCAATTCAAAATACATTTAAATAACTGACTCTTTGCCTTTGATTTTTAAGGCTTGTCGTCTGAATCCTACCCTGGCGGATGAGCTTCACTCTTTAGTTATTCGTCAAAGAATTTAGACCATTGTGCCTTTCAACAAAGATCGTCCACCCGAACACCTTTAAAATGTGTGTATTTTTACAATAGCTATGTTCGCTTGTTTTCTACATCTCAAGTTACATTGTTTGGGTTTTTTCCCCGATGACACATTGCCTATCGTTCTTGGATCTGTAGTCTATAATTTCACAACTTGAAACACAGCTACAGGATCAAACTGTTGGACAATCGCTCAGAAACCCTGCCCTTCGCCTGCAGACCGGCCCAGACCGCATCAAACCCTGCAGACCATGCCGTGAAGCAAACCTCGGCTCCCCTTCCTTAAATACAGTGTCCCCAAAAGACCTAGTGTGGCCTTCGGTGTAAGGACTTCAGGAGCATAAACGCTACCACGTGTAAAATATTCTACCGATGAAATAAATTGTTTCATTTTAAACCATTATTTCAATTTTTAAATTTAAAAATCACAAAAATAAGAAAAAATTTCTGAAGAAATTTACAAATAATTTTTAAAATAAATTTGTGTAGCATTTATGCTTCTGAAGTTGTTAAAGCTAAGACGGCACTGGACCTTCTGGGACATCTTCTATTTGCAAAAGGGACGGTTATAAATAACTAAACCGGCTGATTTACGATCAACTTGGAAAACAGTGGGTTTAAGAAATTGCTTACAACGGTGTCCCTCCACATCTTCCCTTAAATAACTTAATTTCAGGGAACAACTGCTCTGTTCCTGAGACTGTCAATTAAAGCTAGATGTTTTCTTTGTGCTTCATTTTCTACATTTTAAAAAACCTAGATGTACTTCAAAGTGAGACAAAATGTGAAAAAAAATCTCAATGGAGTTAATATAGAATTATAACTAAATATGGCTAAGAATTAAGTTAGCAAAAGGCTTTCCTTATATCAGTGGTTTCAACGAAGACAAAATCAGGCAGGAAAGTAGAATTCACATGCACAAGACTGCAGTGACAGCTATGTGTGAAACAGAACCAGGGAAAACGACATGTCTTAAAGATACCTTACTATCTTCTTTGTAAACATGCTAAGCTACTGTTGCTGGATTTTAAAAACCACAACCGTCCTTTCTGAAAGGGGGTTTCAGCAACATCCCGTCTTAGCTGGGGAAGTGCTGCTGCCGCGTGGCAGCCAATTAGCAGGCGTCACCGGGCAGAAAGCGACATTGCCTTTGGTTTCTGTTCTGGCTCGTCTATGTTACTTGAATTTCATTTTGTCTTTATAAAAAAGGAAGAAAATGTGAAAAGAATCTTCTGTGACATTCCCTCAACTGGTCCTATGTTTCTCCCTTTACTCTCTTAAAAATTATACACTTAAACCATCCTTGAAAATCAGTTTTCTTTGTAAATCTCTACTGAAGATTCTCTCCTCTCCTCTAGGAACACGTCTCAATATCTCAAGCAATTATGAGATTTTATAATATCTAACATATCATCCCTTTCTGCACTGCAGGCCCTTTTGCTCTGCTCTTGTCCTCTACTTTGTACAGGTCCACTCTCCTTCGACCACCTGGAGGTCCGCTGTCACAGGGGTTCTCTCTCCCTCCCGCTCAGTCCCGCTCCGGCAGCCTTTCTTTAAGGATGTCCGCGTAGCAATGCAGTGAAGCAGTGTGTGTTGGCTTTAATAGCATGTTTAATAGACTTGTTGTCTTTCTTCACACAAAGTAAAAAACACCCTTTTTCACCTGCCATCGGAACGCAGGTCGGAGTGACTCTCACTCCACACTTACTTCCAGCGGATCTTTGTTCCCTGCCTGTCTGCTTGCTCTCCAGTGAGTGACAAACAATAAACCATCCTTCAAGTGCAGCAAACAAATCAATCACAGGTCTGAGCAACCCTCAAAGTAGGTGTCTGACATGAGAATTTATCTTAAAGAAAGACTGAGGAGTCGGTTGTTCCTGCACTTGGAGTATGAGTTGAACAGCTGTAGCTACACTGTGCATGAGACGGACATTCCCAGCGACCGGCCACAGTGAGTTCCCGGCCCTCGGTGCCTTCAACTGCTTCACTGGATGTCTTTTCTACATTCCTATGAAGGGTAATTCTTACCCATATAAACAGCTAACTTTGATTATTACCCAAAGTGTCAAATGTCATCCTGGTTTGGTAAATAATTATTGAAGAGCGGAAACTGTAAGAATCCCTAAGATAAAATTGGGTTTACTCATTTTTAATCATCTACCTTTCAGAAGTTATGTTTCACATCAAGAATGTGGCAGGCATGATCTATCGATGATATAATCAATACCACTTTAATACCTACAGCATTTTTCTTTCATGGATTTCAAACTGAAGTTCTGTCTATTGTTGTGCTTTCAATATTCTCGGCAGCTAGAGGGGGGGACGTGTTTTACTACCCCTGCATAATAGATGGTGAAACCCAGGAAAACTGGTTGAGTTGTGCAGTAACAGTGGGCCCCCGGATCTCCCCGAATGCCCTTGCTGGCCCACAAGACTCAACACAGTCATGTCCCTGAACTCCCCGAGTCCCTCCCTCCTCTTCCCGTGTCCCGGTCTCAGCCCTGCCGGCACATCAGCGGCCCGGCTCACATCCCGCCCCTCAACACATCACTTCCCATTCACGTCAACAGCGTGTTCTCCGTCAACAGCGTGTTCTCCACATGTTCATCCTCTGTGGTCAGAGAAAAGGCAGCCACCTATCTCCTTGCACAAGTACTTACGTGCACAATGTTTCCTACAAAGAAGGGCACCCGGTGAGCATCTGAACTGCCTGCAGGGTTTCAGCCTCTTTCAGACGTGAGCGACTTAAACGTCATGGAGCTCTAGGGTTCGTTTTTATATTTTATTGCTTCAAATGCTTCAAACTATGGGAAATCTTTGGTAAAAATAAAGACAAATTTTTCACAATAACTTTACATATAAAGCATTGCACAACAATGTTCTTCAATACACATGAATATAGGAATGTTCAAAATCCTCAGTGAGGACATTATCTGTACAATATTTACACTTCTTCATTTCAAAAGTTTTCATAAATATTTATAGTATTTCCTAGGTTCTTACCACATATTAACATTTATATGTCCATCAGCATGTTGAACTTTAAAGTATTTATATTCTTATGAAAATAAAAACCAGTAGTTAACAGAAGTGGTTTTTCCTGTTGGGACAGCATCGACCCACTCTGCTTACTTCCCGTAAAACTGGAGGGAGGTAACCAAAACACAGTGCACATTGTTCTCAGTCAGGCTCTGCGGAAAGGAGGAAACGCGGCATGTCTACGGTCACGGACGTTTCCCGGCGGTTTATTTGTGCAGACTCAAGCCTGACCCGCTCTCGGCGGGTCCATGTGAGTTCTCAGCTCCGGGCACAGTTCGGTCAGCAGCAGTTCCATCAGCACCTGCACCAGGAAGGAAGGGGAAAAGGGGAGGCAAGATTGTGTTTTTCTCTAAGGGTTTACTCAAGTATCTACATTTAGGAGTGAAGTCTAATTTTAGGTCTGGGGTGATTCTCAGTCAACAAGTCACTCAAGGAGATGGAATTCATAGCTCTCTCGTGGTCTGCTAACCAATACCACACCATCAGCGACAGTAACACCGCCAACTCTGATCGGACAGATGCCTGGGAAAGGGTTTTTGCTCTGCTGAAGCAGGGAAACCAAGCAGTCATGTTGCAGACATCAGAAGTCAAGAGACACAAACAGGATGAGAACGAGAAGGATGCACCAACTGGGGTAATTTATTTTGTTCAACCACATTTAACAGGCAGACAAACAGAAGGGAAGCAGAGAAAATGGGTCCAGAGTGACAAGTAATACCAATGATTAAGACTATAAAGAATTCCAGTCTACCCTAATACGTGAGTAGAAACGTAAAATCAAAGAAACAGTTAACTCTCTGGTAGGCTTTACATTACTCACATACAACAGATGTTTATTGGCTCTTGTCTCCTGCAATGCGTTGAATATTTTTATTATTCCATGGCGGGCATTTTGCTGTCCAACAAGGCTCTGAAGCATATCTGAAAAATTAGGTTTATATTCTATGCTGTGACTGGTAAAATGCACATACGTGGATATTCAGTTACATAACACGTCCACCATAAATAATGGCACTGAAGCCCAAGAACGTGAATGATAAGTTTTTTTCAAATGTTTACAGAGAAAATAAGATTATTTAGAATCTTTCAACATAAGCTATTTATACAAACTATAATTTTAATACATTGCTACCCAATTAAAAATTAAGCATTCACGACAGTATACTTTAGCAGGACTTTTAAAACCCCACATGTATTATCTGTTCTAAAACATTTTTCTCCCTTAAGTTAAAAGAATTATAAGCAGTATGGTTCTTATTAAGATTTCGGTATAATTTCTCAGCAAGGAGCAAGACATGACGTTTTAAGTGCGATCATTCTTTCTCATTGTAAACAGTGTTTCCCGAGAGGGAGAAATGAAACGCACCTCACTGGGCCAACATTCCCCCTTAATCGCTGTACGTTCAGGACCGGGGCCCAGGCCTCACCTGGAATGTTTTCCAGCAGCTTCTGCTGCGCTTTCTGCTTTGTCTCCTGACTTTGCTCTTTGCTTCTGATTTTGGTCGGTGGTGCCAATTTCCCATGTGGCCAAAAAGCATCCCGGAAAACGGTGATATAGTAAACCAGCATTTGCTCACTGAAAATCCAGTTCAATGTGTCCCGAATTTGTCTTTTAAGAGAAGAATATTTCTTGGGTGAGGTTTTAAGAAATTTTTCATACTCTGTTCTCAAAAAGCATTTATCGATGGGAAGGTTAAGATACAGCCTGGTCTAAATGTTTAATGAATAAACTAGGAATTGGGTTTTAAACTCTGGCTCTGAGAGTTACTTTTTATTTTGGTACTACTGTGTGACCCCTGACCCCTGGTGCTTCCATTTTGTTTTCTCTGGTGCTCACTTCTCCAAATGTCCGCCACACAGCATCTTCCCTGGCGAGAAGCTTGATTTTGTTCAAAGCTGGCAACCACTCTAGCTGTACTCAGTACCTGATATACTAATTTCTCCTCGACGTAGTACCAACAACTGAAAACACAAATCCATTGACAGGCAGATAAAAGTGGCCTGGAACACCCCCGAGTTCTTCAGGTCCCAGGGAGAACCAAGTTTCTCCATCTCTGGGTGTTGCTCCGGCAGACTATGCCAGGCGGTGTCCTCTGATCCGGGGTGCACGTCTGACATGCCCATGAGGCCAGAGGAAAAAGAGCCCCCCTTACCACAAAGGGGAGGGCCCTGGAAAGACACTCCACTATCCACCCATGTCAGATCTCCACGGGAATGACAGCTGGGCACAGTGATAAATAGGTGGCTGTCATCTGTAACCCAGGTCTTCCACATAACCCTAGTTCGTCAGTTATGAGTCGGTTCTCACCAATGACAGGATTTATGCTGTCAAGAGACAAATACAGTTCCAAGAACCCGAGAGTAATTGTTCACTGGGAGCAGGAAGTCTCATTGTTGAAAAAGGGAAAAGAATCATTTTAGACTATTAATGCCAGAAACACTGGGAACTTCCAACTCAATGCATGAATAATAAATTTAAAGCCCCTTTTAAGAATCTGACTTCCCAACCAGATTTTTAAAGAGACAATGTAAGGTTCTCGGAAATAGTACCTGAAATAGATATTTCAAGCCTGGTATTTTTGGCGTATGGGACAATGCTCCAACCAATTGAGCCACTGGGCCAGGGCTCCGAGCCCAGTATTTTTCACACAGTAACCACTCAAGTCTAAAGAATGCGGAGTCAAAACCGTTCATTCTGTTTTATGACTGCACACCTCCTACACTACTTCCCTATATTGCTGAGAACATATATTTCAATTCATACCTAGCAAAAATGATTTTGTTAATTTAATGAGACTTGTGACTTAAGAAAACCCACCAACCTGCCTGTCAACCTCAGAAAATCTGCATAAAAAGGCAGACACCTGGTTCTTGTCTGTCACCTTCCTCGGGTTACTCATGGGTACTACACGAAGAAAGGCAGTGAGAAAACTTCCATTTGCAACTTAAAATTAGGTAAGTGACTCTCACCCAAGGCCGTCACCTAAGTATTTCCCACCAGTTTGGTCTGACTTTCTACTAGCCAAGACCATAGGAAGCTTCTGCAGCAGTTCTGGTACGTGGGATTACAGCTGGTACAAGGCAAGTTCCGCTGCTTATTTTCATGTGACAACGTCAGCTAAAGGCAAAGAAGCAGAGGGCAGGGGCGAGGGCCAGGGCTCCATGCATCCTCCATGGGAGAAAAAGGCCCAATGAAACGACCAGCCTGGAAATTCCACAGCGGACCTCTCCTCCAGCCCCATGAAAATAAGTGCCCCGTGTGTCCACACTGACAAACCGCAGCTGCTCAGGTGATACCGGGAATTCAGAGCCGGTATCGTATATACAAGCAAGGAAAGCGTGAATGACTTGCTGAAGCTGAAACGGGAAATATATTATTAGCAAGCCTGGAGTCCCGAGACAAACAGGGCCATCGAGGCAATTTCTTATCCAGCGCCTGTCACTACTAAGGTTAAGAGGGCTGACCTTGACTGAAGCTGTTACGTTTAGGACCTTTTTTTTTTTTTTTTATTTTTTTATTTTGTTTAGAAAAAAAAAAACCCGAGCGACCAGTCAACAGGACCCTTTCTGATGAAAACAAAAGCCTATGATGTGACTAAAGAAATCGCAGACGCCAGTTTTTAAAAATCTTAGAATGGTGTGTTTATGACCACAAGGAAAATATGCTATATGCAAATGAACAGAAAGATAACATGTTCTTTATGTTTTCCATAAAAATTCATGTGATAAAACTATCACATTAATGTTGTGCATCTGCTTGACAACTGAGTCTTTCAATTGGAAAAATATGACTTTTATCCTAAACCATAGTTGCTATACAAAAAAAGCGACATTTTCCCCTTGTTTTTAGCGGTCAACTCACATTTTTACTGTGTAAGAAAGACATGATGTTTATCCACTGAAGAATACTGGATATGGAGCGAAGCTTTTATGTTTAGATAAAAACATAAGCATATTTAGATACACAGACAATGTGATATAAAAGTATTCATGTGGCTTACAATAGTGGTACATGATGCTCAGATATTCACTAACAAGAGGACCACCCACATCAGCAACTTGGAGGGTCTGCATTTCCCTCCAAGTACACACCTGCCCTGTGAGGCTTGGCCTCCTTCCATCCTGGCTGAGGGTCGAAGCCTTAACCTGACCCCTACTGTGTGACACAAAAACACTGTGCCCGAGACACCCACGCTGGTCATCATGACCGCAAGAGTTCTTTACAAATGCTCTTCTGCACCGAGTCCCCAGAACACGGGCGCTAGCTCAGGCTTTCGCCGTCTCGTTCACTGTGCATTGTGGGAGCGATTCTTCCAGAAATGTGCTTCCCTGGCCAATCTCAGAATCGTACCAGAAACAATTAAAATAAATGACCTTCAGTATGAAAGAGCACTGGCTACCGTAGCACAGGTAATTTGACTACTGAGGCAAAGAGGTGTGCATTCAAACATTAATTTTGTGCAACTCACTTGTTGATGGTCCTTCCAAAAGTGACTTGAACGAGAGCCATCAGTGTTCTTCGCACCCATTTAAACACTAAAACACAAGTCAGAGGAGAAGCATTGTCACAGGAGGCCACAGTCATGACGTTTTCCTAGCTGCACCAGCAATACATCTCACCACTTAACTCAGTCTGAGCCCTGACGCCAAGCCAGTGCTGTGATATCTGCGGAGTGCGGGTCGAGATTCGCAAGCTTCTACCTGGGAAAATTCTTTACTCTGCTTTTCATTTTCTGCTTAGCAACCGATAAAGATGAAACTCAAGAGCTTTTACAGCTTTCTGATGGCTAAACAATGGCTGAACTAACAAGCGGAAATGATACTTGACTCTTTGTGTCCTTGGGCTCCCAGCAAGGGGTCTGTTTCCACCCAAAGGCAGTGCGGCTCCTGTTCCGGTTTTTGTCTGGCTGGCCACCCGACCTCCTAATGCCTCTCTGAACAAGAAACACGCGTGGTCCCACGCTGACCACTGTTCTGAAATATTAATGAACTGGTGGGTCTAGCTGCTCCTATTCGAGTCCTAGTTTGCAGAGCATTGGGTACTTTTTTCTATTTTACACTGTTGTGGGTGGAGCCGGGTTCTGAGTGAGTGGTGAACCCAGGGCTGGCCTGCGCCTGCCCCGTTGCCAGGGGCAGCTGGCACGGGCCACTTTCTCTGGGCCGCAGCGCCCTGGTCTGGAAAAGGACAGGGGTCACGTGTGCTTGTTTTGCTCTGAGGGTCATGTCAATACTTTGTTTGAGAGGGCACTGTGAGGAGCTCTACAAATCTACAAAACTTTCCTTATTACCTCGGTGACTACAGATACAAAATAGGAAAGTGAACAAACAGAAGGCAAAGCCACGCTGCAAACTGGAATCTAAACCAATTTTTCTATTTATTCACCCCCATTCATCAAAACGGCTAATGACACATGGGCAAACGAGAAACTCAAACCTGACTGTAACGGAGACAAGAGTTCAGGGGCCTAGTACCAAACTCGAAAGGGGCGAATTCGCAATCACCTCTGTGCAAGGGAAGCCTCACAAACAAAAATCAGCAATTCACACGGGCTTGCTGCTGGGCTTCAAAACATTCCAAGGTCATGTCTAACTTTGTAAATGGCTCTAAGTGTCCAGCTGAATGGCGGTGTTAATCCTTCAAGTGAGATCCAAGGCACGGAGTCGGGACCCTGCCTTAAAGGCACCTTACATGGCTGAAGGCATTCAGGACACATGGCCAGCAAGTGGACCTGCTCGGTGAGGCCGGCATGGTGGCCGGGGAGTTCGTCTGTCCGTGCCTTCCTCGGGCCGGAGATGCAGCCCACAGCCAGAGGCTCTGAGGACAGGGCCCCTCCAGAAAGAAGGCCTGTCAGTGCAGTGACTGATCACAGATGTTTGAAAGGCTGTGTTGTTCCTGGTCCCTTTTTGTACACTGAACTAGAACAGGAAGCAGAAACTGCCACGCTCCAGATTCTCCCGTCACTGATGGCTGCTGACTGCTTTTCTTGTCTTCCCCCCAATACTCACAACAGCCCCCGTGATCCCTCTGAAGGCTCATTTGCTCAAAGCCACAGAGACAGCTGCAGCAACTGTAGGATTCTGCTGACGGCACAGATATCACAACTCATTATAGATGATGTTCTATTTTTTCCCCTCCGGAATGTCACCAGCCACACCAAATACACTCTGGGCAGGCACATGAGGGGGGAGGTGCCCACTGGCTGTGGAGACGGGAGTCTGAGCCCCTCTCTGCCCTGACAGAGCCACCAGGTCTCCATCTCCATACCCCAAAGACACACTGCCGCAGGCTAAAAGGGCGCCTTTCCTCCTCCTCCTCATCATCAGCGCTGGGTGACCGGGAGGCCTCAGCGTGATGGGCCAGACTTCCCTGGGGAAGAGTCGGGTGCTGGGTGAACTGTTTTCTGTCGGTGCTGAACCCACTGCAGCAGCAGCGCATGTCTCAACGTGTCCGAAACACGTGAGCAGCTACAGCTTCTTCATCTGGAAGGACCTTTAATACTTGGGTGACGTTCCATCATAGGGAGATTTCTTAATTTATGCCCCACTTCTGAAATTTAGCTCCCAACTTTTCAATATTGAAGTCATGCTAAAAATGAACATCTTTACATATAAATCTTTGCCTGTGGTTTTTGCATTTAATTGTGTCCCCTGTTTAATGTTAGATTTTCAGAACCCTTATATTGTAAATGAACTGAAGGAAGAATCTACATCTGATGTGGTTTTGTTTCCCCTACACGGCTGTATCCCAAACATATGCTCCCAAGGTCTTTGCCTAACCAGGCTTTGGCTTGGGCGAAGGACAAGTTCAATAACCAAGACAATTAATTCCAGCACTTGAAATCTCCCTGCCTGTTCATGCATCAGTGCAACCGGCCAGACGGTTCCTGGATCACCTACTACAGCTCAGGCACCATAGTAGATGCGGAGGATTAAAAACACACAGACATGATCGAGTGTATACAGCACCTGAAGTTTCTCATCTGCTAGTAATTCCTGAAGGGACACTGAGGGATATAAACACAGCCCCACTGCCTATATGAGACCACCTCCCGGCCCACCCCCTTTGCCCCAAGGGAAAAGATGCTAATCTGAGTGGACAGAGCCTGGGACAGCCAGAGGGCGCCACTGTGCAGGCTGGAGGTACCCTGGGCCCTGCAAACCCTTGCTCCTCTCGTGTGCTTCCTCTTCCGGGCAGTTAGTGGGGCCTTTCAGCGCCACCACACCGCCAGCCAGGACCAAGGCCCCAAGTGCGGCTGCACATGCCAGTCTCAAGGTGTGGAGTGTGGGGGCCGTGGGAGGTGTGGGTGGGCAGGGAGTCCTGCTTAGGACTCGGGGCAGACCAGGTACTGCAGTAGGACCTTTCCCCGAGCACTGATTCGGGAGAGAGGCCCTTGTGTGGGTCCTCGCAAAATGGTATTTTGATCCTGTATTTGTTTTTGTTTCTTCTAAGTACATCTGAGGAACTGCTAGGGTAGGACTCTCAACCTGACGTTACTGTCACTTGGGACAGGAGTCTTCACAGTGAGGGGCTCACTCGGGCAGCGTGTGGGGCTCAGCAGCAACCCTGGCTGCCACCCTTTGGATGCTGGTAGCGCCATCCACCAAGCTGTGACACTGAAAACGTGTCCAGAAAGAGAGGTGGCTGGAAGGGGACTGAGGAAGTCCTGTAACCCTGGCCATAAAACTATCCTCACAACACCAGCCTCTTCTTCAGCCACCGGGCTGAGCCAATTGAACAGAAACCAAGGTGTTTCCTGTGTCTGTCTTCAGGCTGGATCCTCAGATCCTACCACACTGTCTGGCTGCCCCTCAGGAGGATTTGCTGAACGGATGAATGGATGAATATAAATACACGTGTGACTCAGAAATAAAGGGACATTAAACGTGTGTGCATGTGACCACTTAACCAGAACACACCACTACATAGTAACAAAAAGGCTTACTTCCTCGGAGTTCAAAAATCTCCCCAAGCAACATGAAACAGGGTTCAGCCAAGGAGTCTTTCCTCCCGTCCACATCGTCACCGTAATCTGACAGGTCACTGTCCTCCTCTGTCTCCTCCTGGGGGCACAGAAAAGTCACAGAAGCAGGTCACCTACCCAACTAAGTGGTACCGCTATTCTCCTTTTCTAGATGTAGACGCCACACTATGTGCTAATATTGCAGCCTCACGTAACTTTCCTACATGCAGACGTCTGGGTCTTTTCAATAGAGGATAAAATGTCTGTGACCATTCCCCAGTATTTACTTTTTAAAAATACTTTGTTTATTTATTTACTTACTTACTTATTTATTTTTAGAGAGCGGGGAAGGGAGAAAGAGAGGGAGAGAAACATTGCTGGGGACCTGGCCCACAACCCAGGCGCGTGCCCACCCCAGGACTGAACCAGCAGCCTTTGGTTCACAGGCCAGCGCTCAGTCCACTGGGCCACCCCAGCCGGGGCTCTCTGCTGTGGGATTTGAGCTCCTGCCCCTCCAGCTTAAGTCAACACTAGGAGGCAGACCACGGCTTCCTGTCTACTGAGAACAGAGGAAGCAGAAGTCCAAGTGGACACTGGAGACTAAAGGAGCCTGCGGCCTGCCGAGGACTGGACGCTCACTGCCCCACTCATGGACACAGAAGCTAAGAAATGGGTGAGTGACGTTGGCAGATGCAGGCGCTTCTCTGACCCCCTTTGTAAACCAGGTTTACGAGCTCAGATGCCTACGGTGACCAGGTCGGGAGCCGGGGAAAGGGTAGTAACTTCGAGAGCCCCGTCCTGCCTGAAAGGGGAGCTGGCTGCCTGGTTCAGGCCTTCCCATGTGCTTTTGTAAAAACCACCCAGCAATTCTCATGAGACCGTCCAGTGCCCAACAAATTTAAGTACGTTCTGACACTACCTAGAGATTAGCATCAGACGCCAAGGTTAAGGACTCAGTCCTACAAGGCTGCCCCCGCTTCAAACACCAATCACACATCTAGGTTGTTACCTGTTCTTCTCACCGACCAGCTGTCAATCAGGGGTCCCAGGACCCCTCTCCTCAGGTTTGAGTAATTTGCTAGAGCACCTCACAGAACTCAGAAACATTCACTTACACTCTCCAGCTTATTATAGAGGCTATTGTATAGGACACCGACAAGCACCCACACAAGGCGGCAAGGAGAGTGGAGTCGCCATGTCCCTCCAGGCTCACCACCCTCCCAGCGCCCCACATGCTCATCGGCCTGGCTGCTCCCTGAGCCCCGTCCTGCTGGCTTTTTACAGACGCTCCGTTACCCAGGCATTGTGGGCGCAAAGGGGGCCATGTGCTAAATCCGACGAGCTCAGGGGAGGCCCATCTGAGGGGCCTTACAACCCCAGTGACCAAAGTGACCACACAGGGTGGTCTGGATGTAACTAAAAGCCATTTATGGTGGTCAGCCAACGTCCTAGGCCTGACACTTCCTTGACAAATGTCTATCTTGAACTTGGAAATGGTCTGCTGTCTTTGTGCGTCTCAGATGACATCTCTCCAAAATGTCAAAGCAGACTTCTTTCGAGGGCACCCAAGACAGGGCCGCTGGCACCGGAGCACGAGGCCACAGGCTGTGTCTGCCGTGGCCCATCTGCAGCGCAGCGAACGTCCCCTTCCCGTGCCTGCCGAGGTAACACACGTGTCCTTGTGTGTCACTTCTCATCCATCTCGGGTGGTTTCCCAACCAGGCTCCCTCTGGCCTCCCTACTCACCAACGGAGTCCCTGTTACTCTCCTTACGTCTCGTCTCTTCCTTGGATAATAAGGTATAAAATAAGCTGCCAAACTGACATTTTCTGAAGCCTTTTCTCAGTCTGTTGGATTTTGCTTCCCAGCAACTGTCTTCAAATAAACTCTTACAAGACTTAAAAAATATGTACACAAATTTTAAAAAAATCATTCCTCACCCTGGCAGGGCCTTTGCCTAATCATCCACTAGTCCAGTGCAGAGACCCCGCTGCCCCCAGTCGGAGCCCACCTCCTCCCCTCCACCGCAGCACCAACTCCTCCACGAAGCTCACCCACCCCCGCCCAGGACCAGCTAGTGCAGCCGCCTGCTGGGGCTCCTGAGAACTTCCCACTGCATTTCACTGACCTGCCCTCATGAACCCCTTTGTGTCTGAATGAATCTCAATGCTGCTGAGTGACTTGGAGGGGTACAGGCAGGTGCCGAAAACACGACAGCAACAGTGACTGAAAACAGGTATCTCTGCCTCACCCCACGAGCAGCGTGCTTCCCACGAGCACGTTACCACGAACTGCCTTGGTGCAGACAGCGGCTTACACGCGCCAACACATGGCACGGGCTGTAGACAGCTCACCTCCTGGTGGGAGAAGAAGTCACGCGGGAGTCTTTCCAAAAATGAGGATAATGAAAAAGTGGGTTTTTTCCCCTGCACGTCAATAACCTTGAGGTAGTCAGGAGAAGGGCTCAAAAAGGCATAAAGTGCTTCGCTCTGAGACAGTCTTTCGTCTGAAAGCAGATTCTGCAGAAGAAAGGGGGTGAATCACTCCTCTGTGGGACTATGCACTGCGAAGCCACCAGCCCGACAGTATTAAAGGTGACCTACTCCCATCAGAATTCTGAACCTAAAACCACGGCCCTTGCCCCCTGGGATAAAATATATTAGGTCGGTTCTCCGTGACGGTAACAGCACACCACCCTCTCTGCGTGGCCATGGTGCCCCATCAATCCACTCGGCGGGGCTGCCGCACAGAGGACGGACTCACTCTGGTCCGCCTGCTCAGTGCTACCAGATTCTTACTCTGCACACAGCTCGGAGTCTGCACCGTGGCTGCCTCCAGTTCAGGAGCAGGGACGGGAAGGGAACAACCAGAGGGACTAGCTGTTTCCAGACTGAATGCTAGTTACAAGGGTGTGTTCAGTGTGCGAAATCAGAGACAACTGTACATACAATGTCTGCATTTCCTGTATGGATGGCACACTTTAATTACAAACACACAAAAAGTTATTCCGAGGGTCTGGTGTGGTCTGCGGGAACAGGAGGCAAATGGGCACTCTTAGAATGATGACGGTTTAACCCCAAACAGCTACTTTCCCTCTCACAGCCAAACATTTCAGCCGCTTACCTGTAAAAACTTATTTAGCTGGTTCTTTGACTTTTCCATAAACTTCTGATCTACAGATTTGAAAGGCAGTTTGCTGAGAGAAGGCAGCTGGACTTTTTTTAAAGAAGGGAAGCACTGTTGGGGGAAAGGTAAATATGTTAGATTCTGGAAATTATACTTCACTCTTAAAAAGAGACTCGGAATTACAAGCGGGACAAACCAGGGCCCTTCCTCCTGCACTCGTTCCTCTGACGTTCAAGACCTTGGAAACCTACCTGTTCTAACCAGGCTCAAGGATCTGGAGGAACGGGGCGTCTGAGGGAAACGCTAAACCTCGTGCCCAGACCCACGAACCCTGGAGCCAGGCCGGTTGGGCGGATTTTCACGCCATGCACCTGGAGCACAGGACAAGGGGCTCTGTTTACGCTGTCGAAAGTTATCCAAGTTGACAAAAGAATACAATGGAAAGAAAGAATAACTTGGGTTGAGGCTCTATCACTGCCTTTATGGCACAATGCAGAGTGTAAAGCTACCAATAATCCTAGTGATACAGGTCAACACACAATAACAAGAGACTTCCTTCTGGAGTAAGGCCTGCTCTGTGCCGGACCCTGTGCCCGGCAGGCGCAGCCGCTCCACGCGGTGGGGATCAGCGCCGTTCCTGCTTCCTGTGTGAGAAGACTCAGGGCCAGGGATTAAAGCCCAGCCCCGCCTCACTATGAAGGCAGTGCTTTCTGAGCCAGTTCCCACAGGACGCTGCCAGTGCGCCCCTCAGAGAAGAGGAAGTGGGTCCCACAGGTCCCCGACGGCCCCACCACCAAACACCGGCCTTCGTTAAGGCCCCTTGCATAAGCTGCACAAGTTCAAGTGCTATTGACAAGCAAGTGAGCACAGAGAGGGCCGGCCACAGCCTTTAGGCCCCTCACCATCAAGTCGCCACCGCCCCCCACCACCCCACGGGCCTGGCCATAGCAAGAAGGACATGTAACAGGTGACCTGTACCAAGTGCTCTGCTGGTGGGAAAGGGGACACTGGCGTTTCCCACAAAACCCACTGGAGCTCCCCAAGCACAAGGGCACCTGCCGAAGAAGGAAATACCAACCGGGGCCCAAGTTCGGGGTGAGGTGTTGAATGAAAACACCATTGAATGAAATGAGGTGAGAGCTGGAAGGGAAGAGTAAACCACCAGGGGCCGGAGGACAGTGTGTCCTGTCACTGTGCCCACGCGAGGGCACGTTCAGCAGGGAAAACTCGCATGACAGAAAACGCCAGGGCTGAGAGAGAACTGGAGATCAGGCCACAGAGGGGATGGGGGACAAAGTGACAGAAACAACAGGGGCCTCTACGGTTTGTTTCCTCTGGCGCTTCAGTTTCATTGTTTTTATTTCCAAAGAACGTTTTCTCTTCTACGCACCTTCTGTCTCCCTAAATTCCTCTCTCTCCTTCCTTCTGTTTTTATCAGCAAATAGGATCGATACTAAACTTTGGCTTTGCCACAGTTTGTCACGGGGCGAACAACACATTTCTCTGCAGTGTCAACTGTACCCGACATTTTGGGGGCAACTTATTCTCACGCTGGGTGACTGTTTCGCAGACCACACTGCTAGAGTGGCCACTGTCCATCTGAGAAACGCTGAAGCACAACATTCAGCTTTGGCCACCATCCTTTTGAAAGCGGTTGAAGAAGTAATAGCACTCAGTAATAGCTGGTGATTCAAAAGATATTAAAAAACCACCCTAGGAGAAAAGGTTAAAGAAACAGGCAGATTCCACTTGCAAGAGGGTCTGGAGGCGAGCACAGGGTCTGACCAGCAGGAGTCCATTCAGCGCAGAGAACGAACCGGCCTAAGTGAAAGCAGAGGTGAGGGGAAAACTTTCTTGTCACTGGGGTGAAGGGCGCTGCCTCCAGAGAGAGTTAAAGAAGGTGACCTTTCTGAGGCAAACAGGAGAACGAGGAGTTGAGGTCGGACTACCTGGATGCTAAACCTGGTTTGGCCCCCATGTACACACCCTGCGAGAAGTCAGTTAAACTCTCCGGGTCAGTTCCCCCATCTGTCAAATCAAAGAACTGACCTACATTAGTGGCTCTCAAACATTTTTAACCAAACCCAAGGTAGAAAAGATGTGCTAAGTTGCAACCCACGACACACGTGCATCTCCACGAGTCTGTATAAATAACACGCACACACGCAGAACTGAAACACGAGCTCCGTGGAAGCAGACTCAGTACCTTTTACAAGGCTGACACAGAGATACCCCTTACGTGCCCCCCACTCTCCTGGATGCTTTGGATTCATCTACCCCTTATTCGCACAACTCCGAGATAGGCAAGGGAGGAGCTATAGATCGGTATCTGTGTGTCATTGACAAGGAAGGAGAGGCACAGAGGGGCAGAGTGACAAGTCCCGGGTCACAGAGTGGTAAGGAGTCACGCTGGGGTCCCAGCTGGGTGGGCTCTCAGTCACGACACGTAACCGACTCGCGGCGCTTTGTGATGAAATTCAGGGTGGCCCACTCCCCTCCCATCGCTGCCGCCACCCATGGGCCACTCCATGGTCCCTGGCCCCCTTCCAGCTCTGGGGTTCTCTGGGGTCCCATTCACAAAGGAGATCAGACAATCACCTGTCCTGAAGGATTTAGACAAGACCAGATGATCTGAGCTATGAGTAATTTCTAAATGTCAGGCCGAAAATGCCACTCTGTCAGTAGCAACAGCAAAGAAAAAAGATGAATCTGTTTCCCTATGGGGAAAAATCGAAATGAGCTCTTATGCCTTTTGTTGCTGAGTAATTCTAATGTTCTGTGAGTATCCATACCTCACTAAGTTTCCGGTGCAAATTCTGAAACTCACTGAGCCTTCTGGGAACGGTCCAGTTCTTGGTTTCAACTCCTTCCACGTCCTGCAAACTCACCATGACGAAGTAGCAGGGCATTTGCTCACCGTTCTCTTCAGTAACCTTGAAAGTGAAACAAAACCAAACCAATGCAACAACAACAATACAAAGCATGGAGAGTCCGTGGGGCAGCAAGACTTTTACACACATACCCCGGACTCTCCTCCCCTTGGTGTACACACCTTGCACAATCCCTGGGACTGGGACTGGGACGGTTTCTGTTCTGACAACTGGGATGTTACCTGGCACAGCTGACCCGCAAACAGGGAGATGGCTTCAGTGGGTCTAAACTAATCCCATGAGCCCTTTAAGAGCAGAGAGATGTCTCAGGCCAGCAGTGGAAGAGGGAGTCACAGAGACTGGGGACATAAGGAGCTTTAGGATGGAAAGGGACACAAGGAAAAGACTGGGAGCACTTCCAGTAACTAAGAACAACCCCCAGCTGACAGCAAGAAACCTCAGGGAACTGACTTCTGCCGAGAACCCATCATATCGTGACTAAGGGCCTACAGAATTGTGAGCTAATAAATGGGTGTCGTTTTAAGCTATGAAATTTGTGGTGATTTGGCAGACTTAAAGAAAACTAATACAGCAGACTTAACATCCTATGTTCCCTTGGAAAATCCAATGAACAGCAAGCCAACAGGTGGGAGATATACCAATACCTCTCAGAGAAGGATGAGGGTTTCCTTAGTTCAATTTCAGGAATCAACCAACCATGATCTCTGACCTTGGGAGACATAATGTCCTCTCCCTCCACCCACTATCCCACCTGAAGTTCCTTATGGTTCCGGTGAACACAGACAGCCTTCTGTCTGCCTGGGGCCCTCTGCCAGGGAGGCTGGGACAGCTCCCTGTCGTGGCACAGCCCAGGTAAACATTCGGGGGAAGGTAGGGCAAGTGCAGACTCGAAGAGTAAACGTAAGTTTCCTATCCTCGACTTTAACTCCCCAGGATTCATCTTGTCTTATGAAGTCAAACATTCCTAACAAATGGGGAAGAAGGGCAATCGGACCGACCTGCCCGCCGGTGATGGCGGCCCTCCAGAGGCCCAGGTTCTCACACCACCAATCCGTCCGGGCCAAGTGCAGCTGGAGGTCGCTGCGCTCCTTCTCCGTCAGAATGATCTCCTCCTTCAGCTTGGAAACGATCTGCCACGGGGAGAACATCCCGGGAGTTAGAGAACCACGTAAAACGCCGTACAGGGCAGCAAGAGAGCAGGGAAAAGCTCACACAATCGACACGCAAAAGTCAGGTGCATTTCTAAATACAACAGACAATCCAAAAAGGACATGAAGAAAACAACTGAATTTACAATGGCATAAAAATAATAAATTACATAAGACGAACTTAAGCAAGAAGGTGAAAGTCTATTGTTATTTGTCTATAACAAAAACTACAGAACTCCTTCCTCAGCAAAACAAAAAGTGGGCACGTGTGTGACAGACATGGAAAAAAACTATAGGACTCAGACAAAAAAATTAAAGAAAAATATAAATGAATGAAAAGGTAGCCTATGTTCATGAATGAGAAGACTGAGTATTGCTCATGTCGATACTGCTCAAAGCAATCTAGGGATCCAATGCTGTTCTTGTCTAAATCTCAACAATGTTTTTTTTTAATAAACAGAAAAATCGGTCCTATAATTCATATGGAATCTCAAGGGAGACTATAGAATTGAAACGACCTGGGGAAAGAACAAAGTCAGAAAACTCACTCCTAATTTTCAATACCTACTACAAAGCTACATTCATTAAAACAGTATGGTGCTTCCCAGCGGCCACCACAGCATCATTCTCTCACTCGTCAATGGTGGTTCTGAGCACCACTCCAACAGTGACGGGGGGGTCCGTTCAGCAGACCAAAGGGTACCACCAGCTGTACCTCTATGGCAGAAACGTCCTTGTCGGACTCCAAAGGGGCGTGAACACAAAGCAAAAGGCCACACCACCTCTTGGGTTTGAGAAACGCCAATTAGCAAGATGCTATTTACATTTTTAAACCTATAAACTCTGTTGGATTTTAGCAAAATAATTTATTTCTTGCACAATTCTGTGAGGTTCTCTATTTTTATCTGCAGCATGTATAAGAAAATTTAAAAATTTTCAGATTGTCCTTGAGTATGGTTAACTCGCTTGCAGAAATGACCTTGGTACAAAGGAAAGCTCTGCCCCTCCCCCAAAGGTACTGCAGGTTCACCAGAGAAGGAAACAGAGTTACTCACAGCTGACGACTGGGAAACAAACCCAAATCATGTGATACTAGAAACAAGTAACTTTCTAATTCTTACTAGAAGCAAAATAATAATAATAATAACAACAATAGAACTTACAGTAAAATTCCCTTTAAAGAAATGGTGATAATTCTCAACATAAACTAAAAATTGCTTTTTATCAAATTAGAAAAATAGAAACTTTCAACAACAACCTTGAAAGCAAAAGAGTTACCTTCTTGTCAGGTTTTGGTGCATTTTGAATAGAATTTAGAGCTTGCCTTTTATACTCAAGCTTCTCATTTAGTTCTCGTAGTTTGCTTACAGCAAAACTGGCTTGTTCATTGATCTGGCTGGTGCCTTCATCCACAGCTTCCTCAGCAGCCTCACCTCCCAGGCCCTGGGAAAAGAAGTCACATGACCACCGTATCTTATAGAAATGGACCATTCAGTAATTATTATCTATTTCATAGGTGCTATAACACCACAGCGCATTCTCCAAAGTCCTAGGTTCCAATAAGAAGAATCTATAGTGGGATATTGAGAAGGAGAGTGAAAAATTAAAGTGTTTGCAACCAAAGTAAGGAGTATTCAGAATTGCTGAAAAAAAACCCACCATTTAGTAACCTGGAGAAAGGACAAAGGTCCACACCATTATTTCCCCAATGGGGTACACCCAAGGGGGTCTGCACGGAACCCAGGACAGTGCCGTTGTGTCCCCAGCTCAGCCCGCCTGTCCTGGGCCTGATCTCTGACAGGCGCGCCCAGGCTGGACTTCCTTCTGCTGTCCTAAGAATATTATGAACAACTCATGCAAGTCCCTTTAAAACGAAATCCTCAAATTCCTACTGGTCCAAGTACTTTCTGTATGTACTTTGTTCGGACCTTCTCTTGAAGAGGTATTTTATGAATCACCAGGTAGATTGCTTTTCTAATAAAATGGTTAGCTTCTGAAAGTGACTTCAAGTTCACCAAGAATGATGTAACTTGGAAAAGTCTGGGCAGATTATGGAAGGGCTCATTAACTAGACTCCCAAGGAGGAGCAGCCGCAGGAGGGCGCTGGGAAGAACTGCCAGAACTCCCTTCTGGTTGGTTTTCTCCTTAGCTTTCTTCCAGAGTTTTTCCTTCCAAATTTTATTCATTGTAACAAACAGGAAATTAAAATTTTTCAAAGAAAAATAAGATATTGTAATCACAGAAAACCAAGCTCTTTTTATTTGTGCAGGTTCTTTCTAAACCTCATCCATAAGTATATCATTATGACATCCTCCTACAACTGTGTACACTCAAGTGGGTCGTCTGCCTTTTCACGTAACATACAATGCAGCATATATTGAGGGTAGTATAGTCTTCAAAATTGTAATTTATGCTTAGGCAGCACTTTATGAACTGATCATTTAACTGAGGCAGAGGCCTATTGCTGCCCCTGCTGGGGGCTGATTTTGCATTTTTCCTTTCCCAGATGTACTAAATCAAACTCCATCGTACATAAACTTTTTTCTACATGTTAGCTATTTTGTAGGATAAATTTCTAGAAGTGGGAATTATTGGAACAAAGAGTAGGAGCTATCAAAATGTCAGTTAATACATAAAAGGGTAATTCATAATACCCTTCTTTGAATCCTAGGTGAAGCTGGACATTTTTTTCATGTCCATTTACTATGAATTTTCATATCAAGTGTCAGTTCAAGCCCTTGTTCAATTCATCTGTTAGGTATTGATGTTTTTATTAATTTGAATAACCTCTTTTATAGCACTTGCATATTAACCACTTTAACTTTTAGGCAAAGAGACAACACGGTTAAAACAAACTGGCCCGTCTCAAGGAGAAAATGCAATCAGTTGTGAGCTTGGGACCAAACACGTTAGTGGGGTTTGTACTCTGAAAAGGTAAAGAATCAAGTAACAAAACTTTTCTTTCTTCAAAAAAGCCTGAATGAATGAATTTAACCACAGTTTGCAGATGCCAGATTCTAATGCCATCAAGAGCAAACACTTGGTCCTGAGGGCTTGAAACAGAGTGAACTGGGAAGAAAGAATCCAAGATAATTTATACTCTTTTCTATGTAAGATGACTAAAACATTTCGCTTCCTTGGTACATTCACAAATCCTAAAACTCCTATGTCACTAACAGGAAATGAGAGATAGCAACAGGGGCACCCCAAAATGACCAGCACACTAGGTGGAAATCACACTGACGGTGTGGCTGAGCAAGGTTCCTTTCAGAACATCTTCATCTCATCTGATTTTTCTTAACTCCAAAATATTTCCAATGACTCCAGCCACATTCTCTTCCTCTCCTCGTTTCCCCTCAGACTGGATGGTACAGTTCCACTGATTCTCTAACCTGGCCGAAGCCACGAACCGCTACCCCCACAGACTTTCTGCCCCCACTTTTCGGGAGTTGAACCCTGCGTGTCTCTGAGGCAGACAAAAGGTGGGGAGAGCTGTGACTTAGTGCTGGGTCAGAAGGACAGCCCGTGGTCAGAAGGACAAAGAAAGAAGTGTGTAAGGCCAGAAGCAAGGAGGTAACACAACATCAAGTTCCACTGAAAGTCCCGTATGTTAAAAGATGAAGGTGCCCTCCAACTTTGGCTTCCACAATATGTGCTCGCCTAATCACACTCAAAGCTCATGCGCCGAAAAGGAAGCAGAGAGCTGAACGGGACTCACCACGTCCTCCTTGTTAGAAATCAGCTGCGAGGCGTGCTTCTCTTCCTCTTTTATCATCAACTTCTCATACAGGTCGCTGACGATAAACGAAGGGTAATACCTGTCCTTCAGGATCTCATGAACATCTCCCTGGATCTTGCAGAACACTTCGATACCTTTATTTCCTACAAGGCATTGCTGGATCTCTTTGTACAGTGACTTTTCCACAGGTATTTCTTTGCTCTCCACAAAGAAATTCTGGTAAATTTCACCAACTAATTGTGGGATTTCATTCTGAAAAGACAGGAGAATAGTGAGAAAAGTAAGAAATATCGTCTCTGAGAACTGCTTTCTTCTGCACTCTCTGCTTCTCGGAGCCAGAAGGAAGGCACCGGGAACGCACGGTGGTGCACGCCAGGGTCGGGCTTCGGCCTCTGTGTGCACATTCGGGGCCCAGGGGTACATGTCAGACGCTGAGAAAACAACCGGTTCCTTAAGGTGAACACTATGTTGAACAGTTAACAACGGGTGGTACTCAGTTCTAGCAACAAAGTACAAAGGAGTGGTTTAATGTGCACAACGCTCTGTGTGCTTATTTTCATAAGCCTCACAAAATATATACATTATACATGTTACACATATTGTTAAGTATATTTACAGACATAAACACACACATATATTTCACATTCTTTAATTTAATTCTTAAATACATAGTGAGGAACTGCTAAGTTCCTCACTATGTATTTAAGATACAAAACGCAATGCTTATTGCTGGGCTTTTCATTCTAAGGGGCATCTGTAATCAAAATGTTTTTCTGTGTTCCTTAACTCAATCATATTTTAAAGAAAACAAAAGGAGAACAAACAGTACTGTAAAATATGCACATTACGATATTAAAAATAATGAGGTTATAAAATGGAGTTGGAGGTGACGAGACCAACTTATTATAACAATAACATGGGTATGTATATGCCTTTCTACGATGCATTAAAAAGGAACCACCTTTTACTAAATTTATTATTTTGGCACATTTGTAGGTCTTTCTTTTCCCCTTTGAATATATATTTAAAATAATCTTTTGTAAGATAAAAAGATCTAATTTTATTTACCATTATAGGCTAGGACATAATGCCAGTATTATATTTGGTTTAAAATACTCTTTTAATGTATTTTCTTACAGCTCCATTGAGAAACAGACACAGGGCAGAACGTATGAATTTCACCAGCTGGTGGTTAACATTCCTTGGTCTAAACAGACTACCTTGGTCGCACTCTTTAAACATTCCACAGACTCCCAAAAACTAATCAGAGCTTTCTTGTCCATCCTTTCCATGTACGTTCTGAAGGGCTCTCGGTAGAAAGCATTGGCCAAGATCTCTTCAAACTGAAGAATCTATTAAGAGAATTAAAGAAAAAGTTCTTAAAAATCAAATTTTAAATATCACATTGCTTTAACTTCCAATGGATTAATTTCTACTTTCATTAAGTTCCACATTTATTAATAAATTAATTGATGCTTTGTTTTTCTAAGGCCATAGACAATGTAGTATAGTACTTCTCTCACTCTCCCAAAATGCACACATTCAATAAATACCAATTTTCTATAAAACATTCACGCATTCAGTACAAGATCTATTTGGCATCAATTCTGTATCAGACACACTTCTAGAAAATGAAACAGACAAAAACACCCCCGCCCTGTGGGAGGTACTGCTAAAAGTAACAGATACGGATAACAGAGAAACCGAAGAGAAATGTATTCAAGACCAGGAAGCTGGAGAGTAATAATTTTGCATTTTTGCTTCCCATCTTCTTTTCATACAGCTGAGGGAATCTACAAATGATTTTCTATTTCGCCCTTTTGTTTACAGCTTCACATTCATTAGAAAAACCTTTTGTAAGCATCACTGAGTTGAACCATGACATTCCAATGTATGGATAGACCCAAACTACTACTTCATCATTCTGCGAGCTTACCCAACAACAAAACCCCACTATCTGAATACACTGCAGGAACAATTGGGAGCACAGACTGCCGTAGATGAGAAAGCAGATGACCTCCATTATGATTCGTAACTCAGTGAAGTAGGAGAAATGCCTGGGATTATTTCAGAAGACAGGTAAGCCCCACATTCTTGCTTCTTAATAAGATTTAAAAATAGCACCTACGTATAACTCATGTGCAGTGAAAAGAAAACATTTTAAGATTCTTTTAAAAAGACTCTTTCTATTGTAACAGAAAAGTTTCAGAATGTTATCGGTAAGTCTAAAACCAGATGTGTGTGTCAATGCCTGTTCATTCTCCTGCCACCAACAGTAAACACCGAAATGTGTTCTGTGGGCAAAAAGCGATGGGCACCTTTTCTCACAACTTCTGGTCACTAATTAAAGGAGACAGCCACCGACTGCTGCAGACCACTAATAATTACTCCCCATAATCACTGCGGACCAGCGGTATTTAGCTAGTTTACTAACTGTGGGAGACTGTAGCATGTATCTTTTCTTTATGTAAACCGTACCAGTGAAGCAGTTTGAAGTCCAATGCTAACTGTCCGTGCTCCTGACAGGTTTGAAGGCACTCATCCCAACTTCGGCCAGGGATGACAGATCCCTCAGAAAGCAATTTATTTTTAATATAGGGAGGAGATGAGCAGGACGGATATTCGACAAATTTTAAGGAAGTCTTCCCAGGATAATTTCACTCAGATCAAATGAATTCCAAGTGGGATACAAATTCACATATTTGCAAAATTAAGTCCAAAACATCTTCTGATTCTCTTATTAGTTCTATGGTCAAGCCCTAAAAGTTGCAACTATCTCCAAATAAACAAGAATAAATATATCTCAAGGATAATTAAACACCTGATACACCTTGTATCTTGGCTGGTGGATAAACCAAGTTCTCTGTTTTTCTTCTCTTGAGGCCTGCATGAGCGTTTCACTGTGTAACACCTACACTATTTGCAAATAGACATACGTAGGTTTGAATCCTGGCTCTAGTGACTCCATCACTCTGAGCCTTGGTTTCTTCATCTGTAGAATGGGGATTGTACCGCCTGCTCTATAGGTTGCTGTGAGACTTGTACAAGAGTTGTTGTGACTCACAACAGACAACATCAGAAACTAATCAGGAAAAGCTTGAACCAGGATTTTGGCTAAGAAAGACAATAATAGAGGCCAAAAAGTGGGGTAGTGAAGAGGCGACTTTCTAGTTGGGTAAACATGGGTGAAAGGATTAGATCAGTGGGTCCTGAGTGGGTTTAAGAGACTACAAAGGGCACGAGGAAACATCTGGGGGTGATGAATACGTTCACTATCTTAACCAAGATGATGATTTCATGAGTATACACACTTGATAAAATGTATTTGTGCACACTTTAAATACACGCAGTGTGTTGTATGTCACTATACCTTAATAAAGCTGTTTTAAAAACCTATATTCCATCAAGCTCTGACAACACAATTGCAGATAAATGATGTATGCAACATGTACACTAAGGACCCAGTGCCAGGAGAACAGATATTGGTGTACTTTTCCTATGCATGGATGGCTGGATTTGATTTGCTAAGAGTTTGTTCTGGACCTTTCTGTTTAGGGTCATGATGCTATTGCTCAGCAGCGTTTTGCTTTTCTCTGTAATGTTTTCCTCTGGTTTGGCACCAGTCACCCTGGCATCCTGTGAAGAGATGAAGAGTCCCTTCTCCTTCGTTTTATCGGAAGGGTGTAGTTAAGATCGATATCATCTTTGCCTGGAAATGTTTAATAGGATTCACCAGTGAAAGGATCCGAGCCTGAAGCTTTCTTTGTGGGCTTTGTGGGAAGGTTTTAAATGATGAATTCACTCTCTTTCATTCATTTTCTTTAATACATTCATTTCTGGGGCTAATCAGACACTCTGTTCTGAGTCGGTTTTGGTAATTTGTGTTTTTAAAGGGAAATGTCTAGTTCATTTCGATTGTAAACATTATTGGCTTAAAGTTGTTCATGATACTCCTTTGTTAACCTTTTAATGTACGTAGGATTTATAGTGATGCCCTCTCTCATTTCTAATATTAGTAATATGTGTCTTCTCTCTTTTTTTCTTAGTCTAACTAGTGTATATAAATATTATTGACCTTTTCAAGAACCTACCTTTTGGTTTCATTGATTTTCTTTTTGTTTTCTATTTCACTGGTTTCTGTTGTTATATTATTTATTCCCTTTTAGTTATTTTAGCATTAATCTGTAGGACTGAAGATGAAGATCACTGATTTTTGACCCCTTTTTTCTTCTGGTTAAACTCCTTGTTCTAAAGTCTATTTTGTCTGATGCTAACATGAGCTACTTTAGATTTCTAAGTTTATGATAGCATGGCAGGCTTGTTCCCCTGCTTTTACCTCCAACCTATTTTTACACCTTTATAATTTCTTATGGACAACATATAATTAAGTCTTGACTTTATTTATTCCCTCAGGCAATCTCTTTTGTTTGGAAGGTTCATCTAATTTTGAAGGCGATGTTCTGAAACAGAGTCAGTAGTGACGGCTCCAGATCAGATGTGATTGATTAGGTTGGAGCAAAGCTGCGCTATCTATTCAGGAAGAAAGCAGAATGGCTCCGAACTAACCGAAGTTTTACCTTTCAGATGGCAACCCACCACACATATTGGGATGCTATATTGTCTGAGTCTTCCAGCCTGAACACTCGATGAAATGGTTTTTACTCTGAGGATAAACTATTGCAACAGAAATGGGTTTCCTCACTTCCTAAGAACCTGGAAGAATGAGTCAAAATGCAGCTGGAACCAGGTTAGCTCTGCTTCTCGCAGAAACTTCTGGATAGCCTCTGTGGAAATCACATTCAGCTCTCCTACAATGAGCTCCCCTTATCTTCCTCGGGGTTCTTCTCTATCATCATATCACCTTTTAGTAAGTGGCTGGCCACAGGTGCTTCTCTTAAGTGTACACCTCCCTTCTCTATTGCATCGCTTAACCTGTAATTGCATGAGACTGAGAGCAGGGCCTCTCCGACTCACTTTGTACCCTAATGCCTTGCACTGTAACTGAGAGATTAAAGACTCCTGATAAATGTCCATTGAGTGAATGAACTGATGAATGGATAAATGGATGAATGGACAGGACACAAGAAGAAGACCTCACCTATGATCAATGTGGCTAGAAGTTTACTTAAGAGTCCAGAGGCTGAAGAGAAGGAGGGAGGCGAACAACATTCAACCTGTCAAATCCACTCTTTCTCCAACGTTTAGCAGAAAGTGAAGTTTACACTTTGAACCACAAAACCAAAATCACAGAAAGGTGCATTTGCTAACAGCAAAACACACAGCCCCCCAGGGGCTAGAGGCCCCCTCCCTAAAACAAAACCTCCTCGGGGCTGCCTGGCAGCACTTGTGCAAAGACATTGCAGAAGGGCTGGTCCAACGTGGAGCGCGACCGTCCCTGAAGAGGCTCTGATGGAGACTGAGCCAGGAACAAGGTCAACTTCCATCGCTGGGAGAGAGGAAGTGGTAATGCAGAGACAAGCAAGAGCCCAACAGGAAAAGATGAAGAGACTAAAAATCAGAGTAAATGAGGTTGGGGCTGTGGCCAGAGTTAAGTTACACAGATGCTGCTTCTTTGTGGCTAACTGACCCCTTCCACAAGAGGAGGGTGGAGTTTGCCTTGAAGTCTGTTGCCAAGTGGTACAGCCACGCTCCCCCAAGTGTACCGTGGCTGTTTCCTTGAATCCTGGCCTGCTCTTTGGTCCTTGAAAATAAGGACAGGTGTGAGGTAGGGCCAGAACACTTTCCTAGGCGCCATGATTTAAGGACTGGGCATCAGACAGTCCAAAGTTTTCTTATACAGAAACAACCATGGATATATCATGGTTTAGTGAGAAAGCACTCAGATTTGTGAATCAACTAGACTTGGGTCTTTTATCTAGTTCTGCCTCTTCTTATCTGCATGGCTTTAGAAATTTGCTTAGAAGGAAACCAACTCTGTTTCTTCACCTGTAAAGTGGGAACGTTAAATACATACTTCACAGCAATGTGCTGAGAGCTGCCTAAACTAACTTACAAGACACCTTCTACTTTGTGGGCGGTTACTTCCATCCAAGTGGTAACATGCTTGGGTCCTTGCAAATATAAATGTGCTCCTCTAGGACTGTGGGAGGGCAAAGAGGGGATGGAAACACACACACAGGCCTGTGCAGGCACACACGCACACACACACACACCCATGTCTATCTGTCATGCCCACTCTCGTTCCCAGAAGTCAAGGACACCAAGTAATACAGCTCTGTACTCATCAAAGCAAACACACCAGTCCATATTCTGGAACACAAGTCACACACCAGAAAGTTAAGACTGTATATCTAATTCCATCAGTGTTCGCAACAAACAGGAAATGGTCAAAACAAGGACTAAAAAGCTCTACCTTCTGGCTCTGAGGCCCCTCCCCCTCGTCCAAGGCCCCGTCCTCTTGCTGGTCGTAGGCAGGGCCTCCCAGGGTTCGGATTCTCTTCTCGCACTGCTTCTTCGCCACCGTCAGTTGGTTAATGTACCTTTTCATGTTCCTGGCCCTCAGGAGATCAGCTTTCATCGCGGCGGTTTCTTTACCTTGAGTGGGATGGACGGACATACCGGTCAGAGGACAAGGGACAACAGAGAGAACACACAAGTCTGCACCAGCTTCACGTCTGACGTGGTGCATTCTGAACAACAGTGGGTGCTAAGGAATAGGACAGGATAGGACAAAATTTATGCCAACCATACGCACACCCTCAGATAGGAACACCGTGAATTTCTAAACACGCCAGTGACAAATCTGACCCAAATGTAAAAACACATTTAGAGACCTCCTCTGTACACACATACGCACACACTGATATGCATGTTTCCATGTATACATACAATCGACCCTTGAACAACATGGGTTCAAACTGCATTGGTCCACTCATTTGTGGAGATGACAGAACCAATGACTAAATCAGAGAACTTTCAAGAAAAGGCAGGTTTATGAACAAGGCTAGTTCAGTTTTGAACAGTGTGGCCCGTGACGTCTGCCAACGATGGCCATGATATCATCTCCCCTGTCACATGCTTTAACAATGTCACATGGGCAACCTCCCTCTGAACACCAGGGTGTGTGTTCCCGTTCCTTGAACCTGGTGGGTCTGTGATTTTGCAGGAAGTGACACTATGCCTTACGATGCCACGTGGTAGAAGGCCATTGACTTGGAGCCCTGAGCTGCCATGTAAGTCACGCACCAGCTGTGAGGCCTCCAAGCCGGGAGGAAGCCTAAACAGTCGGTCAGTGGTGAGACCTGCGTGGAGTCCCCCCCGCCAGGCCTGGCTGGATCTCAGCCCGCATGCAGAGCCGGCTTCGTACCATGTGTTCGAGCCACCTTGAAAATGACCTGTCCAGCCCCAGACAAGCAGGGAAGCGTCATCCCTGCCAAACCCTGCCCGAACTGCAGGTTCTCGAGCAAGAGAAATGGCTGTCGTTTAAGACTCCACGTTTCAGCGTGCTGGGGGAGGCCACAAAAGACAACTGGAAGAGGCCGGCTGAGTTCGAGGGGACTTGAGCTACTGCAGCAGAGATATGAGAAAACGAATTAAAAACCACCTGGCTCTTGAATGGGGACTTCAGTCATGGGGGAGTGAGACAGCCCAGGAAGAAAACAATGATTTCAGGACGTAATCTAAATAAACCGTACAGTCAATGAGAAAGAGGAAAAGCTGGCGAGGGGGCTGAAGGAGAGACCCCGAAGTGGGTTGGGGAGTGCAGCTTGCTGAGGAACCAGAGAGAACCGCAGCAGAGAGGGCGGGCAGCCTGCCTCGCCGGTTTCGGTGCTCCAGCCTGCTAACTGGCCACCGTGCTCTCGGCCCTGCTGTGCCGCAGCTTCGTCTCACCACAGCGGACGACTAAGCCCATGGCATCCCTCTGCTCACAGACCTGCAGCACGCCGTGCCGCCCCCAGCAAAGCCCCAGCAAAGCCCAGCGCTCTTACAGGGGCCGCAAGAGTCGCCTCTCCGACCTCATCCTGCCCCACTGTCCACACAGGCCACACTGGTGTCTCACTGTTTATTTTTTTAATTACAGCTTTACTGAGATATAATCACAGGCCATACAATTTACTTCCTTAAAGCATACAATCTAATTGCTTTTGGTATATTTACACAATTGTGTAGTAATCACACCAATCACTTTCAGAACATTTTCATCACCCCCAGGAGAAAGCAGGTACCATTGGCAGGCACCCCCACTCCTCTTCACCCGGGTTTTTTTTTTTTCCATAGGGCTGCCTCTGTGAACTTGCCTGCTTGGGACATCTCGTGCAAGAGAAGCCACACTACGTGGGGTTCGGTGCCAGCTTCCTGAACACAACGCCCGACGCATTCTCTCAGCCCGGCCCTCACCTCCCCCGTATTACCTGCATGGCTCAGTTCCCGGCCTCCTGCAGGTCCCTAGTTCAGGTCTCTGGGAAGCCTTCCTTGGCCTCCCTATTTCTTCTACTGCAACCCGACCCTAAAACATTACTTTTCTCCCTTTCTGCTTTACTTTTCTATAGCGCATATGACCACACTACATATTCAACCTCCATGTCCTTACGTGTGTCCTCACACAGGTCGTGTTGTTTGTTTACATATGTCTACACCCCCAGCACCTACAACTGCACCTGGGAACACGTTAGGAACTCATTAGGTGTCTGTCGAATGGACGAATGAACTGTGTCAAATGTAAAGAGGTAGCATTTTCTGAACGCTCACTGCACATCAGGTCTTGTGCTAGAACTTTGCTTGTGAACGAGAGAGATGGGGTGTGTAGCCGCAGCTCCGCTCTCCAACTTCCTCCCGTGGGGTTTCTATCCCTCCCGTCCACCGAACCCTCTGTTCTCAAGACCACTGGGGACTTGCACGTCAAACCCAGTGCAGAGTTTGCAGACAAGTTTGGGATCGAAGCAAGGTGAGAATTCTGGCTGCCCGCTTATGAGGCATGTGGTCTTAGTAAAAATTTTTTAAAATTTACTTGGAAAACCACTTACCACGGTTTACTTCCTTAAGTTGACAGTATCAAATTTAAAGTAAAAGCAAAAAACTCAAACAAAATTAAATTTTAAAAAATGACTAAGCATTGAGCATTACCTTGTGGGGAAGGCCCTGCTTTGCATACACAGTCTGAAGGGGCTGGGGTTGGGGGAGGGCTTTTTTCTTTCTTTTTATTTCAATGGGACGGAGATGAGCTGGTTTTAATGCTGATGAGGAAGGCCCAGTTAAGAGAGAGGAGAGGCAGACGACGGATGGGGAGTGGAGTCCAGGGACCGGGGCACAGGCTGGCTTTGGGAAACGCCGCTCCTGCCCCTTTGGTCACCTACACGGACGCAGACACCAGCCTGGAGACTGGCCAGCGCGGAGGCTGCAGCAGCTTCCTCACTGGAGTCTGCTTCCCTGACGCGGTGAGGGAGGTTATCTGAGGTGGGTGGGGGGGTGAAAGGGTGCGGGTCTGAGGGCTGTGGAAGTGGGGAAGGGTGACGTCCACGGTGGAATGCAGAGAGCAGTCCACGGTGGAATGCAGAGAGCAGTCCACTCAGACACACGTGAGACTGCCAGGCGTTGATCAGGGCCCAGGTGGCCACTGATGGAGGGAGATGTCCCCAGGCAGGTGAGGGCACCCCTGGAGGCGAGTCCCCAGGGCACGGCACCATGAAAGAAGAGGCCTGGCCTTGGTTTCTGGGGGCTCGCAGGGCAGAGCGTGAGGCACGGCTCTCCCCTCCCAGCTGCAGACCCCACTCCCCAGGACGATCGGGGTTCCCCTGGGGCCCCACTTAGCCAACTTGCACCCATGTTGGAAACAGCGCCTCGGTGGCCGAACAGGTGAACTGAAGGAGCTTAGACAAGACCACGAAACCTCTGACCTCCCTGGAGCAGCTTTTCCCAGTATTTTCCCAGGGTCACAGGCAGACTTCAGGTCAGGAGGTGGCCTGATTCAACAGGGTGTGTCGGACACTCTGTTCCCCCCGAGTGTGCCCAGGAGATCTACTGTCTGACTTCTATGAAGGTTCCCCAACACGCCTTGTGCTCGGTGGGGCAGGGTGGGGCGGGGGGGGCTGGGGGTCGCACACAGCCCTGACCAGAGGCCTCGGCCACTCAACATTCAACTCTAAAGGAGACAGCAGGACCTCGAAGCCTCCAAAAGGTCCATGCAGGCTGCCCCCAAACTAGTCGATGCAAGTGTGTGTGTGTGTGTATAAACAAATAGGTGCTTGGGACAGCTCGTTTTTCAGAAAAAAAATCATTTCTAAACATATATCCTTAAACATCTAAATTTTGTGCACGACATTTGATATTACCATAAAACTGGAGACAAAAAAAATGCTTTTTACAAAGTAAACCTAGACCACAATTTAAACTTTGGGTGAAAACAGACTAATAAAGATATATATATATATATATATATATATATATATATATCTGCCAAGATGGACAAAGAAGTGATAGAATATTCTAAAGAATTAATTATAAATGTTTACTATTTTTCCTCTAGGTCATCTAGAGTCTGCTGAGGTTAAAACAAAAAGGGAGTGGCTTCATTTGGGTTTGTTTGCTGCGAAGGACATTGGGAACAGACATTAGGTAAACGCCTTTGCCTATAAAGCCACCAAGCAGACCTGTGACCGACATCACAGAGTTGCCTGTTGCTATAACCTTCTGCCCATGAGGTTTTTCTTCCTCAAGCAAATGGAGCGGTGGTAAAACAAGAACGGGGGACAACTATCAGCTACGATTTCCAATGAGGCAAAGAGAGAGCAGTAACCTCTGGTACAAACTAGCGACTTCAGAAACAGCATAGGTATAAAGGGATGGAAATACCACCTCTACACTCTTCAGGTGCCCAAAAATGTCAACAGCAGAAAGCTCTCTCTTCTCGCACCACCTATCGAACTCCCAGGCACAGCCTAACAGCAGCAGCTCGGCAGGTGGAGTGAGGAATCGGCTGAAGGGGCAGGGTTCCCCAACCTCGGCCCAAGGCACATCTTGGCTGTGGGTCTGTCCGGAGCCCAGCAGCGTGTTCACAGCAGCCCTGGCCACTGTCTAGGTGCCAGTAGCATCCCTCCTCCCAGATGTGACAACTAAAACTGTCTCCAGACATTGTCGAATGCCCTGTCCCCTGGGGGGCAAAATTGCGCCCCCACCCCCGCCCCACCAACGGGCACTAATGTAGAGACACAACCTCCGTAGTGCTGAAGGAGACACGCCTGTCCCCTCGCCCAGCCCCCACGGGTCTTCTCACACCCACCGGACAACGCAGGTAAGGAACCAGGGAAGCGCCTCACTAGACAACCTGGCTCCACACGGACAGACTCACGCACCTGTGAGTCTCTCTTAAACATGAAACAGAAATTTGAACAATCACCCTCTGAGAAGAGGGCAGGAGAAACAGGTGTGTATTTACTCAGGCGCCAGTCAAGCTTCCGAGAAATGGTGCTCGACTTCTTGACAGCAATTCCCGGTAGTTACCAAGCATCACCGACTTCTGCAAAATTATTGGAATATCGCCTTGAAGGTTACCCAGGAACTTAAAAAAGACTTACCGTACGTTTCAGCTGGATGCTGGTGGGTTTGGGTTTTCTTGTTTTTTTTTTAAGAATAAAGGGGATCCTCTTATAGCACTTGAAATTTCCTGAAGTGTCGTTCCACTGAGCGGCAGGAGGGACACTTGAGGAACGAGGCGAAAGGACGGCAGGAGCTGGCGGCAGAACCGCTCAGACTGTCGCAGTGGACGGCAGAGCGCCCACAGGCCCCGCGCGGCCAGGTCAGGTGCGTCTGCCGCACGCCTTCCGTGCCCTTCCTTTAAGTGAGGCTAACACTTCCCTCGGTTTAAGGCCCTTGATACGTTTGCAATATAGCTTTAAAGTCGTACTGCAGCTTTAAAGTCATCCCTGGAGCTGAACTTCACTCATATGAATGCAGGTATCGGCATCTATGATAACCGAAGTCTTCTTGGAGGACAGAGATGGCAGTAGGGCTGCCTATCAAACTGTGAGACTCTAGAGAGTGTAAAAGTGCCCTGAACCCTGCGTCCCGAAAGGCAGAGAAGGGAGGGGGTGAAGGGGGACAGTGGCAGGGTCAGCAGGTGTGGGGGGTGGCAGTGCCGCAGTGTGAGGCTAGGTGGGGAGAGGCTGGCGAGGGCCCCGGGAGCCGCTGGGGGAACCACCTGGGGTGTTCAGTTAGTTTGGGTCACTCACAAATTAGGAACAGTCTGTATCAAATTCTCGCAATGCCAGAAAGTCGGATCACATCAAAGAATAACAAAGGACCCTGAGATGATTAGCTCCCTTCTTCCAGGCAGAGACACCTTCAGATCCCAAACCAGACAATCTTTATAAAAATAATTCCTGATGGAAATCACTATGGTTCTCTGTTAAGTAACTGAAGTTACAAAATAAAACGTTTACACACCGAAAAAAGAAGATGCACGATTTTACCAAAACCTCCCAACCTACACTACGAGCGTGGCACTTCCAAGCATGTACGGTTTATACACAGCAGTTTGTCAGACTCAAATCCGCATCCCATTCTTTGCTGTAGTCAGCTCGATGGATATTACTCTGAACTACTCTTGATAACATTTCAGGATTCAGAACAGCAGAAAAGAAGGCTTTTTTAAAGGGAACTGAAATACTGGGTTTATTCACATCAAACTACAGAGAAAATGTAGCCTATGTCCCATCACTCCTACAATTCCTACACCTGGCCAGTGTTTTAGTTCATTCAGGGGACTATAACCAAACACCACAGATGGGGCGGCTGTAAAGAACAGAACTTCATTTCTCAGCAGTTCTGGAGGCTGAAAATGCAAGATGAAGGGTCAGCGGGCTCTGGGGAACCTTCAGATGGCCACCTTCTTGGCGTGTCCTTAATGTGATAGAATAAGTTGGGGATCTCTCTGGGGACTCTTATAATGAAGAGAGTCCTAATCCCACCCAGGAAGGCTCCACCTCATGGCATAAGTGCCTCCCACAGGCCTCACCTCCAGTACCATCCCGTTTGGGTGTCAGAAGCTCAACATGTGAATTCTGGGAAGGCAAAACGTTCAGACCATAGCAGCCAGTTATTTTAATGGACCACCTCTCAACTACCTAGCCCTTCCAAGTGTAAATAAAAAGCTGGAGAGCTGGGTACCAGGACGCAAACACGAACACATCAGTGGCTCTGTATCAGAGCGTGGGTCCCGGGTAAGTAGCCTCAGCATCGCTGGGGAACCCGTGGGCACTGCACACCCTCGGGGCCCACTCCAGATCCCCAGGATGGCCCAGCAGGCACACTCTGACTAGCCCCCCAGGAGGTTCTGGTGCACACTACAGTCTGAGAACCTCTGCTCCACAGGACGAAGTCCAAACACCTCGGGCTAGCGTGTCAAGCTCAGTTCTCCATGGCACGCCAACCAACCACACGGTGTCTCACCTGGCCTAACCCAAACACAGGACGCTGGTCCACAACTGCCTTCTTCGTCTCTGTACATGCGGTACCCTCCACCCACATCCACCTGACAAGCCCAGAAAGGGACGACAGCCACTCCACCTGTCTGAGTCTGCTCTGTCACCCGCCAGGAAAACCCTTCTCGACCTGCGGCCCAGGCGGGGCTGACCGCACCACCACCGAATCCTGCACCTGCCGCTCTCACCACAGTTACCCAACTGCACCGTAACTTCCTGTGTGTGACTGCCCATCTCCTCAGGACGCTGTGGTCACCTCAGGGTCAGGGACAGTTTCATTCATGACACAGCTGTTCTGCCACATACTGGCACTCAGAAAAATGCAGGTGGGATGACTGACAGCCCACTTCTGGTAGGTGAGGTACTTTTCAGAGCTCATTCTCCACTGATGGGGGGGGGTCTTATGAGAACTCAAGTGCCCTCTCATCCACCCAGGACTGGGGAGGCAGGGCTGTGATCGGAGAAGAGACATTCGGGATAAAACACAAAGGATAAGTAGGAGTTGCCCAGGCAGAGTGACACTGAGAATAAATAGGGTAGCACCCCGAGAAGGGGAAGAAACAGAACGTGTGGAGAATGCGAGGCAGGAGGAATCGGACGTGCTGGGAAAACGGGAAAGTCTCTGTGGCTGCAGAACAAAGCGATGGCACCGTGGGGGAGGTGAGGCTGAAGGTAGAGCGGGGGCCAGAGCGAGCAGGACCGCGTGGGCTACATTCAGGGAGTTTTTATTCCAAGAACAATGGGAAGATGATAAAGGGCTTTAAGCATGGAGGTGACATGATAAAATGCATATTTTTAAAAAATCATTATGAGCCCTGGTTGGTGTAGCTTGGTGGACTGAGCTCAGGCTGCGAACCAAAGTGCCACCAGTCCGATTCCCAGTCAGGGCACATGCTTGGGTTGCAGGCCAGGTCCCCAGTAGGGGGCCGCGTGAGAGGCAACCACACATCGATGTTTCTCTAACTCTCTTTCTCCTTCCCTTCCTCTCTCTCTAAAAATAAATAAAACCTTTAAAAAAATAATTATGGCTTCAGTATGAAAAACATATTAAAAAGGGCCAGGAGTGGAGGTGAGGAGGCCGATTAAGAAGCTGCTGCTGTGGCAGAAGGAAAAGCCGGTGGTGGAAAACCGAGGCTCGCAGGCAGCTGAGCTGAGATACGTTCAGGAGGTCAAGCTGCATGACGACAAAGGACTAGCTGGAGGACAGGACGGAAGGATGAACGAGGGTGACTCCGGCTTTCTGGCTTGCATGCATGGGTGGATGGGGACCCCTGCATTCACGGAGACAAGGAGCTACAGAAGATGATGAGTTCTGTGGGACTTTGGTTTGGACATTTTCTCTGGGCAGAACAGAGTGAGCTGGTTAATTGCTTGAGGTTTCAGAGGGCACACAATCAGGAAATTTCTCACCCCCCCCCATTAGATGCCATTTTTTCTTTAAGTCCTGAAACTATTTTCACAGTTACAGATCATTTCTTAAACATCAATGATTATGATTGAAAAAGACTTGTCAGAAACATCTTTATAAGCAGCAAGAAAACTATATTTATAGCATATACTCACACACACTGCATTCATAAGCAAAGTTCCCATCTCCAGGTTGAAATAAAGAAGATATTCTTAGGATCTTCCATCTGTTCATTCTTTTTAAAAACTTCTTCCGTTTCCCACTCACAAAGTGGATGTGGAAATGAGGAGCAGTAACACTGGAGATGACACTGAGTACAATGGCACATGCAGCCCGGAAGTATCGCTACACGGTCACAGACACGATCGTGGGCATGGGCACGGACATGGTCATAGGCACGGTCACCCGCATGGACGGCAATGTCTGCTGCCACTCAGCAACTAATGGAGACCTGCCCTTCACTCGGGACACAGCAGGTCCTCCACCCTGGCGTAGGAGAGAGGGATGCACTAGACCGGGCAATGACGGGGGGCTGAGAGCCATTGTCACCCCTTGGCCACCCCTCAGGACCATGCCTGCGTAAACTGCTCTTCATCTGAAGGGACACAACAGGAAGAAGAACAACCTACAGCCCATTTCTTTAGAAATACATGCAAGAGTGGCCATAGGACAGAAGGCGTTCCCAGTTCAAACACTTCACACAGGAAAAGGTTATGTATTAAACAGCAACTCACTGGAGTCATTTCAACGGTGACCAAGATTAAGTTTCTAGGTAGAAATATTAATAAATAGTAAGATTATTTTTATTCTGTAACCAAAGTTATGAAGCCATGTTTAGCTTAAAAACAGAAAAGCTCTGTCTACCCAATAATTAAAATATCTTAAGAGTTATGACTAAAGATGCACAGTTTCTAAAAGAACAGAGAAATACAAATGAAGGTTTCTGTTAGGATTAAATTATATTTACTTTCTCTAATGCCGTTATGATATTACTGCAATAAATTAAAACACTTAAGTATAAGCCAGAAGAATGCTCAGGCTTGGCAAAGCTCTGACAGTAACTAAAGAAAACAAGTTGGTTCTTACCCTTGTGCCTCTTCGGCTGGGGAAAGCTGCTAATGGTAGTTGCCTGGATTATTTCCACCACAATTTGATACCTGATTTTAAAAGAGAGAGAAGAAGAAAAGATTGAATGGAAAGAAAACACCATCCTCAAAGAGCTATTTTACATTGTGTCTATACCAATCAAACATTACATGGACGGTGTGAATCCTGCCCACGTACCATCAAATCCATTGACGTGGACCGAGCACCTATCCCAGGCTGGGACTATGCCACATGCTGGCTGTCGCTGAGACCCCGATGTGAGAATGACGAACGTGCCCCCCCACTCCATTCCCTACACCAGAAGCATTACTACCCGCCCCCTCTCCGAAAGCGGAAATCAGAGGTTACGCTCAACTCCTCCCTCGCTCCTCTCCTTAATAATAACCAGAGCCTACTGACCCCACCTCCCGAACCTGCACTGTGCAATAAGGCGCCCACGAGCCACGTGTGGTTGTGTGAACGAGTTAAACCAAACATTCAGTTCCTCAGCTGCATTAGCCACAAGTTCAAGTACTCCGCAGTCACGTGCAGCTCATGGACCACGTCAGTGAGTGAACATTTCCCCATCGCTGCGGAAAGTTCTGTTGGATGATGTTGTCCTACGGACTTCTCAAAGCTGTCCTCCCCCACCCAGTCCCACAGTCACTGTCCTAGTGACTGTCCTCATGACTGCTCACTTGGAAGACCCTTTCAGACCAACGGATTAGAGGGCCTTCAATGGGACCGTGGTGCCAATATTGTTCCCGCTCCCCAGCTAATTCTAACGCAAGAAAGAGCTGACAACACCAGGTGTGTGTATGCGGGACTGAGAACACCTCTGAATCAGGGGAAAAACAGCTTACGTTTTAAGTGCAGTGGAGCCTTGGTTCTCAAACTCAATTCATTCTGGAAAACTGTTTGAGAAGCTGTCTGTTCGAAAACTGAACCTGCCCTCTTCCCAGTCTGCGAACCAGAGGATCCGTTCACCCCCACATCTGTTCGCCATTCCCCAGGGGATCACTAAGGCAACCAACAGATGTTTCTCTCCCTCTCCCCCCTCAAAGAAAATAAATAAATAAATATTAAAAAAAAAAAACAAAAACTGAACCTGCTTCGTCTGTCACCTGAGAGACATGTGACTGATCAGACAGGTACTGGCATGACAGGGTTGTCAGGTACAGAATCGAACCCAAAGTTTTGTTAGAAAACTGAGATGCTTTTCCCCGAATCACGCGGTTGAGAACCAAACTGTGTGAGTAACCAAGGTCTGAACGTACTGGGTCTAACCCCGGAGTTGCGGCTATTTGGGGCACGTTCAGGGGGCTTTAGGAACTCAGGTTCGGGGGCGACTCAGTGGTTACTAAGTATCGCCCCCAGGCAAGTTCATGTGCACTGAACGTCTCTCAGCCCTTGATTATCCTGACTGATTAAGACTCTGCCCTAATAAAGCTATTTGACATTATTACTCTGGACACAAACTTTGCAGCGTTCTCAGATTTAATGTTACGTCTGGCTGGCATTCTACAACCTTTTGCTTTTCAACTAAAACCTAGATGGGATTCATGAACTCATCCTAGTACGGCTATTCATGGGCTCCTCACAAACTCACATCTTTTTGTGTCCTCACTTGTGTAATATGAATATCGATGCCTGCCTCTCACCACCTCAAAAAACAAGCTGTCAGGAGCATGGTCGGCCTGCCACTCGGAGAGTGGCAGACACTGCTGCTTGCCACACCCTTCCTCTCTTGCATCCTCACTGACTGAGCCACAGTTTTATCAGGAAAAGCAATGAGCCTGCCTTGCTAAAACCCTTCTCCCTGGCAGTTAGACATGGCCACTCGGTACACTTCTAACCTGTGAGAGATAAGTGGAAGATGCCAGGTAGGGGGTTCCAGGAAAGCTGCCCAAGGGGGCAGAATGCACAGAAGAGCCCCCTCGTCTTCTGTCCACAGCCTTTCCCATTGTCCTGAGTGACACAAGGATGCAGCTGGGTGACGGCACAGCAGCCGTGAGGATGAAAGCCGCAGGCTGAGACGGCGCCATAAGAAGACAGGACAAATCCAGGTCTCTGATGACATCTCTGAGCCATCACAACAGCCCCACACTGCCCTTCCCAGGACATCTTGCTACACGAGGAAAATAAATCCCTAACTTGCTTAAGCCCCTGTATGTCGATGTGCCTCATGGCCAAATGCCATCCCGCCTGACGGAGCACACCATGAAGACGGAGCACACAGAGGAGCTAGTGCTGGGCTGCGGCACCTGTGGTCCCCGGACGGCGGCTGTGCTGGGACACGAAACAGCAACCAGCTTTTCCGATGGCACTGCCACCGTTTCCCCAGGTGACGACAGGGCACAAAAACGGCTCTGGATGCGGTTTTTCCCGCTCCTCACCAAACAGGTTAGCAAACAACTTAGAAGAAGCATAAACAAACCGGCACACGTTGAAATCTAACACTCCCTAACCAAGTCATAATTTAACCTGGGACTGCCATTCCCTCTGCAGCTTCACACTGGGCGTCTTATCCAACTCGACCTCTCTTTCCTCCTCGATATAAACCTGGACTTAAGTCGGGATAGTTGGATAGTTTCTGTACACCTCCCCCCATAACCACAGTCCCTTTCCAGGCCTTTGTTCAAGTGCGTTCCTTCTGGAAACCATCTGCCTACTTGGCCACCCAACTAGACCTTACACCTATTACTTCCTCCCGCAGCTCTGCCCCATCCCTCAAAGTTGCATTAATACTTCTCTCCTCGGAAACCCTGAGTCGCCTCTGCCCTACGATGGTATGCATTCAGGTACTATTCCACATCGCTGATTTCACATCGCTCACACTTCCACAAGTGGTGCTGTGAGTGAAGAAAGTGGTACGTCCAGTCCTTCTCACTGCCAGGCCTAACACTTCTTTAAAAAAGGGTAACAACACATCTGAGCCTGCAGCCAAGTTGCGCCTCTGTCTGTGATGAAGATGCACTACCTTCTTTCTCCCCAACTTTGCCACGAGCCTCTCCGAGAATGGGGTTGTGACTTCTATTCTCCTACAAAACCCAGCCTGGCACCAAACATGTGGCAGGCACTCAGTCAATAGTACTGAGTGCTGTGGACTGAGGGTTTGTGTTCCCCCAAAATTCATGGTGAATCCTAATCCTCGAGGTAATGACATGTGGCGGTGGGACCTCTGGGGCGGCGATCAGGTCAGGAGGGCAGTGTCCCCGTAAATGAGATGAGAGCCCTTAGACCCCGAGAGCTCTTTGACCCCCGAGAGCTCTTTCCACCGAGTAAGATTACAGCAAGAAGAAAGTTGTCTACAAACCAGAAGATGGTTTGCTTATTCCTTAGCTTAGATTTCCCAGCCTTCAGAACAGTGAGAACTAAATGTTTGTTGCTTAAGCCACTCTATGATATTTTTGTCACAGCAGTCTAAACTGACTAAAACAATGAGCTAAATGACTCAGTGATGCTTAAATGACATCTGTAACACTTAACAGGTACCAATAATATTCCGAACAATCTGTTCTTTTGATATTCTTAGTGATTCACGCTCGGGAACAAATGAATCATCAATGGTGCTGAAAAATAATACATACCGCCTGAGTAAAGAGTTAAATTTTTTACAATGAATCCAGCTAACATTTGCAGATTCCTCTCACTGGGTACCAGGTACCTGTTTAGATACTTTAATTTACATTACCTCATTTAATGCGCATTAATAAGGTGCCGTAATTATCCCGACATTACAGAGGAGGAAGCTGGAGTTCAGCAGACTAAGAAATCTATACAGGGTCTCGCTCTCAAGTTCTTTTAAGGACAAGGGCCTCTGTTACCAAGCAGGGCTGCCTGGCTCTAACGCTCACCCTGTTAGCCACATTCCTGCTACCCTCGAATTCAGTACAGGTTCATGTTGACCCCGTCTGAGGTCGTTCAAAGCATATAAGCATGGCCAGTGCCAGACACTCTTTCACCCTTACTGCCCTCTATATCCCTCTTGGATACCATTTTCGTGCCAAACCAGACCACATGCAATCCCCCAAACACTCCAGCTCTCTCCTGGCCCAGCCTTTGCTGCTTCTTCTCCCTCTCGAATGCAATTCTTCCCCTTATCTGGCAAAATCCTGTTTGTCCTTAAACACTCAGTTCATGGCCATTCCTCTCTGAAGCTTCTTAGAGTCCTCCCTTCTACGGCGTGAAATATTTGCTCCTACACACTTCTTCGCTCTTTACACTCTACTTCTGGCCTTTGTGTCTTGTTTCATATTTAACTATTTATCCCCACATGCGTCTCCTACGCTGGACTAGTAACACCTTGATGGCAGGGGACAGAATCCAAAGGACCCGCAACCAATTCATCCTCACATACACCAGACCCACCTCACACAGAGCCATGCACATAGTAGGCCCTTGACCATGGTTAATGAGTTTGTGCGATTCACTTTCACTTGAAACCAAAAGGCAAAAGAGTAAGTGAGCGGGTTTCCCGTTCCCAACAAAGCTGTATAAACACACGCACCCATGCGCAGGCCGGCCTCGAGGGCCCCTGGGGCCCTGGGAGCTTTTCAGGGATACCTGCCACTCACTCGGCTGTCCGCCTCCAGAGGAGGGCATGGCCTTGCTGGCGATGAGTCTGCTTCGAGGACTAGGAGGACTGCTATCTGTGGCTCAGTCTGTGGCTCAGAAGTGTGGAGATTGTTAATACATGTTTTCCCAAAATGGTAACATAAACCCCGGTATTAAGAGAAAGCAGCCTTGCAAGAATTCAGCTCTTTTCCAACTCTAGCGAGATCCTACCTACAGTGTCCCTTTGTCCCCAGGACAAGAAAAAACAAGTCACACAGAGAGCTGCCACCTGCCCCTCTGAGCATCCCTCTGTAGACTGGCACACTTAGCTCCATTAATAAAGACTTCGAGCAGCTTTGCACTTCCGGACTCTTCCTCTCAATCTTAACTCACCCTAAGGCCTTCAAAACAATCAGCTTAGAAATCTACGGACTTACTGTCCTTCCAACAACTGTTCAGAACAGCTTTGGAATTCTATCAGAACAGACTTCAAAATTATAGGTCAAATTTTTAA